TGTCTTAGGAATTAAAAAAAGTTGAGAATCATCGGTACCCAGGTATCGAAAAATCAAAAAATATTGGAAAGCCTTCGAAAGCAGCCGTTAAGAAGTAAGAAAAGGTTGTAGTAGCTGCATAGGCTCGTTTGGTAATGTTTCTATTTTTTGTTTTTATTTATTTATTTTTAATGGAAAAAAATTGTATAGCATGGTTCAAACTTCCAAGAATTCAAATATGATAAAACAATACTTTTATTTATGTTTTGGGACAAATTGGAAATGAGAACAAGAAAGGAGAAACTTGTTTTAGTTGTTTCCAAAATTTCTATACAATTGTGAGAATGATCCTAAAAAGGAGAAACAAGAAACAACGTTAATTGTAAAATACTTAGATTTCTAAAGAAAATTGGAAACGAGAATGTTACCAAACAGACCTTTAACAGGTGGTTCCATGATTCCAACCAGTTGGAACTGCTCGGTGGGCATAACTTTCTGGTGCTTTATGATGGCAATGAGTTGATTCTAATTCCTTGTGTGTTTTTCTCTTCCTTTTAACCCCAAAGTTATGACGTCTTCAATTTAAATACTTTGGATTTGATCATAATAATTGTTGTCATGGACTCATAAATTTGGGGAGAGTTTGAAACTCCATCAGCTAGGATTTATGGTAGTTCCGGAATTTGTAGTAAAGGTTCAATGCAGGTGATTTCTTTTATTTTTTAATATGCATTAGGATCTTAAACCTGAATCAAATTGTAGCATTTTAATTCCTTTTTAACCTTTATATACTACAAAGTTTTGGATTGCATAATTAATTAGTTTAATCGGATCTTGGCTTCCCCTCCCATAGCCAGATTGTATGCATCTGTTCATAAATTGTGGCTGCTGAAATTGTCTAATTTGAATGAGTGGTTGCTGGATTCTGTTCTGAATAATTGAAGATTAATGTGAAGATTAGACATTTGGACAAATTTGTCAAAGGTCTAAACTATTCTGTGAACAACTTATATATTTTTTATACTTATAGGTCCAAAAATTTGTTAAAATCATTAATTTTACTGTGATGATGAAATTTATTTAATCCAGATGACTGTAATATCTAGCTCTCAAAATTGGCTATGCCCATATTGGGGCTTACTACATATGAATAAAAAATGTACCTTCAAAAATTAATTTTTTTTACTATGTAAAATTATCAAGGGGTGCAACACTTCTAAGTGTGGGCCTCATATTTATCTATCATATATACCATGTTCGTATGTTGGTGCGATGTTCTAGGTGATCCGCGAGCAGAATGAATCGGGTGTGCTTTGGAAGAAGCCACCCAGATCATCGCAACACCGAAAAGGTCACCAACCCAGCCTTATGAAAAAGGGACAACCAATGAGATGGAACACTGTTGGATGCATTCCTTCGCTAGCAGAACTGAAGCCCATCTCAATTGATGAGTCTTTGGTACAGTAATCTCGAAACAAAATAATCAAATCTAAAAAAGTTAAGGATTTATAAAGAAGAAAATAAATATTGGTACAATGATTTATAGAAAAAATATTATCAACATATAATAACACAAATTAAAAAGAAAAATAAAATTTGAAATTGACGAAACAATTAGATGAATTTTAAAGGGTAAAATATACTTTTAGCTTCTGAGTTTGAAGATAAATTTGTATTTGTTGAAATCAGACAGTTTGATCCCTGACTTTTGAAAAATAATTCTAAAAGGTACTGGAGTTAAACTTCCATTAGTTAACTAACAGAATGCTGACGTGACACGATGAGGTGTATATTTATTATTTTAATATTATTTTTAGGTTATATGACATTTTTATTTTACATTTCTCTCTAATCCTCTCCCCCTCCTCCTGGTCGGAAGATAACCCCAACAATCTCTTTATGTGTTTGCCTGTAGGCTCTTAGTCAATGCAAGAGTGTTTTTTTTAATAGATTATTAATCACTTAATTAAATTATAACAAACAGAGTTTAGGTTTGGGTTTGAAGAGGAAGAGGTGTCTTCATCTTAGACACTCAGAACCCAGAGATTGGCAGCCATAACCCCAATCGAAATGTTATCTCTTGACAATTCCCCAGAAATCGAACGGTTGCGGAGATGCAATGAAGGCGGTTGCAGAGCAGTGCTCCCGGGGAGGAAGAGAGCATAGTTTATCCTAATTTAGTCATTTCGACCATAGATTTTTTTAAGAAAAATTTACTCTAACAATATTTCTTTCTTCAAGTTACACTCCTCTGGCTTGTAATCTTGTCTATTCTCCACCAACGTACAACCCATTCTATCGGGGGTTACATTTCGGAGAAGAAGGAGAATCCATTATGTTGGGGTTACAGTTCGAGGGGAAAGAAGATGAAGAGAGATATAAAAGATGAGAGAAAAATGGGAAATGAAATGTCATATAATTCAAAAATGATACAAAAATAATAAATATACACCTCACTTCACCGATGCCACGTCAGCGGACTAAAAGGAAGGCTATGGCCCTTACGTCAGACAGGATATTTTTGTTTTTTATCTTTCTTTTTCTTTTGATTAAGTGTTAAAGAGGTTATTATTTACTATATAATCCAAAGTATTTCAAAGTTGGAGTACTGAATATTGGTGAGTTAAAGTTATTAACATGTCATAAGTCTTAGTCTTCCAAAATCGAATATAATATCTATAGTTATATTTTAAGGGTGTGAATTAGTTAGTTTAAAGTTAAACATGGTTTTGGCCCTAACTTTTATATATTTATTTTTACTTTACTATTGAACTTTTGAAATCTTAGTCGTCCTAGTTGTAGAAATTTCTATACATTTTTTAATTTGATTTATATTATTTTTTTCCTCTTTTTTTTTTTTAGTTCACAAATGGGTATGGGGATACGCCTTATATTCAAATTACAAACTTGAATGTATTAAATGAACTTTTAAAATGGTAAAAAAATTATAAAAGAAATGTATAATTTTTAAATTTGAATTCACAATCTCTCTAGGTTAAAAGATAGCCAATTAATGCTGAGCTAAGTTCATATCCACCTAAAATTAGAAATTGAATTTAAAGAAGAAAATAAAATATATAAAGTTTCACGGATCAGTACCAAATTTATTCCGATGCATTTGGTCTCCACTCTTCATTGGATGTGTCTCTCCACCAATCATACAAAAAAATCTAAGTGAAGAATAAATTAACAAACCTGAGAAAGCATTCTTTCGGGGGAAATCTACGAAAGCATACTGATTTGAGTGAAGGAATGATGGTTGTGGAATTAGTAAGTGGCATTTTCGACACCGTGGCAGTGGCGTTCGTGGGTATCACCATGCATGAAGTCGTCGATGGTAGTGGTTGGGTTCATGTGCACTGCTTGAATTTGGGTTCATGATTAACGACTTAGTTTTTTGTAATTTAAAAGTTAGTAATACTTTAATACCTAGATTTAAAGCACTAAAATATTAGTGCCTATCAAAAAAATTTCATTATATTGTAAAAGAGATTCTTAACCGATAAATAGCTCAAAAACTAATATTAAATACACATATTAAAAAATTGACATAAAAATTCTTCATGACAAAACCTAAATTGGTCACAAGTTTTAAAAGTATTGGTATACTAAAGTTTATAAATTAAATCATATAATAAAATCTAAGTAAATTAAGGAGTAAGTTGTTAGTTCTACGAAAATATATCTGAACCATTGCATCTCTGTAAAAATAACTTGAAAAAAAAAATCTCTAACAATCTTAAATATCTTTTTATATTGTTGCCTCAAAAAGTCTCTCAGGTTGGACTTTTAGGGACACGCATTCCATCAATCATTCTCGAGCAACACAATATTCAACCAAAGGGGCACCACATAGCCTATTGATAAAGTTTTAAATTACGATATAATATATGGATATGGAAATATCGCAGATATTTATAAGAACTTTTAACAAGTAATTAGTCAAGACTAAGAGTAGCTAGGGATAAGCTAAGTAATTAATGATATTTAGAGAATTGGGTGTGGTGTAATCAATTTGAATTTCGTTCAATGTTTTTCATTTTGGTATAAAATTTTATATTCAAGTAGTGAGAGGGTGTTCAAATTAAACTTATTGGTTGGAAAATAAATTTGTGGTTGGTTTGAAAATTCATCACGTTTGTTTTCCACAAATGAACATACGCATGAGGTCATTGCTGGGTGGAGACGAAAGATGCAATAAAACAACACCATGTGTTCCCAACAATTTGTTTGTGTAACAAATGCTCTATCTCGACATGCTGGATAGAAGCAAGGCTCTCGTTTTTCGTAGGAGTAGATGAGTTACATGAGTTACATGACTACATTCAAGACAAGATATAAGTGGCACTTTAATTTGTTCGAGGGGAGGATTGTTGAGGTTGCAAGATGTGCAAACAAAATCTAATGTTTGGTTAGGGGAGGGAGTGAATGGTATATATAAGTGAGGCCTTTTAAATAAAACCAAAATTAAATTTATGAAAATTATGCTCAAAGCAAATAATATCATATTATTGTGGAGATGTACTATTGTCCTTTAACGATAACTTTATTATTGTCCCCAACTAAACATATCTTTATCTCCGATAGAAAATTGTAATTTTGAATTCTCACCATCTATTAATGATGTATAGTTTTAAGAGAAAAAAACTTATAACTATGCTTAAAACGGGTCTAATATTAGTTTATAATATAAACTTGGTCAAAAACTAATTAATTAAAGGCAAACAACCCTATTTAGGATTATAAAAAATGACCTATGGTAAAATTAACCTCACAAGTCACAAGTGGGGAAAATTGTGGAAAAGAAAAGAGAAGATAGAAGACCGACCCCACCACATCATAAATTTTCAAAAGCAAAGGTCCCAACAAACAAAGTGACAATTTTGCAAGTCTTCTTCCGACACAAAAGTCAACTCAAACGACAAAAAACAAAACAAAAGAACAAAAAATAAATAAATAAATCATGAATTATATATATAGTAATAATAGTGTTGCCATATCTAATGAAGAGCAAACTCAATTATGACCAACCAAATTTTACAGCCTATTATCCCACTTCCACTTGTGCCACTAATTGTTTCTTTGTTTGTAATCCTCTGTAGAGCGAGTGCGACCAATTCTGAAGCTGAAGCTCTCCTCAAATGGAAATCAAGTCTTCCAAAGCAATCCATTTTGGACACATGGCAGCTGGTTCCTTCAAATTCTTCAAGCTCCAGAGCTTCAAATCCATGTCAATGGCGGGGAATTACTTGCAACAACCAAAGCAGTGTCGTAGGAATCAATTTGGCTTACACTGGTTTGAATGGAACTCTCCACAACTTGGACTTCTCTTCATTTCCCAACCTTCTTCGTCTCGATCTCAAGGTCAATAATCTCAATGGATCCATTCCACCCTCCATTGGACTCGTCAAAAACCTCCAATTTCTGGATCTCTCCACAAACAATCTCAATAGTACCCTTCCTCCTTCTCTCGCTAATCTCACTCAGGTCTACGAGCTCGACGTCTCTCGAAACTACATCACCGGGGGCTTGCACCCCAGCTTCTTCCCAAGCGAAGATTCCGAGTTTGGCCTCAAAAGTTTACAGCACTTCCTCCTGCAAGACACCAAGGTAGAGGAAAAGAAGCATACTATACCTTAATTAGTGACTTATACCTTAATTATGAGTCGCGTCTGAATTAACTTTTAAATACACACTTTAATGGTAATGATTCTATAGATTTTCAATTTAGTCGATTTTGTTTAAAAAATTTCAATATGTTTTAACCCATTTTTTAATACAATATGTAGGGTGAAAATCAAACTCACAACTCCTTGTTTTGAGATATATGTCAATTACGGTTAAATCATATTCATTTTGACATGTTTTAACCATTTTTAATCATATGTTAAGATTGTCCGGTGACACGTTTGACTTTATATCTAATTATTTAGTCGTATAAATTCAAAAGATGAATTAATTCGTATTACAAAGCAAAGTTTCTAATTAATTACTGTTCTTGTATCAAATTTTAAATCCATCGCTACTATCAGAACTACAATTAATTTATAATCCGATCTTATATAAACTTTTGGATCTACCACTGTTCAGGTGGGAGGAAGGCTTCCGGAGGAGATCGGAAATATGAAGTCTTTGAATCTTATAGCTTTCGATGCTTGTGAGTTCTTCGGGCCAATTCCTCAGTCTCTGGGAAACTTGAGAAATTTAACCATTCTTCGTCTGAATGAAAATCGTTTCACTGGTGAAGTTCCGGAGGGTATAGGGAAGTTGACCAAATTGGAAGATCTACGGCTGTTCAGTAATAACTTAACTGGGCCACTGCCTCAAGGATTGGGAAACTTTTCATCTCTGGTCATCGTTCACGTCTTTGACAACAACTTCACTGGAAATTTGCCGGCGGGTCTGTGTAACGGTGGGAAGCTCGTTAACTTCACTGCTGCAAGTAATTCTTTTACAGGTCTGATCCCAAAGCTTTAATTTAAACGTTTTCAGTTAATTCATTCATATATGTGTGTAAGAAATTTGATTGATTATATATTTGCTTTGATATTAGGATTAACATTTATATTTATGATTATACCTCTTGAACATCAGACTATATCTGCTGCTTGAGCTTGTGTTCGTTATTGAATGTGACTGTCCTTAATAATCGTTGGAGGTAGGTTCGATTGTTCAAATTTATATACTCTAATATCTATTCGATACAAGTTTGAAAGGCTCTTTAGATCAAGAATTATATTTTAATTTACCAAAATTTTTTTTGGGGGAGCACGATGGATTGTTAGTGCAGACGATTTGGAAGATATAGTTGGAAGAGTCATGGTTAGGTTCTATGTATACACTTAGTGGAATTTGACTTATTTTAACTCAATCCTTTTAATAGACTTGCCACACATTGTATAGGGTATGTATGGTCCGGAGAAGCTTACTGATTACCGCTACTTTATTTATTTTCGTTTTAGTGTCGGATTTTATGTTTGGTTCAATAGTATACTAATCTCTAAGTTAGTTTTATGGTCCCATTTGATCACAACCCTCTAAAGTTCAACCATTTACTTTTCTAGTTAAGATTCTCAAGATGGAATTACTACTCCATGAATATTGATATGGCATCAGAATTCAAAACGTTCTAACGAACGTTTGGTCAAAAAATTGAATCAGATCAAGATCGATGAGTTAAAATAGTTACGATCTAGAAGGGATGTTAAGGGTCCTATATTGAAAAGATAAAATGAACTAACAAGAGTTTATAATATAAGTGGGTTATTCCTCTCGATTGATTTTGAAGGAACGCTTATGAATACTAATAGTTATAACCTCTTCTTTCTAGGATTTCCATAAAAGATCAGAGACTAGCCTATATTCTGGCCAAGTTGCATGCATACTTGAGAAAGGCATGAACTAGTACACATGATCTCCTACTTCCAAGTTACCTTTTCTCTAGCACATGAGTTTAGAAACTTTTCTTTTTTTTGGTATCATGAGTTTAGGAATTCTCTCTATGTGGTCTTGATTTCCTACATAGATCGGTTTATTTGTCTATTTATTTTTAGATACAATATAGATTTGTTTATAAAATTGCCAGTGAATAATAATCAACATTAAAAATTGCTCTGAAAACTCTCTTTTATCTTTGGTCATGTGTTCACATTTTACAGGTCCGATCCCAAGAAGCTTCAAAAACTGCTCAACGTTGTATAGGCTTCGTTTGGAACACAATCAGTTAACTGGAAATCTGGACGAAGATTTTGGGGTTTATCCAAGTTTGAATTACATAGACTTGAGTGATAATCGACTGACTGGGGAGCTCTCTCCAAACTGGGGAAAATGCAAAAATTTGACTAAATTGAATATTGCTGGGAACAGGGTGAGTGGAGAAATTCCAGATGAGATCACTCAGTTGAAGAATTTGGTAGTCCTTGACCTCTCCTTCAACAATATCTCAGGAGTAATACCGAAAAATATCGGAAATTTATCGGAGTTGTCGTCGCTGCAGCTGCAAAGTAATCAGCTTTTCGGCAGCGTGCCATCCGGGATTGGAAAGCTGTCGAATCTTGCGTCGCTTGATCTCTCGATGAATCAGGTTGAAGGTTCGATTCCCCGCCAGATTAGCGACTGCTCCAAACTTCAGAATCTGAACTTGAGCAGGAATAGGCTTAATGGTTCCATCCCATTTGAGATGGGGAATCTCTTTTCCTTGCAGAATTTGTTGAATTTGAGTTATAACTCCATAGTTGGAGAAATTCCTTCATCTCTTGGGAAGCTGGTATATTTAGAGAGCTTAAACTTATCCCACAATCATCTGTCTGGTCAAATCCCTCATTCCTTAAACAACATGCTGGGGTTGGTAGATATCAATCTCTCCTTCAACAATTTAACCGGCCCTCTTCCCTCCGGTGGCGTCTTCGACAAGGCTCGGCCGGAGGATTTCGTTAACAACACAGCTCTATGTGGAAATATCGCTGGCATGCAATCGTGCCACGAAGATTCCACAGGAAAAACTAGCAATGAGTTAAGGTATTATTATTCTATCCCTTAACTCAAAGTTTAAACTATATTAGCTTTGTTGAATTCAATATTGTGTCTAATAATTACTATTTAATCTTTAAAAATGATATAAAGTAGATCCTTAAAACTTTCAATTTTGTATCTAGGTTATTTTAATTTTTAATAAATTCTTGGCTTAATAGACATTTTATAGTTGCAAAATCTTTTAAGCACGGAATTAAGGACTCATTTGGTATTGTTTTCGTTTTTTATTTAAGGTTCGCAATTTTATTAAGAAACATAAATATTTGACAACTATTTATATTTTTGTTTTTCATTTTTTTCAGAAATATAATATTCTCAAAATTTCTTGTTTCTCGTTCTCATTTCTAATTTGTTCCAAACATGCATATAAAAGAACAATATAAACAAGAAACGGAAATATTACCAAACAAGCTCTAAAAGTTCACACTACAATTTTTGAAATACAATTTTTGAAATATGGAGACTTCTCTTAAACACACAATTAAAAGTTTAATAATCTAGATGATGAAACTTATAATTTAAAATATTTATATTGTTAACAGGCGGAAGCTAGTGATCATTCTCGTTCCTTCTCTATTGGGTGCTTTAATTTTCTCTTTGCTACTTTTTGGGATCATTTCGTGCTGCAAACGAGAAAAAGGAACACAAAGATTGAATGACGAAACAAGAACACCAAAAAACCAATCACAGTACCCATTTTCAAATCTTTGGGGCTACGACGGGACGCTAGTGTACGACGACATCATAGAAGCCACACAGAATTTCGACGACGAGTTCGTCGTCGGCGCCGGTGGATCCGGGAAAGTTTACAGAGTCGAAATGCGCAGCGGTGAGGTGTTAGCGGTGAAGAAGCTAAACTTTTGGGACAGTGACATGGGAATGGAGAACATGAAGAGTTTCAGAAGCGAGATCGCGGCTCTAACAGAAATCAGGCACAGGAACATTGTGAAGCTGTACGGGTTCTGCTCGCAAGGGGAACATGCGTTTTTGGTTTATGATTTCATCGAGAGGGGAAGTTTGGCGGATTGTTTGAGGAGCGAGAAGGCGGCGGCGGAGTTGGACTGGGTGAAGAGGGTGGAGATCGTGAAGGGCGTGGCGGAGGCTTTGTGTTATCTACATCATGACTGCGTCCCAGCGATTGTCCACCGCGACATAACGGCGAAGAATGTGCTCTTGGATGAGGAGTTTGAAGCTCATGTTGCAGATTTTGGCACTGCCAGGTTTTTGAAGTTTGATGCATTGCATTCGACGGGAGTTGCAGGCACTCATGGCTATGTTGCTCCAGGTGAGTTCTTTATGGTGCAGAAAACATTGGCGTTAACATCCTCCCTACCACCATTAAATTTTTGCATTTCTATCTTTTAGTTGTTGTCGCATATTGAATGGTGATAAGAAAAAAGTTGCTTCTATTTTTCTTATTATGCATGATTAACAACCAACTTGTTTTTGTTTACATCATCTACGTTTGAAAAAGGAAAGAAATTAAGTTAGAATTGCCAATTTTGTTCTTATAGTTCAAGAGTTTTAAAAACATAGGTTAAATTAACGTATTTCGTCTCTTAATTTTGATTCTTGTGTCTAATAAGTTATTGGATTTTAGAAACTTTCTCGATAGTTAACGTATATATTTTTGACCAAAAGTCTTAGTTCGAATTCTCATCCCTATCTGTTATACTCAAAAAATTAAAATAAGTTTTACAAATAAAAAACTTAAAAGCTGACATACCGTAGTTAGATTTCCATGATATTGATTTATTCATTTACACAATCCAAAAAAACATGCTTCACAAACCTAGGCTCGTTACCAAGTCCCACACTACAAGTTATGTTTAACATCTCTTGATTGCAATTGACAATAGTAATTAGTTCATATGCAGTTTTCAATCGCGATAACTATACAATTGTTTCTCGTATATTGCAAATGCAGAGCTTGCCTATACGAACAAAGCAACAGAAAAATGTGATGTCTTTAGCTTTGGAGTCGTGGTCTTAGAAGTCATCATGGGAATACATCCCGGAGAAACAGTCCTCTCCTTACAATCTTCGCCCGAAAACACCATCGACTTGAAAGACTTATTCGATCCTCGTCTTCCACAGCCTCGAAGTCGAAAGATTTTCGATGAATTAGCTTCAATTGTAAGTACAGCTGTCTCTTGTGTGCAGGCTGAACCTCAGTCACGACCCACCATGCGCAGCATCTGCCATTTGATGGGAATGCTGTGAGTGAAAAGGGAGGAAACTCAGAAGAAAAATGTGAACTTTTGTCTTTTGGGGGAGATTTTATGTTAGAATTTATTAGTTTTCTAGTAATATGAAAAGGGCAATACGTTATTATTCATGAGTAATACAATTCAAGTTAATTCAGCTTTATAGAGATTTCTATTGGTTATATGTCAATGAATAAATGGAATCCTTTGCTGGGAAAATTGGTGCATGGGAGACCAATAAGTATTCTATCTTAATTAGGAAAATAAGGTTATGGTCTCAAATGTCTAAAAAATTTAAGCTGTTTGTTTGGTAGCCTATTTGAAGCGTATAAAGCTTGTCAAAGCAAGCAATAGTTCAACGGTAATTGCATGGATTTTTAAAATAGTAATAAGAGTCTTGTCTATGTGTTATGCTCAACTTGACTGAACAAGGTATTAATAGTCTTCTATGAAGATGCTGGTTTTGAACTCACATGAACGGCCTAGCTTAACTACTAGCCGCAAGATCTCGGCCATATGCTCCTTAGACGGGTGTGCCATGATCATGTGATTCCCTTCAGCATCGTCTAAATATGGCATACCAAAATAAGCATTAAGAACTCCTTGACTAACTATTCAGCAACTCGAGTAGAAGGTGCAAAACGAATCTCTATGTTTGAATTTTTTGGATTCTGATATCATATCAATATTTACCATGTTTCGTCTCAAAAGTAATTGACTATTAGAGGAGTAACCCATATTTATTATAAACTTTTATTATGCTTCTTATATTTTTAACGTGGGATCCTTAACATTTTAGCTAATCAAATGGATAGGATTAGAGTTTGAAATCAGCAGAATAGACGTTGCATTTACAACCAAAAAAAATGTGTTATTGTTCAATAAATTAAAATGGTAAAGAATAAAATAGTTTTGGAAAAAATTTACTTTTTACCCATTAATTTTGAAGGTGAATCCATGTCTATTACCTTAAACTTTCAACTAATAACATAAAAAAATGGACCTTAAGTTTAGATATATAAGTTCACCTACTAATTTAACTGAGTAAAAATTTTCCAAAACTCATTAATGAAAATCAAGCACCGGCATGGATATAGATCAACTATTAATATCGGTCAAAGCAAGTATAGCTCAGTAATTGGCGTATATACCCTCCAACCACAAGGTTGCAAGTTCGAATCCCCTCTCAAACATGTTGTACTAAAAAAAACTATTAATATCGAATAAAACTCGTAAAACTCACCCATTTCAACAAAAATCCAATTAGTGACATGTTTTTATTTTATCTAAAGCCCAAACACTATTAATTTTATACAAATGCCTAATATTTGTTATATATTGAATGCATATATGAAAATATTTTGTTTAACAATTTTGCACTAAGATAAAAATTACAATACTTATTTAAGTCTAAGGTTTAATTTGATGATTATTTAAAATTTAAGGTATTGATTTGACCAACTTTTTTCTAGAGTAAAAATTGTTTCTTTCTCCTATTAGTCTTTTGTGCTAAGTTTAGAACTAAAATAAAATATTTGAAAGTCTTTTATTTACAACCAGTATTGTTGTAGGCCTGGGAAATTACAACACACGTATAATGTAATTTACAACCAAATAGAACTTTTGATCACTAAAAAAACATTAATAATTCTTGTAGCTAGGCATGGGAAATTACCATACACTTATAACTTATTGTCACAGCGAGCATATATAGTTCAGTGATAATTGGTATATATTTCCAATTAAGAGGTCGTGAGTTCGATCCGCCACCCCACATGTTGTACTAAAAAAAAACAGACTTATATAACTTATTATTTTATTACACTTATAAGAATAACATATTGAAGAATTTTTCATGAAACCCCTCTCTCTGTGTCTAGGTTTTAAGTTTTGGGTTTGAAGATGTGTGAGATGGAGGATTGTAGCCTCTCCATGGAGATGGATATACATTTCCTCCCCATGGACGATCCTGTGCAGCTTGTCTATCAACTTTTCCTCCCTTGACGCCAACATCATCATCTACAATTTCAACCAACACAACATCTAGATATTTTAATTCTTAATAACACAAGGAATTTAAAGAAACAAACTTACAAAATTACACATTAACTATTAGGGATGATTTGGAAGACGAGAGATATATATATATATATATATATATATATATTTCTTACAAAATAAAAAATGATTTATAGCTCAACTGATTAGGACACCTATCTTTGACTAAAAAATCTGAGTTCAAACCCCCAACCTTCATGCATTGTACATGAAAAATAAATAAAAATATAATAAAATATAATTTTCTTATAAAAATAAAGCTAAAATACTATGATTATTTTAGTGTCATGTCGAAATTGTGATCGAAAAATGAATGTGTGGATCAAAATAAATATTTTAAAAATACAAAGACCAAAACCAAAATGAATCAAAGTTGAAAATAGAAGTAACAAACTAGTATTTTAAACCTAGTAATAATAGTAATAACAAAAATGGAGAAGAAACGTAGTTTTTTTACAAAATTGGTTTATCAATCTTATTTGATCCCAAAGTTCAATTCTTCACTTCAGTCTGGTCCTAAAGTTTCTTAAAATAATATGTTATTCAGTCCCCAATTTTTTAATATTTTGTTTTAGTCTATAAATTTTACAAAAAGTAGAAAAATTACATAAAACTATTAACAAACAACAAAAGTTGAAGATTTAATTAAGAAAAATTACCATTAGGGGCAGCAACCAAGTTCCTTTTTGCAGTCACGTGGGTGGCTAAGAGAAGCACTGCTACAGCCAACAGAAGCAATTCTTCAATTCTTAAGAAGTGCTTCTTGGAAGCCATCTTTTTTCTTATTTGTGTGCATTTTTAAAGATTATATTGTTTGTATTTATAGACAAATAATGCAATTTCTTATTTGTTTTCGATGTCATTTTCAATGAGCCGTGTCAAAGCATTCTTAGAACATATATTTTATTTAGAGTGATTTGGAGATGATATTAGAAAATAAAAATAAGGGTTTTTGATGAAATATTTTTTCAACCAAATATTGTTGAAGAATTAATTGTGTGGTTTGATATGAGCTAAAAATGATAATAATATTTGTATTTATAGACAAATAATACAATTTCTTGGAGAGAAAAATTATTTTCGATGTCATTTTCAATGAGCTTGCCAAAGCATTCCTAGAACATATCTTTTATTTAGAGTGATTTGGAGATGATTTTAGAAAAGAAAAATAAGACTTCTTGCTGAAATATTTTTTCTACCAACGTTGTTGAAGAACTAAATACTGTTAAATAACTGAAAGTGTTTTTTGTGTTTTCTTTTTTTTTGGGGGGGGGGGGAAAGTCTACAATAAAATGCTTTTTGTCCTTAAATACTTTTAAATAACTGAAAAATAATTGACCAAAAAGTAGTACCAAAAAAAAAACTTTGCTATTAATAAAATCACTTTTGAATTAAGTGCAATAACCAAACAATGTTATTAAAAGTAAATTTTAAAACAATGTAACTAAATGCATAATTTAAAAGAATTCTTATTAAAAGTATTTTAAGAAAAGTTTCCTAAAGTATGTATCTAAAAGTATTTTAAGTGCTCATAAAAGTTTCAAAATTATTTCTGATTATCTAATAAAATTTTTAATTTGATGATTTGCATACTTATGAAATTGGAAAAACACAAACACACACTTAAATCATCTTTATATTTATTATTTTATTTAAATACAATCATTACAGACAAGATAATCATTTATAAATTATTTGTAATTTTCTTTTTCATATAATTTTATTTAGTTATTTATGTACTATGCTTCCATGGTCCAGCTATAACCTTCAGCCAAAATTCACGAGGCGAGATCCGAGTGATTGGGTGAGGAGCTGAATAGAGTGAACTGAAGAGGAAGACAACGCTCAAGTCAATTGAATACCTAAAGATTTGGTTGAAGATCAGAAAATAAAAATTTGAAAACAAGAGATTCACTTTTTAGTGTTTTCAGACATATGTTTCGTGACAAATTTGATAATTGAATCCCAATTTAGAAAATTGTTTAATGTGGGTTTAGTAATATATTTCTAAACGAGAGGTAGTTACAAACTAAATTTTAGTTTAATCTAAACTTATATTAATTAATTTATTAACATTTTTTTATAAATTTTGTGTAACTATTATTTTACAATGTTATATAATTTATAATACCTCATATTTTACATATTTTAATTTTAACAAACATAAAATGAGTTTATAATATGATGTAATATATTTATCAAAGTTTTCATCATTTTTTATGTAATTCTGCATCTTAAAAATTTCAAATTCTGAATCTAAAAACACTGAAAACATAGATTAGTCGAACTATTTTCAAAAACGAATTTCAAAATCCTGCCAAACCCATATTGGTCGAATTCATTTGATTCAGTGAATCTGAAAACGAAAAACAGAATTCGGATTTCCAACCAAACAGACCCTAAATCTCTAGGTTGAGTTTAGATAGAATTACATACTTGATTGAGTAGAGTAGAGGTATATTTTATAAGGGTCGGGTGGAATTCTCCTGTTGCGAAATTGCGGACAAGATCATCACGGAGATAATCTCGACATTGATTCCGCTTGAATCACTCCTAAATATACACAAGAGCACTTTGGCCCTTAGTTCATTGAACGACTCTTTGTGTTCTATCTTTGAACCCGTGTAAAGAATTACATAGATGGTGTAAATGTTGACATTTATTAGATAAACAATTATTATATTAGTCATTTGTTATTTCACTTTCGTGCATTAATTCTTATTATTGATCGTTGTTGTCTACTAGCAACTATATATTGTCTTCGGATTAGCGCTCTTGAACAAGACTTTGACCATCTTTGATCTCTCATCAAGATCAATTCGTTTGATGTTGCTGCTGCTTTTGCTGCTGTCGTTCTGGTCATTTACGGATGTATTGCCTTCTGTATTTCTCCTCCTCTGGTTCAATTTTAGTTCTACATGTTTCTAACATATTCGCAGTATTTATTTGTATTACACTATCAAGCTTGTAGTCAATTACGTTGTAATATTTTACTAGTGTTACACAATTTATATATATATAGCGTTTATTCTTGCATTTACCCCGACACTGAAAGTATCACTTACATTTTTTAACTATTACCCTCCTTTTTAATTCTATTTCCTAAAATTGAACAATAAATGATGACACAATATTTTTACAAATATTATTTTCTATAATTTGATAAATTTTTATGTTAAATATTCATCTCATTTTAGTCGTCAATATAACAAATATGATTGAAGATATAACACTCAGCCTTGGACAAGAGTGGTTATATGTTGTGATCATTCATTTAGTAGATTTCACTTCTCCAACCAACTTCTTCCAAAGATTATAAATATTTGAGAGAGACTTTTTCTGAAATTAGAACCACGCAATTATATTGTAGTGATTAATGGATGAATTAACTTGTAAATAATTAACAATATAATGGGTTAAATTATTAGATATTTTCGAGAGGAGTCTATCGCAACGTAATCGCCTTTCTTTGTTTGACCCAACTTCGTTCTAATGCTGAAGCAACGCTCCTTGAACATGAGTGGGATTAACTCCAAGTCTTTTGCAAATGCGCCTCTTAGATACTTGGTTGGACAATTCCTGACTTTCGAGATTCGAGTCAGCTTCTCCCCTATTGGTGACTAATTTACCATTTGTTGAGGGTGTCCAGCTTATCATTTGTACTGGTTTCGTCCTTTTCCAGGTCGTGTCTTTGCATTCGTGAGAAACTTGTTACTTTCCTTTGACTTTTCCAACTCCACGAGGCGTTGAAAACTTCATTACCTTATGGTAGGTAGAAGGTATGGTCTTTAGGTTTTGGAGGGTCGACTTTCCTAAGATCACATTATAGATCGAGGCGTAATCTACAACGAAGAACTCCACCAACCAAGTGACGAGGACTCCAATGCTTTTTTCAAGGATTACCAGTTCGCCTCTTCCTAAACTCATGGTATTGAAATCTACCAAGGAGAGCAAAGTTTATCGTTTCCTCCTTTAAGAAGTCAAATCCATGAGTTCGAGTCAGACAAGCTAGTATAGCCTTTGAGAGAATCTTAATTTCTCTAGCCCTCGCCTTTCTCTTCTATGATTTTTTATTTTGTTATCTACTCTAAAACATTTTCAAAATCCAAGTCAAATTTAAAAATAAAAATAAAAATAAAAAAAACTTTTTTTAAAATTTCGCTAAAAATATAAATGTATTTTAAGATCGGTGAAAAACACTTTCTTTAGACAAAGGAAGCAAAATATCAAACATGTATTGTTCCTCTTTCAAGATCTTCCCTCCAAGATCTCCATTATGCTTCATTTCACTTGCTAAGAAATCTTATTCACCCGAACTTCGAATGACTAATTCAGAATTGTTGTAGTTACAATAGCATTCTTCAGCCTGTAAATTAGTAGCTTAGATATTGTCCATTCTCTTTGCATCTACAGTTCATTCGCCTAGGCAGCGGAAGCGGCAGCCCGGATATACGATTAACCGAAAAATATAGAGATGAAGAGAGGTAGATGATAGAGTATCTAAGAAACTCTAAAAAAACCATCTTGGTCTTACTTCCTCTTCCTCTTCTGTCAAATCGCGGTACTGATACCATTCTGCTCCAGCTTTCCCAACAGGCATGGGAGGCCTAACAAAGATCTCCACTGGCTTCGGAACATGGACAACCAACTCGACTTCCTCGACCGATGTTTCTAAATCTGAATTAGTATTTTGGAATGGATTTTTTCGTTCAACTGCGATCCATCCCAAGCCTGATATAGCCACATCACAAGCAGGCCTGTCCAGAATGCAAGGAGAAAGAATTTCTTATCAACTGAAATGCACACATTACCCAGATTACACCAACTAAAACACATCCAGAATACCAAATCTTATCTCAGAGGACAAAGGTACTTCACAAAACAACATAACTCAGTCGATCAGTAAAAGTTCTAACGCACCTTTGCTCATCCTCAAAATTTATCGATAATCGGCGCACGGTTTCAAGTCCTCTCCAGCTGTCTGTTGTTTGTTTTCCAGTTGGAGGTGTCAGTGAATCCCCAAGTTCTTCCTGTCAAATAGCGAAAGAAAACTTCAAATGGCATATAATAAAAAGGAAAGAAGTAGTCCTATGGACGATTGCTTTCATTAAGTTAAGAAAGTCAACAAAGATTAATCTTGGAATTGTTTTTTACAATTATAAACAGCATTCAGATTACCTGATAAAATTCATCTGCCTTTTCAGTAGGAACCATGTGGATCTGCAATCCTTTTGGACCATAGAATGTCAAACATGTTTCTGGTAGAACCTGTTAACAACAATGACAGATGCCAAATCCGGAAAAAGTACCATTCCTGACTAGAAGAGAAAAAGCATTTTAAATAACTAAAATAAAGACCTTTAATAAATCTACTCTCACAAGACCTCCCCAAAAGATAGAAAAGCCATTCAACCCACTGTTTAAGTCCTTGCTTCCCATCCCATCGTCAGTTGGCAATTGATGAATCTGAAAAAAAAAGTTCAATTTCATTGAAGCAGAAGCCAAGCAATGTAACCATTGTGGAATTTTGAGTCTGCATACTGGGAAATGTTGACCCCTGAGCCGACTTTGAGGTGCCAGAGCAGGAAGATCTTCTGATTGAACAACTGCAGCTAGCCTATGGTGGAGATGAACTCCAGGTGTATCATATAATTTCTGCATAAGAAACATATGCTAATCACTTAAAAGAAACGAAAAAAATTTTATTGGTTTTATAGAAATTGGAATCACTGGTTAGGCAAACACAACAGAGAATCTATACTAACGCATGAGGCAGCTTCACATACAAAAAATCAGCAATATTAACGCATACCCCTCCTCCTAAGAAAGCGTCAATTTGAATTGGACCTAAAGTAGTTCCAGGGACAGCAGATTGTATCGGTCTGTATTTTTGTGCTGCTGCAGCGACCGGATCCCTTTCACCCATCTTCTCTGCCATTAGCCCAAAAGTAATTGGGATATTAAACACAATGTCACCCTATCTAAAGCTTGACATATGATGTGCATCCTTCTATGTTACTGTGAATGTGATATAGATAATAAACGAAAGGAAAATGTACTCACGCAGCAAAGCATTGATGAAAGCAGACTTCCCAACATTGGCTGACCCCTACACGCATGCCAAAATAAAATCCAGTCTCATCAATAAAATTATCTAAAATAAGACCTGATGACATGAAAGCTCACAACAAATTTTAAGAAATGGGGAGAAGGATAAAAAAGCTATTTCCCATCAATTGGTGATGGATTTTTTTTTTTTTTTTTTTGTGGAATTTAATTAAGGAGAAAGAAGAAAGAATAGAAAGCAAGAAGTAAGAAGAATCGAGAAAAAAAATGGAACTCAGGACTTGAGAATACTGGGGCCTGACCTGGCTTTCATACATAGTGGAGCATGTTTTTGGTTTTACTAGTGGCATGTGATTCAATTTTTAAATTATTTTATATCTCAAATTTCATACTTTTAAGGTGAGATAAGTCTTAAATTTTTACTCCCATTTCATATGAAAATCTTCAGTTATTTATTAATCTATGTTAATTATTTATCAATTTATGAGTGGATACATGATACTTATATCGCAATAACTGTTCCGTTTCAATTTAATTGTATACTAACCAGAATGTAGACATCTCGCCCCTGCAACAAAAAAATTAACTCAAAAACTTCAGTCACAAAAATGGTAACAAAATAGAGACAGCATCTTCGCAGAATGGAGATGAGCAAAAGTTGAGAGCATAGCCTCAAATATCCAATTATTATGGAAGGAAAAAGGTGCATAATAGTTGACAGATTTGCTTTCACAAACTTCATAATTATGCGGATATAGAACTTGTGACTAGATCACTAAGGTCATTAATGTTGTTATAATGAATCTTTAGACTTCCTAAAACTTCCATAATCCTAGTAAATACTCCATGAGGACAATTGTTAGACTATATCGAATTAGTTGGCTGGTTCATTTATTTATAAAAACATGAATGAAAATGTTTATGGAAACTTATTAGAGTGAAGTGGAAAGACCTTTTTCTCCTTTTGAATATCTGCCACAACTCCAGCTACTCCAACCAAAGACTTTGAGCTTGTCAGATGAACGCTCAGAACACTACAAAGTTTAAGCAATGCTTCAAAATATGAAAATCCAACAAGCAACTTTAGATCACAACAGATCATGCTCTAGCTCTGACCGATCAATAAATCACATTAACTATGGGTTTATGAATGTTTTAGTTAATGTAAGACTAAGATGAATTCTTGTATATGAAGTATTGCACAAAAGAATGCTCCACATTTCTAAAATGATGTAGATGGAAAGACATTCCACAACAAGACCAAAAGGAACCCAACTTACCCGAGCTTCTTTTTTGTAGTAGCCTCCACAACCCAATCACCAATGCAGTTCAGATCAGTCCCCTTGGGGAGGAGATCAACCTTTAGAAATCATTATTAGTTTCAATCACATTATAGGAATTGGGAAGTTTTTCAATATTCGACAATATCATGAGACTCAACAGATAAGTTGCAAAAAACACCTTGGTAACCACCAGTATTATCGGATTTGCACCAGCAAGATCACGCACACGTGCCAAAAAACTGCCATTGAAGTCAACTATATCAACCTAGAACTCATTGCCAGAAACCTCATATTATACTCTGCAACTGGGAATATCCTGACCTCACTTTAAGATAAATCAAACAAACACAAACGGCCAAAGCTTACCAACTTCACAATCAAAGCCTTCTCATAACGCAAGTGAGAGAGCTGTTCTCGAAGCTGCTCCGCTGCGATGAATTGCTTTCCCCCGGAATAACCTCCATTTCCACCCACAGCAGTTATCATGTAACCATGAGATAGAAGTCGGCACCTCCCACATATAACTCTTCTAAGTTGGTGATGCTTCTTTTTCTGCCCATTACAGAGATCAGACAAATGTAACTCAAGAGCATGTACCAATATACAGGACCATGAAATGTAACAGTATTTTTATTACAAATGCAGTCCAGACAAGTCATGTCATACTCATACATCTGATAATTTCACATCAAGAACCAAAAAACCAGTGAAACTGAGAGAAAAATGGTACAATTCCTAAATACAATACAGTAACCTCTTGAAAGCCACGGAACGAAAGGTTAACTCCTAGTACCAGGTCTGGAAACTGGAAAGACATCATCTGTTCTTCCCGCTCATGAATACTCCGAAAAAAACTTCAAACAAAATTCATGGCATCCAATCCAAAAACATCAAAATATATATATATATATATATATATATATATATATATATATATATATATATATAATTCTTATACAAGTACATACTAATTCGTAGGTTTCCGGGTCCACATATCCCGGAGCGTCCAATTCCGAGGTCTGCAACGGGGCTCCACATCCATAACAAGAGGCAACCGCCAACGAGACCTTCAACGCCTTCTCCTTCGTTTTTTTCCTATTCTTCTTGTTCTCTTTGAGCACAAACTTCGCAGCTTCGAGGGACTGCTGGTGTTCGAGAAACCTATCGCCTCGAGTGGGAGCGGCGGCTCCACTTCCGTCGAATTCCGGTCTGGAAGCGGAGGAAGTGGTAGTGTCGGCGGTGGGAGGGCTTTTCTGGTGGGTTTCGAGTGAGAATTGGGAGTTAATCGAGGAGGAAGCCGAGGGAGTTTTGAGAGATTTGGGGGTGAAGAATGAGGTTTTGAAGACAGAAGGAAGCGGAGGAAAGAAAGTGGAGGAGAGGGCAGCGGCAGCCATGGATGATCGTTGGTGTAACCTTCGCCGGAGATGGACTTACGGATATTTTTTCTTTTTCTTTTCTTTTCTTAATATTACAAATTTAATCACTCACTTCTTTTGGTTTTCTATTGTATCTATTTAAAATTTACAATATTTGGCCTTCAACTATTATTCTCTTTCGGTATCTTAACAATAATTGGTATCTTATCCACTCATTTATGTTTTTAACTTTCTATTTATTATAATGGTATGATTATAAAGTAAAAATTGGTTGATTCCGTACCAGGTAACAAATAGTTGCCAAGAAAGTAGACATTTAGTCGAATAAAAAATACAATATCGATATACTTATATCATTCAATATTACTTTCAACATTCCCATCTCTAACGAAAGAAACGCTCAAGATTCACTTATCCCACAATTCTTATCTATGCCATGGCATATCCTTGAACGTGTTGATCTTACACTACATTTTTAAGTTATTTCTCTTTAAATATTCAGGAAAGTAAAGCGATCAGGAGTCACTTACCTTCATAGAACTCAAAAACAAAATGACGTGAATTTGACTCTCAATCTACTTTTATATTTCATGTTGGGTTTCTAAATTCACATTTTTCTCCATTAAAAGTTACCATCAATCTCGGATGATATAAATCATATCATCTTATTCAAGTACTAAGTTTAAGAAAATCAAAGACTTCCCGAGAGTTCATTTCACTTGTTTTATGCCAAGAAAAGTTTCAAGATGGAATTGCACTAAATGTGCTTGGACTTCATTTACAACGAGTTTAAGTTCAATTAAAGCATCATTAATATTGGAAGTACCTGTGGAGTAATTCCAATATTGATTTTGAAGAGTAATTTGAATATTGAGTTTAGAAACAATTTTCTTTTCTTTATAATTTTTATATTGATCATCTAGGTAAATTCATTCTAACTTTTTATCTCTTTAATGGTATAAATTTTATTTAGAAGTTTCACCATTTGCAATTTGAGTGTTTGCATAATCTATATAGGTTCTTCATTCTTGGTTCAATTTCCTAAAATTTTCTTATCACTTGAATAGTTGGAACAAAAAATCAGTATAATTTATATAGTTTAAACATTAGTATTAAAATCTCTCTCATTTGTGTTCTTATGCTTAAAATTATTATAGGAAATATTATAGGTAATAAAACTCTGTGTATATTATATATCATAAGCTATACTATATATATTATATATCTATATATCTATGCTACAAATTTGTCTGATTGGCTTTAAAAATAGTCACTCATTTGATGGACCATAACATTCAAGTCAATCACATAGTGATAGTGATATCATTGCGAAGATCATGAGGACAAAAAAATTGTAAAAAAGAACATAGACTTAAAAATTATCACCAAATTAATGTTAGGTACATATTATATATATAATTAAACTACAACAATTAATACAAAAACATGTAATTATTCACTAAAATCAAAGTTTAAAAAAAATTACACCCCAACAGCCTCAGAAACCCCTCTGAAAGAATCTGCATTTTCAGCCGGAAAAACCACATTGTCATGAACAATTCCGGCCAGAGCAGCCCCAATCAACGGCCCAACCCAGTACACTGCCTGGTTCTTGAAACTCCCGGCCACAATCGCCGACCCGAACGCGCACGCCGGATTCACCGACCCACCGGAGAACGGCCCCGCAGCCAGCACATTGGCTCCGGCCATCAGCCCGACCATCACGGCTCCAATCGCATTGCATGGATCTCTTTTCGGATCACCGACGGCGAAGACAGTGTACACTAAAGCAAATGTTAATATGCCTTCCACCACCGATGCTCCGAATCCGGTCATTTCCTCCGCAATAGCGTAGCTTTGAACATGCTATAAGTAAGGTAATTGGTTAAATCATCTCTGAACTCAAAAGTTTAGACTGATTGATTACTATAAATTTAATATTTTTTGTTAGGAGAATTTTAATTTTTTTAATTTTATTTATGTTATTAACAAAGTTCAATGGAAGAAATTAAGAAAATTGAAATTGAAGAAGATTAAAAATTGGAAGGGGACGGTCTTGATGAAGATCTCAATTAGTTATTACCTGTCCAAGAATGGTGACTCTAAGAACAATGCAGGCCATGACAGAGGCAAGCATCTGGGCAAACCAATAGAAGAGAGCAGTTGGGATACTGACGTGGCCGCCGACCGCCATGCCAAATGTCACCGCCGGGTTGACATGTCCTCCAGAGATATTGGCTGCAATGTACACCGCAGAAGCCAAAGCAAAGACATTGACAACGGCTGCCACGAGAAGATTCGACGAGTCTGTCCTAACAGCGCCCGACATCATCTTCTCTGCCACATATAAAGTATAATTCAATCAGATCAAACAAAATTTTACCTTCTAACTTTTTATATTTTTGTTATTCCTAGTTAGGTAATTCTAAACTTCTCTCCACTCTCTTCTTCGCTCCGCCCTTATTATAAATAGAGATCAGTAAATGGCTTGTAATACTCACGGGAGGCCATGGATGATCCGACGACAGAGAAGACGTAGAAGAATGTGGAGATGAACTCGGCGGCATAGGATCGGAGTGCGGTCGGGGTGACCGATTGTCGGAAGCGGGAAGCGAGGGAAGATGGGGCCATTTTGCAGGAGAACATTGAACAAGGAAAAGGAGGGAAAATTAAACTGAGTTTTTTCTGGGAAAGGAAAATGAGAGAAAATTTAGCCAAACAATTTTCTCAGATAATGAAATGAATCAGATGAATGATGTATAAGAGATGGTGGCAGTTTGTCCCATGGACAGTTGCAACCTTAGGGAGGGATTTTGGATTTCAAAAGCTTTAACTGCTATTACACGTGGCAAAGTTTAATTGGCTGCTGATCTTTAATGTTTTGAATAATTTACTGGTTCAATTATTTCATTTTTCAGAAAAACAAAAACAAAATAAGCTCCTAACTTTTTTTTTTCAAAACAAAAGCTATATTATTATTATTTATTTATTTTTATTACGCAAGAGCAAGGAGGATGTTAAGTGAGTTTTAAATATGACTTGAATTTTATTTAAAAAGAAAAAGGAAATAATTAATAGAATTAATATTATAAAAGACAGTAATTAATTTAATAGAATTAATATTATAAAAGACATTAATTAATTTGATCAAAAAGGAGTTTAAATTTCATTTTAGTTCCAAAACTTTTTTCCATCATTTTAGTCTTTAAAACTTTCAAAATGTTTGTTTCCCTAAGTTTTGAAAAAAAAAATTATTATTTTGATCACTGGTGTTCTTCAATTATCAATTTTTAGCACATGAATGATTTTTTTTTTAATTGAATACAATCAGATGAAGGAATGAAGGTTTAAACTTCGATCTCAGAAGAAAAAGTAAATGTGAATTATCAATTATCATTCAACTAAACTCATATTGACAATGACATGTTTTTATTGTATATTAATATATGTTGATATAAGCCTGCATTGAGGAGAGAAACCAATCTTTTCTTTTTCTTTTTAAATAAAAATCAAGTCATATTTAAAACTCACTTAACATCCTCCTTGCTCTTGCTTAATAAAAAAATAATAATAATATTGGCTCAATTTGACCCATGCATCCCTACTAATTATACATTATACATGTAAGCACATTAATCACTCCTCATATTTGAAGCTATGTCATCCATCTATTGAACAATTTAAGAAAAAATAATGGCAAGGACAAAAAATTGTTATTTTTTAAAAGTTAAGGGATTGAAATACACATTTGGAGAGTTGGAGAGTTGGAGAGTTAAGGGACCAAAATGGAATTTAAGCTATCATGAAATCTATCGTCCTATGTTTGACAATCTATAAGAGAGAGAATGAATGTTGAGTGTTAAAGTTACACTAATGTAGTATTTTTAAAAGTTGACTTTAACAATCTAGTTAGGAAGTCACTATGATTGTTATAAATGCAGGGAAAATTCAATGGAGTTTTGATCGAGAGAACAAAAAATAATTGGCATATTATTTGGTGGATCTATATGAGGCTAATATTTATAACGGTAGAAGTTAGATTTGAACCTATCTCAATAAGGGATAAGTGACGATCTCACGTCTTAAATCACAATAGGTGATCGAAGGATAGGAGCACGTGCATTAGTCGAGCTGGTGAGTTGATTGGAAGGTAAAGGTGTATTTGTCCGTGCTCAGCGGATGACTTTGAGCTAGAGGTGCTCAAAACTATGGTGTAACTCATCTGGTTGAACAAAGTATGTTCTAAACTCTACATAGTTATAGTGTAGATGTCAAAAGATCTATTATTAAAAATCGCAACATATATATATATAGTTACAACATAACAGTAGAAAAATTAAAGATCGTGTATATATAGAAATACATATTATTTAAATTGAACCATAAGAGAGAAATACTTAAGTTGTTGTAATCATAGATGATAAGATGATAACAACAACATAACAGTAATCAAACAAAACTTGATGAACCACTAGAAACTGATGAAAAAGTAGTCGAGACAGACTTCAAAACAAAGATTTATTCTACACAGGTTGTTAGTAGACTACAATTATTGTCTCAATAGGATACAATGTGACTAACTTCATCGTAGAACAACAACTCTGAGCTGCTTAAAATTTGGCCTTTATACATTTTCTCTCGACATAAACAATGAACAAAAAGAGAAGATGAGAAAATTCTTGGAGGGGGAGACACACAAATTTGGAGTATTTGGAATACTTAGAAATCTTAGTCTCTCTCGAGTGAAGAGATTCAACAACTATATATAGTTGCACTCATGTATAACTATACTCTCACTATTAATATGAATTAATACAAGAAAATCGTAACTATTAAGGATTAGTCTAATAATTATAGCATCTTAGGGTGCCAGTACAGTGGCAAGAGGTTGGAGTGTTTACACCCTGGCGAGCATAGTTCAGTGGTAATTGACATATATCTTCAATCAATTGTAAGTTCGATCCCCCACCCCACATGTTCTACTTAAAAAAAATATGATTGTTTACACGCGAATATGTAAATAAATACAATGGTTTCAAAATTAAATAATCAAAATTATTTAAATTCTCGACAATGATTACAGTAATTAAATTCGTAATTCAACAACCATTTTGAGAATTTTAAAATTCAAACCACCATTATATTTCACACATCTAGATCAAAAATCCAACATTATAGAACGTTAAAGTTTAGATTGGTATTGCATTGGTTGATAACTACTTCAATAACAGAGGTTAAATAGAGTGAATGAAGATAAGCTCATCAAAGTTTTGATATAAGCATCAAAAAGCATCTCTGGTGCAATATCCCCAAGGATAGTATTTGTAATCSGGAAACTACAAGAATTATAATGAATCTTGCCGATAAGATATCAACAATGGTGATAAACTTCGACGTGATGGAGAGATTAGGTGACCATCTATCAAGGTAACAAGACAGTTGGAAAGTAGAAGCATACTAGAACTATGTGCGTCATCTAGACGAGTTCATGATATTTTGAATCGATTAGTCATGTGGAATCGATAACTCTTAACTTTTATTTGAGAGGCTAGATTGACCATGTAAATGCTACGACTCAAGCGATCAAATTGAGGACAATTCATATAATTGATATTTGGTTTCAGTCTACATAAATTTGTTCGATCATAAACTACAATAACGTAATATCGAGCAACTAGAATAAGATGAATAGCCCATAAACTACAATAACGTAATATCGAGCAACTAGAATAAGATGAATAGCCCGTGCACCAAGTTAAAAGAGATAAAAGTATGGTTTTAAATAATAATTATTATTGTACACTGTATCCCAAATTAAGTAGAGCTATATACATTACTCTTAAATAAAGAAATCACCCAATGATCAACTTGATGGGAAAGTCCTTTGAGTTAGTTACAAGCTTTTTGTTCAGTTTCTTCCGCTCCACTTTTCATGTTGTTTACTACTATCAAAAAATATATATAATTATTTTTAAATATATTAGTCAAAGGTTTCAAAAAGATCCATGTGTTTATATATAATTTAATATTTTGTAAAATTTTGCAATTAATCTGTATTTTTGGGATGAGGAGCCCTACATTACCGATCAAGCTAATCATAATGTTACTCTCTATTGGAATTGCTGATAGTAGGGGGAAAAAAGTCAACTACATCTCTTTGAAATTCCTCTTCCTTTGAATTTCTAAACTTATTTATTAGACTTCTTAAAGTCTTAAATGTAGATTAAATAGATCGGTAGACTATATTAAAAAAATTGATGCGGAAACTCAAAGTTAATCAATATGTCTATTACAAGGTCAGAAGTATTGACAAATATAAAATATGTTAACAAAATATCACTAGGGTTAATCATAAGATTTTTTAACTTTATTTGATCAAGTCGGTTTAAATGGAAGTTGATCTGAGAGAAGTTGAAACTCTAGCAAGTGGGGACATGCAAAAGAGACAACGTCCAAGTCAGTGACATATATCATAGAGAATATAGTTTCGCGTCCCTTGAAATGAGGCAAGAGGTCTCTATTTTTAGGCGGACTTTCCAACTGGACATCCGACAAGCCTCCAACAGTTGTTTAAGGTTTCGAGAATCACGGCCTATAATCGTAGACTACCACATGATTAGTAAGAAATCACCTCCAACAAACTTATTTAAGAGGTGAGGATGTTTATTGATTAATTTCTATGGACATAAATTTGAAATTTAGATATTTGACCTTTAGAGCATCATTGCATTATCTTTTTCTATAGAATATATTATTATACTATAGAAATAAAAGATTTAGAGTCCTAATATCTCAATTATTTAACTATACATTGGTTTACACAGTTTAATTTTTCTTTTCTTTTTTAACATATAATCAAATACATCACATTTAACTGTTTCACTAAAATCCCTCGTTCGTAGATCTCAAACGAGGGCGGGTTAGAGAGTTGCAGAGGGAAAGGGCATACCGTTCTTTTCAATTTTCTTCTTCATTTCCCTCGTTTGAATCCAATTACTTCTCCATTACTCCAAATTTCTACTTTTTCTCATCTGGGTTCTGCATTTTGCCTCCACGTTTGGCCTTACAGAGCAAACCCAGCTGCCCAATTCCATAAACAAATGGCTGCTCCGACCTCCTGAACCGCACAGTTTCCTCGGCTCGGTTTTCTTCAACCCTGAGCCCGCCCGCCGCTTACAATCAAACCCAATTTCGCTTTCTTTTCTTTCTTTTCGTTACAGTTTTAGTGAGCTTTTAGAAAGAGCTGCTCTTTGGAACCATCTGGGGCTATAAATTCAATTCGTACAACACCCATTGTGCTTCCACCCTTCTCCTCCGGCTTCGGGATTTGGGAACCCCTTGTCGGTGGCAGGTAATTCGTTCTCGTTTTTGTCTTCTGCAATTCGTATTTCCCATTTCTGATCTTGTTGATTACAGGGGATTTTTGCATTTTGCGTTTTCTTTATTTCCCATTACTTCTGATTTCTATCTTTTGGGTTCCCTGGAATGTTTTGAGGAAGAATGGAATGATATAGAAACTGAAAATTTCGGTTCTGGCGCCTAATTTATTACTCGTTTGCCTTCTTCTTCTGTGCAACTGTATTTGAATGTTTGTTATAGCTGGGGATTTGAGGTGTATTTCATTCAATCTTTTGAAAATTCATTGGATGTGGCTGTTTAAAATTTTTTTGGTTCAACTTTGATGCATTTTTAATCACAAGGAATTAAAGTGTTTCTTTGATTCTTTTATAAGTTATACCATCCATATATGCTTATTAGAAATACGAATGAGTTGAAGTGTTGGATTGGAAGCAGATGGAAGTTTACTTCAAGAACTAGTTTTTCTGTTACCTATTTGGGATTCTTTTTTTCTTTTATTTTTCCTGCTACACATTCTGGTCTTCATTTCAGGAACCATCTGAATGAGTTTTGCATCAATTCTGTAAAATATTGGCTCATGTGGTTTTATACCTCCTTTGTGCTGGAAAATTATTCTCTGTGTTATCTGTGTGGGATTCTTTTTCCTTTTTCCTGCAGGGAGAGCTTTTGACCATTCATACTCCTCATTTTGATCTACGAATGGGAATTGATCTTGAGAGGGGGGGAGGGGAGAGAGTTGAAAAATTACAAAGGATTACTGAGCATTCAAGAGGCCTACGTTGGATCAAGTTACAATCTCATTGATTATTCTTCGATTCTTTTATAAGTTATACAATCTCACTCAACTGACAAATTTAAAAATTACAATCTCATTAATGCTAAATCTCTCAACAGCTATGCCATAATGCGCATTTTTAGCAATGTTTTTCTAGATGTTGGATCTATTCCCTAAGATTGCTTATATTTTAATACCGATTTGATACAACTTAATCTTGAGATTGAAAATGGAGAAAAAATCAATATCAAAGAGGGAAATTACAAAGGGTTTCCTAGTACTTGAGAGGCTTATTTCTCTTCCAAATCCAATCTAAAGAAATGTCAATTTCCCAGTCCCCCCTCTATCTATATTACCTTTTTTTTCTTTGAGATAAGAGACAGAAGAGACTATGATTTAGAGCGCCAAAAAAAACAGCGTAAAGGACATACAGTTGATATTATTTCATATTTGACATACTTCAAATGACATACGTGTAACAGTCATCTCGTCGACACATTGTTTTATTCATTTTAGGAACGCTATGATTAGTTTTAAAGTACTTCAACATTGGCTCATGCCATTCTTTTTACCACAGAAGAGTTGAGGCATTATTTCTTTATCATTTTTGTAGATGTGTTTTCCTCTCTAGTATAACTTCGGAAAGTAAAAATTGTCAATGTGCTATCAATCCATATCATTTGCATAAAGGTGCATCAATAGCTTCATCTTTGTGATAGTGCAACTCTTATCTTATTATGGTTATTTTCCATCTTATTTTATATCTATGCTGTCATTTGTCCTAAACTATTTGAACTTGTAAGATCTCTTATGGTCAAATATGAACACATGGTATTGTATTGAATATTGATCCACTTAGCTGACAACTGCTTACTTAATCATGTTTTGGCTTGTTGGTTAAAGGACTGTATTTTTCCTTTTTCGCCTCCTCCATTTCCATCGCTAATTAAGTTTCTCATTCTTGATAGATGTCTAATAAAAATGATATTGAGAACCCCAATGCTGAGAAGGTCCAGAAAGGACCAGGAGCTTCTGCTTTATCAGGTGAGATCCCATCAAACTGGTATGCCGTTGTTCTGCAGCAAGTCTCAGTATATGGTGTTGCTGCCGGGTACTGTATTTCCGCATCCCTGCTTTCCATCATCAATAAATGGGCAGTCATGAAGTTTCCTTACCCGGGCGCACTGACCGCCCTACAATACTTCACTAGTGCAGCTGGAGTTGTTGTTTGTGGTTGGGCTGGATTTATCGAACCTGATCGACTTGATCTCTTGACAATGTGGCGTTTCCTACCTGCTGCAATCATATTCTATCTCTCTCTATTCACCAACAGTGAACTTCTCCTGCATGCCAATGTTGATACATTCATTGTTTTCCGATCAGCCGTGCCAATTTTTGTCGCTGTCGGTGAGACACTTTTCCTGCACCAGCCCTGGCCATCCATGAAGACATGGGTCTCGCTTGGTACCATCCTCGGTGGCAGCATCCTTTATGTACTAACAGATTACCAATTCACAATGACAGCTTACTTCTGGGCTCTAGCTTATCTCATAAGCATGTCTATAGATTTTGTGTACATAAAGCATGTTGTTATGACCATAGGGCTGAACACATGGGGTCTTGTTCTATACAACAACTTAGAGGCACTTCTACTCTTTCCAGTGGAACTACTTATAATGGGTGAACTCAAACAAATCAAGCACGAAATATCAGACCAATCAGATTGGCACTCCTTTGCGGTGGTTTTGCCCGTTGGATTATCATGCTTATTTGGTTTGTCGATCTCCTTCTTTGGGTTCTCCTGTCGAAGGGCGATTTCTGCAACTGGATTCACTGTGCTCGGAATCGTAAATAAACTTCTGACAGTAGTGATCAATCTAGTCATTTGGGATAAGCATTCGACACTCATCGGAACTGTGGGGTTATTAATATGTATGTTTGGTGGAATCTTGTACCAACAATCAACAAGCTCAAAGCCGAAGGCGGCCGCAAAAGAGGTACTAGTACAAGAAACAGAGGAAGAAGAGCAACAAAAGCTACTTGAGATGCAAAGCGTTTCAGATAGCGGTAACGTCGAGAAGAAAGCTAGTCAATCAGGGAATGGGAAATCATGAAGTGATTCCAAATGGTAATGCAATCCTTATAAGTCTCTCCAAATTGTTATTTCAGATAGCGTTTTTATAGAAATTGTATTTTGGCTGCATTCTGGGTTTGAATTCATCATTTTGTAACATGGCAACTTAGTTTATAAAAGGCTTCGCATTTGATGTATATCTTACTATGTTCATTGAAGTTGTTATTTTTTTTCCTTTAGAATACAGGTATTTTGCTTGACACTTTTGCCAGTGTTTCTCTTGGCCAACCCATAATGTAGGAGGATCTTTTAACTTATATTTACTTTTTTGTTCGTTAAAAGTCCTTGTACTATGGTTAAAGTAACCGTCTACCTTAGGAATTAGTAATTTCTTGTGTCTTTATTGATCAACACAATATGTTGGGGAGGGGATTCGAACTCACAACCTCTTGGTTGGAGGTATATGCCAATTACCGCTGAGCTATGCTCGCTTTGACCGACGTTTTCATCTTGTTTGTATTCATTTGTCTTCCCTTAGAACATGTATCATTGTTAACAATATTATTTAAATAAAATATATTTATGATAAAAATTTTAAGATAAATTGAAAAAATTTCATGGTAAAAAGAAAGAAAAATAAGAGAATTTAACTTGTTTGAAAAGTTGCTCACGAAATTTTGAAAGGCATGTTACTATCGGCCTCTTCAAAGACATTTTATTTTTTCAAGGTATGGGATTTCAACCGCAGGTGTTGTAATAAAAAAAATATTATATTTTCAGTATTATAAAAAAAACCAAATTAATTAAAAATAAATTATATATTATATCACTAGTAAAAAGTTTTAAAACTTTGTTTAAATATTTAATCTATTGTCTAATTATATTTTAAAAATAAAAATATTAATAGATATTATAGAATAAAAAAAAAGACATTTAAAAATTGGAGGCCTTTGGCAATCACCTCGGATCTTACGCCTTATACTAAAAGTTAAAGTAGTTTTATTGTTTGGAAAATATTCCGATGTTGAACACCATTAAATTGTTGATTAATAGGAGAGAAATTTTGTAAAAATAGGAAATTATTTAAAAAAATATATTGAACTATCAATTTTTCAATGATGGCCATATTCATATACGACGACTCTATGGCGCTTTAACAATTTTTGAACTTACATCATAAAGTATTGACGGTGTTATCACCCAAGATTCAAATTTGAGTCTTTTTGAGCGGATAAATCGAAAAAAAATCATTATTGAACTTTGATATATCATCAAAAAAGGGCAATTTACAAATCACACCAATATCTCTAACCATAAAAATCTTCGATGAAAATTGAAGACAAAATATTAATAGTTGGAGAGAAGATAAATTGAAAAAAAGGAACAATCTTTAAGAAGAAGAAGAAGAAGCGCCGAGGAAGAGGCGGTTGAAGAAGGAAAAGCAAGCGCGGAAGTTGGGCAAAAATTTGTTCCTCATCTTTCTTCTTCGCTCCTCAACGACCTCTTCAACGAACATGAAATCTTTCACTTCATCTCCCAATTGGTAGTAATGACCTCCCATGGCCAATTCATCTTCCTCCTCCTCGTCATCCGACCATTGGTAGCTCAACGGAAGTGCGCCGAATGGTCGTGCTATCTTCGGCGGGCCTAGGATCGGACTCTCACGGACGACACGACCGTGGAAAACAGCTCCGATCAACGTCGATTTCATCGCGGTTCGACAAATGAATTATTGTGAGTATGAATGTGTATGTGAGTGAGTGAGTGAGTGAGTGAGGTTGGGAAGCATGGCTTTCCTTCAATGTACGTATAAATATAAAACATACCAACTTCGACTTTGATTAGGGAAAGGAAATACTAATTCTGATTACTTTACCTATTCCTTTGTGTATTAGATTACGTAAATCCTGTTTTAATAATGGTTTTATCTTTTGTATGAAAACTATTTTAATCTTTAATGTTAATCTTTTCAAAAACAATTTAACAACCAAAAACTCAGAAAATATATATAAGATTTAAATCTTATTTTATTCGTAATTATTAGTCATTAAAATTTTTAACATTTTTGTTTTACTTCTTGAACTGTATAAAAAAAATTATTTAAATCTCGATTCGTCTTAATTTTGAAAAAAAGAACTATTTAATAAAACCTAACATATATACCAATATTATTTATTTACTTTATAAGTTTGTTTACCAAATATTTGATAGTAATTTTTGTGATCGGAACTTAAGAATGGTTTGGGTCAGACTTATAATTCAATTCATAAACTTTTTTTTTATTTAACTCAATCCTTAAACTAATTGAGCTTATATTGGCTCGTTGGATCGGATTTGAATTGACACATATAATAAATTCATTAAACTTTGTTTTTAAAAATATATTTTCAAACCCAGCTTTTTTGAGTTTTAAAATATGAAAATGACAATACTAAATATTAATTAATTATATATTAATATATAATATACAATATATTCTTATGTTTAATTATATTGAATCAGACCTTTAGGTCGGTATAACAAACTCATTCAAATAAGATTCAAGCGGACTGAAATATTATCTGGTCTAATTTTAAAATTCGATGGTGAAGTTGAATGTCTAACTATGATCAGTTTTCATTGATTTTGTGAAGAAATTATAATTAAATCGAAGATACAATTTCTCCCAAGATTTTTAAGAAAATCGTATGGTGGGAAAAAGGGAAAAAGTATCTTCAATTAAGGCTAACTTCCAATTAATCATTCATTTATTTGTTTTTTTTCCCTTTGTTTCTTAAAATTTTGAGATCCATCTACCTGTTATTTTAAAAAAATATCAAGTACGAAAAATGTAAGTAAAAAGTATACCAACTAAACTGAGCTCACACACCTTTCACATCTCTTTTCTCTTCTCTTTCTTTACTCATTTCTCTCTACTCATCTATGTCTAATTCTTTTTGTCGGTTACTTTTATATCTCTTATTTTTTATCATTGATTATTTAATTTTTAAAATAGGAATAGTAGTTTATTTTAGATTCATATTAATGAATCAGCATCCTTTCCACATCATATATATATCCAATTGGCATCAAAATCATATCAATAATTAATTATACGCAATTTTTCATTTTTATTTTTACAATCACATAACTTTTTTGTCAATAGTTTAGATTACTTTTAGATCAGAATCATTTTCTAAATTTATTTTTAAAACCAAATTATTCTTACAAGTAACCCTATAAACTTCGTAAAATCAAGTTTACTAATTAAACGTGAGCCATTTGACTAAAAATATTTATCAATAAAATAAAATGCATTATTCTGAGAAGAGGACAACGCTAAACTACATGAAAGTAATCTATTAAATTGTGAACCAACGTTGAATGGGGACCAAAAATATTTATTAAAAAAATGCATAGTGAGGAAGGAATAATGTCAGAATTTGTACTAAAAAAAAGGAATAATGTTATAATCCGTAAAATAAAATTTATTAAATTGTAAGCAATGGTGAAGGAACTAAAACGTAACTATCAAAAAATAAATAAAATGCAATTAATTTGTGTTCCATTAAATATTTTCTTGGTTTAGAAGACAATGGATTTCTTGGTGCCAAACCCACTGCTTTGCCCATGGAGCCAAATTGGAAGCTTTCACACAATATATTCTAGTACTGGAGTCAGTTGAAGGAAGTTCTAGTTAGTTAGATAACCACCTAACTATTATTGTTTTATTTTGGAGAATACTGTGACGTTAACTCCCTAAATTGAGAAATAAGATTTTATGCATTCGATCTCCCAACTTGATTTTCGATCTAAGATTAGGGTTCAACAGGGTGGGACGGTATCGAAGGTATCCCCATCCCCGTCGTGTTGGGGAATTTCACCCCATCTCCGTCCCCCGAAAGAATTAGAGGAGGATTATTTCATTTTTGTATCGAGAACGAACAGGTTAAAGAGATAAGAGAATTAAGGATACCCACCAGAAAGACTAATGCAATCCTTAATGATGTACCAGAAAATACAACATTTTTGTTACCCGACCAATCATCCGGAGAAGCAAATACAATGGGCACATAATAAGTAAGATTGATGAAGTAACCAAAAACAGCCAATTAAAAGGCAATAGTCATGTTTCTGATCCTCCAATATACCAACAAAATATACCATCTGATCCCTTTACCAACGAGCCAAAATTTTTATAAAATGTATCATGGAGGGATTTTACCATAAATCCATTTATTCTATATTACTTCTTACTTTTTTAATACTTGAGCATGTATGGATTGAGGGTAGCCTTTTTTTACTTCACAAAAGGGATACTGGATCATATCTATCTATATGCACCTCTTTTTTTTAATTTATTAATATATTTTTAATTCTTAAAAAAATATAATTTTTTTGTTTTATAGAATAGTGTAAATTTTAATTAAATACAATTATGATATTTTAGATGTATTTGGTTTTTTCAATCTGAATCTTTAATTTAGAATAAAAGTTTAATCCAACAATTCAAACCTCAAATTTTGAAGTTATACAATCTAAACAAGGAAAGATAAAGAAAATTAAGATTAAAGGTTTGAATTTTGAAAGAAATTGGGCTTGAGGAATTATAAAACTAATATAAATTAATAAATATTATTATTATTATTAATTTATATATATAAAAATAAAAAAATTAATAAACAATTAAACGGGACGGGGTCGGAGATGGGGATGGGGCGGGGGGACCGAGCCCCGTCCCTGCTGGGGAACCCGATTGGAATCTCGAGTCAAACCAGGAAACCTCCGTCCCGATCGGATCGGATTCCTGTGGGGATCGGATCCCGCGAGTATTTTTATCATCCCTATATAAGATTCAAAATAAAATAATTTAAAGATTTGAAAGACCCAGATATATGTGACTTAAACAAAATAATAATAATAATAATAATAATAATAATAATAATAAGATTTTATTAAATGTTATCCTATAAATATGAAAATAATATCAAATGAATAAAAATTGATACATCATCTTCAATTATTGGGACTAATTAAAAAATTTAATATTTTAAGAAGTTCACAGCCAGATTTTGAAATATTAAAATAAAATTACTTCTTAAAATTTTACAAGGTATTTGGCTTTAGAGGATATTTATCCGTTAACCTTATATCTACTCATGTTATATAAATTAAGTTGATTAAGGCCACTTTTTTAGGCTTCTATGTTAGGTTTTGTAGAACTTAATAATGAATACGCCTTAATTTGAAATTCATTTGAAGTATGATTTGAATCTAAAATAATAATAATAACAAACAGACATGATGTTGCAACATCACCGATAGAAGGTCATCAAAGAGGCTAGCGTATACATAGTCAAATCACAACACTATTGAATTGAAGAAGATGCTTTAACGATAATATTAGTTGTTATTAGTAGAACTTGTGGTGGTAGGAACCTATGCATAATTTCAAGTTTTGGGAATTGGCGTTGTTTATTTTCTCTACTTCTTTAGTTTATTATTATTATTTTATTTTTTTAGTAAGTTTTCTTCTTGTGTTGCTTATATTATTATAGTTGTACCATGGTGCATGCTTGTGGAAGAAACATTATATTTATGTTCCAGTTAATTAAAATGCCCAAAATTTCCAACATGGACCGTGCATGGATGAATGGGACTAAAAAGAAAGTATTTGTCCAAAAGAGAGGGAAAAAAAAAACAATACTAGTGAGGAAGGAATAAATAAAGAATAATGAGATTACCTGGAACAATATCTCGAGGGTAAAGGATCAAAAAATCTAAATAGGAAAATAATTGGATTCCAATAAAAATAATGTTCTTATCCCCGTTAAATATCTCACAAGTAAAATAGAGAAATTCAAAAAACAATACATATTTTTTAAAAATGATGAGTTGTTAAATATTTAATGGCGGTAGAAAAAAGATCTCTCCTTACCAATGAGAAATCAAGTATATTTTACCTCAAAATATATAGATCCCAACGGGTGAGGATCCATTATGCTCAACACGGTTAAATACTAGATAACTTTTCAAAACTGGCTAGCATAGAAATAGGTTCGAACGTAGGTATTTTTTTTTTTTTTGAAAAGTTATCTATTTGTTTACCTTTTTCTCTCCTATTTGTCAAAATTTGAGCAGTGTTAGTAAGAGTAGCCCTGGTTGATATCTAAACATTTTTACATTTTTCTCTCTTTTATTTTTCAAAAGTTTAACGGTGCCGTTAAACATAGCGCGTGACGAATCAACACGTATGTAATAAAATATTATTCGTTTAAAGCCGAATTACATGCGGTGATAGAAAGAGAGAAAAAAATGGTAGGAATGTACGTAAGAGGGGTACGGGGCCGGTGGGGACCGACGAAATCTGACTGTGAGTGAGGAACGAATATGACCCTTTTTTCTTTTTTTTTTTTGGTTCCTTTTTGCTGTTTGAAAAATAGAGAATAAATATATTGATTTATTGAGCATGTTCTCAGCATCGCCATTGTAGCGAGGAATAAAGACAAACTCCATAATCCGTTCCTTTTATTTAAGCCCCCTTCCCTCCATATTCCATTCCATTCCAACGAACACAATTTTCTGAATTCCCCGATTTCCTTTCGATCTCTGCGTTTCTTTCATTGCATGGCCGCCGCCACTTCCAGGTTTATTGCTCGACGACTCGCCGATTTCGGGAAGCAGCCACGGCGCCCTGTTTCGCCTAATTCTTCTCTCTCCGCCGCCCTCAGCCTCAGGTATGCCCTAGCCCTGGCCTCGCCTCTGTTTTCTTTTTGTTTTTTCATCTTTGATCTTCTGATCATCCATTCATCTTCCTCCGAAATTAACTAGTTATCGGATTCGGAATTGGTAATCCATCGCTGCAATTTTTCAGAATTCTCTGTAGTGTAGTGTAGTGATTTGATTGATGCCTGAAATTTTGTTCGGAATCGGAATCAAACTCTTTCGTAATTTGGATCCACTGTATGATCTGTGTGCTTTGCAAAATTATTTTGATTCGAAGAGCGGGAAAACTGAAATCCATTTTGTATTGTTAAACAGATTTTCGAACTACTTGTGCTTTGATTATTACTTCGAAAGTACTTCTACATGTACTTTTTTCAATTTCAAACTCACCGCATTCTAAACTCCTCGAACGATCATTTTTGTGTCACAGTGATAATTCGGCCACTAATAGTTTGAAAATTTTATCTTGATTCTTTTAAATCAATTACCAATTAAATTTATATGGTGGAGTAAAATTTTTGTGTGTGTGTTGTTGAAAGGACTTATCTTCTAAAATTTAGTGCGTATTTATTAAAAACTTATGAATCAATACAAAATTATTTTAAAATATACATACTAAAGGTCTAAAGTGGAATATATTTAACCTTTAAAGGTTAAAGATGGAATTTAAACCACTTAAAATTCAATTCATTTATACTCTTGAATGTTTTTAATAAGGATTTTTTTAAAAGAATATTATACTAAAATAAGGAATTTGAACTTATAACCCATTTAGACATAGATGTTCCAATCAAAGTTTTATTCGCATTTAATACTAGCTTTTAGTTTTATTAAAGTTCTTTGGTAAATTCAATCATACTTTTACAACTTTATATGAATGTGTTTTTTAAAAAAGTATTTATTTATATTCCTATTTGAAGTTAGATCATCAATTTTCTTTAGTAACAATTTGTTTTATTGTTATGGTAAGAAAACATGACATGCTGTGATTAGATATAGCTCTTTCGTTTTAACAAACTAATATATTTGAAACATGTCATAAAAAAATTATAATAAATAATAGACTCCTTATTTTGCTAGCAAAAATGACTTTATAAATTTTGTTGGGTAAGAAAATAATTTAGTTATATTTGTCAAAATTTATTTATAACGATCATTTAAAAAAAAACCTAACTAACCACTACCTAACTAAGAAGGTATGAAATGTCAACCAAAATATAGTTTAATTGATTTAGGCACCTATATCCAATTAAAAAGGTTGTGTGTTCAAATCTCTACATTTATATGTTAGAACTCAAAAAGTTAATAATAATAAAAATTTATGAAAAAAAATTTCAGTATAATATTTTAAGATTTCAATTTATAATGGTCAATTAGTTGAATGGACTCTATAGATTATTCCTTTGCCTTTTCTTAGCATATGCTTTTTTTTTCCTTTATACTAAAAAAGTAAAAAGAATTATTAAATCTATTACAAAATCTAATCCATTGGACAAAGGACAGGCCATTGTCCAATATAGTCCGGACAACTGACACTATTTGTACTTTTTTGAGGTCTATTGTATTTTTTACTTTCAAATTGAAATATATTTTTAAATTTCATACTTGTCCTCAAATTTTTATGTTTTTCTGATTTTTTTTTTCTTGAATACATGTTTTTCTGATTTTAATCCTTATGCTTTTACGTACTTTTATTTCTATCCTCAAATTTTTGTAACGAGTTGTTTCAAGGTTCTTGGTTCTTTCTTTTTTCTTAATAAATAAAAGTAGAACCGCCTATGATAATTTTTTTCCTCATTTCTTGTGCTATCTTTAGAAAATATAGAAGTATGTTTGATAATCATAGCTTACTTTTAAATTTTTATTTTAAAAAATACATTTTCTTTAAAAAATTGTGTTGCAGTGTCTCACAGCATGCTGTGGACTAAATTCATTTTATATTCAAATTAGTTTTCCTTTGTAACATATTTTTTGTGTTGATCGGTTGTATTGTCCAAATTTAATTAATAGATAATACATTATAAGTCAAACTCACTTATTGTATATTTAATAAGAAAACTTTATCATCAGCCTGTTTGTATTATCTTGGATTTTAAGAATATATGACGTTTTCTATAATGATTTAAAATCATAATAAACTAGTTATTTAATTAAACTAATAATATTGATTTATGTCTAAAAAAGATTACTAATAATTTAAAATTATTAACTAACCAATATATATAATTTTAACTTACGTATAGAAGGAGGAATTCGAACCTCTAAATTATCTTAACTAGTTGAGATAAATTCAGGTCGACTAAAAGAGATAATTATTCTTTTAGTCAATAACAAGTTAAATTTCGATTCTATAACATAAATTTAATATATATATATATATATATATATATATATATATATATATATATATATTAACAAATATTACAACTTTTCAATCTATTTCTGAATACAATATAAGTTTCACTTTTATATTAGTGTTTACATTACATTTAATTTTGATTTATATTTAAATTATGCTCTTTTTGTAAATTTTTAACCTTTCTACTATAAAATTGAGAATACGTTTTTATTTTATATTATTTAGGTAAATATCTCTTAACTAATACATGGGTAATAGATGATGGCCTTCCTAATTCGGTATTTTTTCAGTTTAGTTTCTATTCGCATTTTAATTAAACTCATAATTATGGGATGCATGATGCTGCACGTATGGGAGGGCCACTTTCTTTCTTCTTCTCTTTATTTATTTATTATTTATTTTTTGTCTTTTTGTATTTTAATCTTGTACATTATCTTTTTGTGTTAGGGTCGGCTATGGTATATTAATATAATCCACGTGGCTGTTTAATTTATTTTATCAATCTATACGAAGTCAAACTCACTTATTGTATATTTAATTAAGAAAATTTGTATGGATGGGCTTTTCTTTATAGTTAATATGTATATGGAATTTTAAAAATAAGACATTTTTTAACTTACGGCTGACTTTAGTTTTAATTTTTCTTTTATGAGTTCAAAGTATACATGGGCTGAGCATTCAACTTTTGAATTTTTTCGATAATATTTATCTTAATTAGTTGAGTTACGTTAAGATTGATTATGATTGATTTTAGTTTATGTATATAATAGTTCTTCTTATAATAATATAATCGAAAGTAAAAATATATAGGTAACTCAATTGGAGATGGAATTATATTTAAGTTATTAGTTGAGCAATATATATATTGCTCTAATAATTGATTTATTTTGATATTTAATGAATTAGATTAACTATATTAAAATTATAATTAGTTGGTTAATTCAAGGTTGACTTTTCCTTTCCGTGACCCTTGTTCTGGAAGGCACATCGGCACCCATCGGAGGTTCGTACAGTTGTGTCTTGATTTAAGTTTAACTAATATATCATTCCACTCATTTGTATTTTAACAGGTAGATACCTATTAATATCCTTGGTTACTTAAATAATGTTGATCTCCATGAAAAGGGTGATCGAGTTAGCTCATAATATCTTAGTTAGAGACGTAGATGTTAATTACCGTTGAGTTAAACTCGTATTGCTACAATTTCTAGCACGGTTTTACTCTGTTACATCACCCGTTTGCCGCATGTGACACCAATGGACAATCGGGAAGTACCAAATTAATTAATATGCATATATTGATCATGCAAAACCAATCTGACGGTTGTTTGAAAATAATTGACACAGGAGAGGAGGGCATTGGTCAGCAACAGCAACAGCATATGAGAAGAACACAGAGGATCAGGAAGTGTGCCCAACAGTGGTACCCGACCATGTGATATTCCACACAGAAGCTGCAGCCCAAAACCAAAACTACTGGGCGCCGCACCCACAAACTGGAGTATTTGGGCCACCCGCCCACCACACCGACTACTCACCATCGGCTTCGGCTTCCAAGGAGGGCTCGGTTCTGGACCTCAAGGCTTGGTTCCGCCACACCGCCCTCGAGGACGTCGACAAGGACGACCCACTACACTAATAATCAAGCTTAATTATTATATGCACTGCATTACTAGAACTTATTCATGTCTGTCTTGTATTATCAATATGTATTTGATGCTGTATATTTGGATTCAGGGCTCTGCTCTTCTCTAAATATCTATATGTGTGCTATGGAGACTTAGGGGTAATATATGCTTAATTACCTGCATGGATTTGTAATAACAATCCCCTCTGATCTCTCTCTCTTTCCACGGTTTCTGAAGCATGGGATTTTACTTTTACTGCTCCAACTTTATAAACTTATGGAGGAGGAGGATAATATACACTCCTACAAAGTTTTCATTATTGACGCTTGGATTTTTTTTTGTTTATCATTCATGTTTGTTTGATCTCAGTGAAATTGCATGAATCTTGGACGAGATTCTGAATTATAATTCTTTTATCTATTGATACTAATTTAGATGGGTCACTTTACCAACTTGATGTAAAAAATGCTGATAATTTAGATTTATGCAATCTTCTTGCTGAAATTGCGTGAATCTCGACGGAATTCATATAAATTCGCCCAATTTTTTTTAGAAAAGAGTTCGTGCAACTATAAATAGAAATAAATTGAGAATCTCCCGGGTATAATAGTATATGTTATATTGTTAATTAAAAAAATTTTTGGTCCTTGCCAATAGTTCAAATATTGCCTTCAAATTCCTTTTAAACGTTTTATTTATTATTTACATACTAAGTAAAAAAATAATTGAAAATTGCCCAAGTAGAGTTGAACACTGGCCACGGGAGAATCAAAGTGCTTAATTTGCTGAACAAAAGAGGTTTTTGTTTAGATGTTAACCATTAATATATTATATTGCGTTTGCAACAAGATTTTATTTCCAAACCATCAAAATTCAAGCTAGTCTTTTTCGTATGCGCCCGAGTTTACTTCGAACTTGCTCGAGTTTTGGTCCATTTTTCTGCTTGAGACATAACACTTTTTATTAAACTAAGGTCATTCTTCACTGACATGTCCATTAGATCACATGAGCTATTTTTGACTTAATTACTTGATCCTATAGTTTACAGTTATACATATCTAGTTTTAGATATTCTTAGATAAGCTAGTTTTTGAACACATGTTTTTTTCTCAACCAATAGATCGAATATAGAATATATTCTATTAAGCCACAATTATGTTACCTAAAGTTATTTAGTAAGAGATTCCACGATTATGTTACTTAAAGTTATGTAGTACGATATTCTCGCTTTTGCATGAAAATTTAGTATTATTTTTATTTATTTTAACCCACGGTAACATTCATTTCCAATTCCTTTTTTCTTTTTTTCTTTATTTTCTATTTTCTTCAAGAATACATTGCCACGTGTCGCTCTTTAGTTGGTTGGCTGAAATGACTTAGCCATCACATCGTTCACTTTAGATATAGTTTATATGAACTTGTTTGGGTAATAACTTTTCAATTTCAACTCTGATTTGAGTGATTGAAAATACAATGAAATCGTTATTTCAAGTTATGTGATGTTAATCCTTTAAAAGTTATGTGATGTTAATCCTTTAAAATACTAAAATTGTTAGTAAACAAAATTAAATTTGTTATCACTGAAACACCAATCAAATTAATTAATTTGAGATTAAAGACGAAAAAGCCAATAAATCTCAATATTGTAGTTCATGTGATTGTGTAAGCTTCCCGCACTTATTTATTTATTATTTTTATTTTTTTTAAGAAAATAATAGCTACTGTTAAAATATTAATAACATTTTTGTGCTAAATAAAAGAAAATAACATTTATTGGAATGCTATGATTTAATTGTAATAATATAAACAACAATGTAAAACATAGAACATCTTCAAAGGAATGAAAGGAATGCTTGTTATTTCCTATTACATTCACAATTTCCTTGTAGACATATGTTCTTCTTTTCCCTCTCGTTTGAACTTTTTTTAGTTTTGGGGGGAAAGTGAAATGAAGAGACGCAGCCCATCGGACGAACATGCGGAATTTGGAAATCCGTATGTTTCCACTCTCTGATTCTTCGGCTGGTAGGCTCTGGATTTTAGTTTAGTTTCTTTAGAAGCAATGTCCGGTAATGAAAATTCTGCCATCACCGATGAAGAAAGGGCTCGAATTTCCCGCAATTTCAGAGCTGCTAAAGCTCTACTTGCTCGCAAACGCCCTCGTCTTCTCCATTCTCACCACCTCATTTCCCAGTGTTCTTCTGATAAACCTTCAGCTAACCTACTTCCTTGCAGGTTTGTGTTCTCCAAGTTATTATGTTTGCTCTGATTTGGACTAGAAAAAGGTCTCATAGCATGCTGATATGTGTGTTAATCCTAACAGTTCAAGATTTTGAGATTTTCCATTTGTTTTCTTGCAATTGTTTAATTCCAGAGTTGCGGATTTTAGTGTAAATGTGGCCCAAGGGTGTGATAATGGTGCAAAGAGGGCTGCATTGGCAGAGATTTCGGGAAACATTCCGTCATCGAAGTCAATTGCAATTGCAACTGACGCTAGCTCAAATGGGTTGGGGTTAGATTGTCTCAAAACTCCTGTAAAAAGTCCAGAATATTATAGTACAAGCAGTTATTTCTCAGCTCCAAGTATTCTAGACGATGATTTTGATGAGACCACTTTAGAGGAAATTGATGCTCTGTGCGAGCAGGAATCATCTGCGCGAGCAGAAAGGCAAGGTTCATATTCCATCTTCCATGCGGCAAATCATGATGATGTTAGTTATAATGGTGATCTTAATATAGATCTGGAGTCTGTAATTGGTAGCGAAAGTATAGAAACCAAAGACTTAACATGTTCATCAGATACCTTGGAATCAGGAGTAGAGTGGATCAACTCTGACTCCGTGACTAGAAAGATCGGAACCATGCCGGAAGAGTATTCAAAATATCTGTTGTCTCTTAATGACAGACAACGAGAAGCAGCTTGTGGTGACATTTCAATCCCTTTAATGATTCTCGCTGGTCCAGGAAGTGGAAAGGTCTCACTTCTTGTTCTCTGATTTGTAAATTGAGAATCTATAATATCATTTTCTCTTTCGTAAATTTTTTTGCCTTCAAGAATATTTGTTTAGTTTATGCTGAATGGTAATCTTATCTAAGCTGTATTTCATTTTAAGAAAATGCTGAAGAAAACATGAGTGTAGCTTTTTCCTTAACATGGGTCTTACTTAGAGCCTTTTTTTGCTCCCAAGGTGATGAAAATTTTGTTTTATGCAGACTTCCACAATGGTTGGTCGAGTTCTGATGCTTCTTAATGAGGTATTTTTCACCTCTTGGTATAATGTTACTTTCTAAGTTTATTTTTTTTTTCCTTCACTAATTTATTTTACTCTGATATTTGTATTGGTTCCTTTTATTTCACTCCTACATCTCATTTTAATGGTCGGATCTTATTTGTCTAGTTATTCCTTCTTTTTGGTTGTTTAAACTTTAGGGTATAAAGCCGTCAAATATTTTGGCAATGACTTTCACTACTGCAGCTGCTTCTGAAATGAGAGATCGTGTTGGTGCGGTGGCTGGGAAGAAAATGGCAAAAGAACTTGTGATTAGCACATTTCATTCATTTTCATTGCAACTTTGTCGTTTGCATGCAGAAAAGTATGCTCAATTTCTGATTGACCAAAATCTCTTATTTACCCTGCCTAGATATGTAATACGTATTTGGGGTTATTTTAAGCCTTACCATAAATGGAGCACGTTTGATAGTTCAATACCATTTCTTTGTCTATTTCAATTGCGCCATAACCAATAGGGAAATTATATTGATATGTATGGAGAAGTAAAATCTCACTGAACATTGTAAGTAGTAGGGGCAACTAATAGAAGGGAGAGAGATTTCTTTACGGGTGGACGCGTTCTTGTTTTCTAACTTACAAATGTGAATAGGATCTTATCAAATCTAGGAAGATGGTACTAATTAGGATTTAGGTATCTTACTTGAGGGAAGGAGACTAAACTGGAGTGAGAAATATTTGATTAAGATGGAATTATTGATTAGAGGTATCTTTCTGCTGAGTCATAACTCATAAGTCAAATGTAAACTTATAAACTCATCCATGTAGGATCAGATCTGATTTCGAATTGTACAATGCTTCAAAATGAATATATGCTTCTCTGTAGGATATGTATTTTTTTTCTCTTGTTTATTTAGGATTCAGTCATTAGTCTTGCTAAATCTTGAGTTCAAGCATTTCATACCAAAGTGCATTTGCTCAATGGCCTTATTTTTTTGTTAAGCTTTGATCCTAGTTATTATCTTGGGTTAGATGGTTATCTTTTATTATATTACAGGTTGGAGCGCACTACAGATTTTTCAATATATGGACATGGGCAACAAAGGAGGGCAATCATTGAGGCTGTGCGTCTATTGGAAAATGACAAAAGTAGACAAAAAGTGGACTCGAACATACTTGGTAATGCTTCTAAGGATGTTACACCGTCAAATTTTAAGGATAAGTCGAAGAAATGGCAAAAATTTGTCCCTAAGGTTAGTACTTCGTCAACTTTAGCATAGGGTCTTGTGCTGTGTGTTCTTTTCTCCCTTCTTAGTGTAGTCCAAAGGCTTTCTGAATAATTTAATTGCTTTATAATTGATAATTTCATAGGATTGGATACTAATTGCTAGGCTAAAATAACTTGTAGAGTTTAAATGATGTGGTGAGCAAACTACAAACAAATAGTCTAGAGAAGGGGTGAATTGGTTGATTTACGATCTCTTACTTATTTTATGAGGTAATAAAACTTTTTTAATAAATTTAAATCAAAGTAATGAAAACTCGAGGTACTTTCATTCTTTTCATAGACTCTTAGTAGCAAAATGAAAAGGCTTTCATTTTAGAGATAATTGAGAAGAGGGAGTTAGTTTGGGAGATAATAAACAAATTGGAGAGAAAAACTTCAACTCTTTCTGCAAATTGTATGAGAAAAAAGATGTCAAAGGCTCCTCCTGGAGGACAGAGAATGGAGACTTCAACCAATAATTAATGTTAGGTGGCCAGAGAGGCCTTTTGAGGGGCTCAAAATTGTTTATGACATTTGAAATGTGGGACGATAAAAGGGGCTTCAATCTGATCTTTCTAATGAAGATGCCTAGAGTCACACAACAATTGGTTTCCAACTGTTGAAGGAGGTTATCCGTAGATAGGAAGAGTAAAAAGTCTTGGAGTACCATGAAACCAGTATTTTCAAAGTGCAAGGCACATTTCAAGGGGATAAGTCTCTTAATCACCTCATGGTAGGAGGTGAATAACTCAGGCAACATCGCTTCAAGGCAAGAGGCGACAGAAAGACATTGTTTGAGTGAAGTGAGACATACCTTAATCAATAAATAAAATATACACAAAGTAAACATAGCCAAAAAAATACCAAAGCCTTATAATTTCAATATTTAATATATCAAAATGTAAAAGACGTACAACATTCAACTTCTATCAGTTTCAAAGAAGCATTAAGTCATTAAGAAGAAGATGGTAGGATTGAAAGTGTGAAACAGCAGTAGAAACCACAAAAAGAATGAAGGAAAATTGCATAAAAAATCAAATGAAGGAAAAACAAAAGAAATAATGATGGTAAAAAGAAAATAATTACTTAAGGCTAAAAGAAAACAATAGTCAAACAGCGGGCAAAACAAAAGCTGGAAACAGAGTAAATTTCTTTCAATTAACTCCCCACCTAATGACTCTTCAGCTACCCCAGACTTTCCATTGCCCCTATCCTCTTGAGAAATTTGAAAGTTTCTGGGCTAGAAGAAGAGCTACCAACTGCTTTTAATTCCTTTCTTGGAATTATCAACTCCAGTCCTACATTTACTGACCTACATGATTACCGCATTTGTTTAGTTCAATCATATTAAAATAAACAAACTAACAACGCCAACTTGCAGTTTGGTATTCTATTATTGTGTTTTAGAGCGCTGAACGAGTGTCAATCATATTACAAATTAGTACTACCGGGTGCATGGTTAAATTGACAATGCATGTGTGACAATATTTGGTATTCCATTGATAGCCATGATACGTGTCCAAAAAAATGAAAAGTTTCTAGATGAAAATATCTCCAAGTATATCTTAGAAAATGAGCTTTATGTGTGCTATTTGTGAGAGATGTGGGATATGCATCAACCTTCCTTCATCTGTAGTAAATTTGTCAAAATTGTGTTGGATTAGAAAGTTCTTGAGGTTTGAGTTAGATGTCTGGATCTTGAAGAGATCCTCATGTTGGCTTTTCCTCTCACCTCAAGGGATTATAGCAAACTCATTTGGCTTCATGTTGTTATTGCTTTTGAGAAGCCAGCATAAAAATTTTCCTTTGAGAGTTTGTATCTTGAACAATTTTCCTTTCCATATTTCCATATATCAATGAAAAGTTGTTTCTTAGTAAAATTAAAAAAAAAAAAAAGGAGCCAGCATAAAAATACATGAGTTGTGAAGTCTGTTTTAGCTTGAGACCTCTTTTTGGGGTTCTAATACCAAATATTTTTGTTATCTTACTCCTTATATTTTTTGGAATAAATTCTCTGTGTCTCTTATAAAAAAAAAAAAAAAAATCTTAATCTAATTTCAGTTAGTTGGAGAGGCTTTTATTTGTAACCTTTGTTACTTAAAAGTTTGGATTTACTTTTAACCTTCCTGTCTCTTGTGTATATATAACTCCTCCATGATACACTCAGCTATTTGACAAAAATGAAGGGGGAGGGCCCTCCAAGATGATACTTTTTGTTCATTTGAGTTATTTTTATTGAAAATCTTCTCTGTCAACGCACAAATGTAATTCTGTGGTGGCATTTAAGGAATTGGTTTCACTCCATTCCAGGCTAAAGCATGTGGAACGACTTCTGCAGAATTACTTACAAAGGGTGATGAGATTGGAGTAAGCTTCCAATGTTCTTGTTAACAAGGTTTCTGTCAGTGGCTCTGCTTGCCATTTTTATTTTAAGTTTTGTGTCTGAATCAGGCTGGAGTTCTTGACAACTATAATACTATTTTGAAATCTTGTAATGCTCTGGACTACCACGACTTAATATGCTGTTCCTTGAAGCTGCTTACTGATTTTCCTGAAGGTTCGATACTAGCTTATCATTTTAATTATTAATTTTAAGTCTTAGTTATGGTTTGATACATTTATTTCTCTGTTTGTTTAAAGTATACGAGGAGTGTCTGGATACATGGAAAGCCATTATTATTGACGAGTTTCAAGATACAAGTACCATGCAATACAAGCTTCTCCAGATTCTGGCATCCCATAAGCGGATAACTATAGTTGGTGACGATGATCAGGTCAGCCTTTTAGTTTGTCCGGACACAATTTGCATTCCACACATTTAATTTGGAGTCCCTCCTATTTTCAAAATGGAATATTTACATTGACAGATTTGTTCGTGAATATTTTTAAGTTTCCTACAAATTTCTCTGTGTGCCTGGAATTTTTCATTGGATGATTTATCTTTTATTTTTAAATAACCGTCATCCTGCTTTCTCCATTTTTGTGTATATTCATTTCGTTGAAAGCAAAGCTTTTTCAGCTTAGCTATCTGTATTAGACGTAAAAAAAACTGAGTGTTTGGTGTAATATTAAGAATTAACTTTAAATGATGAGTATACTTGCTTTCTAATTGGTGGTTTATTATTGTAAATATTAGCTCTAAATATTTAGACAATTAATGGTCTAGTTTATTCCTATTATTATTCCTTTTTCCTTTTCTATATTGAGCCTTTCTTTTGTATAAGGACGCTTTGCATATCTTACTTTTTAATATATTGGAATACAATATTTTATTCCACCCAAATCAAGACTAATTATAATTTCCTTGCTCTAACTTCTATTATAGCAGTAAAAAATTTGGATTACTTACTTTATTATAAATTCCTTCCCCCCTCACTTTTCAATGTTTAGTATATTTGTTATTCTCAAGTGTCATTTCCAATGTTGTAATGTAGTCCATATTCAGTTTCAACGGAGCCGATACCTCTGGATTTGACTCTTTCCGTAAGGATTTCCCAACCTATAAAGAGGTTTGCATTGTCTTTAGGCTTGGATCATGTAATTCCTTACATATTATTTTAGCTTCGTTGTGTAAAGTATTATTCCAGATTTCAATACCTTGATGTTGAGGAGTCCTTTAACTTGGTTTGTTTTTATCGTGTAGATTAGACTCAATAAAAATTATCGATCTACAGGCTGTATTATTGAGGCTGCATATTCTCTGATACAAAATAATAAAAAAAGATGCCCACTCAAAGATGTTCAAACTGATAATTTAACTGGATCTAAGGTATATTTATTCTATCCATATTCTTATATTAAGCAAAATTTATAATATAATTTTCTAATTCTTATTTCTATTGTCTACTCCATAATAATATTAAATGCATGTCCCAACTTTTCCCAGATTACAATAAAAGAATGCAATAATGAGGGTGCTCAATGTGCATTTATTATTGACAAGATCATGGAAAGCACTTCAAATGGCTCAAGTTCCAAAGGCTTCGGGAGCTTTGCAGTTCTTTACCGGAGGCAGGTCAAACTTAGCCACCAATATATCAATATCATAGTTTATGGAGAAGCAAAGAAAAGCAATAAAAGTTTACTGCCTTTGTTCTTACAAAACCATTATCTTTATTTCTGCAGATATCAGGAAAAATCTTTCAAACAGCTTTCCGTGAAAGAAAAATACCATTTAATGTTCATGGTGTGGCCTTTTACCGAAAAAAGGTGTATCTTATTGCACCAATAATATGAGTAATTTATGACATCGGTTCAGGCTGATTGTCCTATAGATGCAGTTTGCATGAATTGATTCTTATAATCAAGTATGTCAATGTTAAAAATTTAATGTTCTTGATGAGTATTATGCCAGATTTCTTCTGTCCTGCAAATTTTGTATTCATATTACTGGTATTTTATAGCGCTCATATGTCCATAATATGGGTGTTTTAGTACTAGGTGTAGTAGGTTATTTTGTTTGAAATTTTACGATCTGATTTAATTGTCTATCTTGCAATTTATTGACTATCATTCCAACTATGGCTATCACTTCTTGAAACTAATCAAATTCTCTTATAGGTAGTCAAAACCATTATTGCTCTGCTTAGAACAGCATTTCCTGATTGCGATGATGGTGCTTATCGTCAAGCTTTTAAGGCTTTAATTCCTTTTGAGAAAGAGGAAAAGAAGAGGGTAATTTTTTCCTTCTTTCACTTTTTATCCTCTTTCTTTGTAGCTTTTTTTTTCTTTTCATCTACTTTGATATTTTAGATCCTTGTGGTAATAGCTTTTTGCACTTCTCTTGAATGTTGGTTTTGCTTACTAGAAGGCAGTACTTCATCCTTTCTTTTCATTTTTGCAGATAATTAATCACATTGACAAAATTTCAACAATAAGAAAATGTCCATTGATTACTGCTGCAAGGGACATCTTCAGTTCAAAGATTTCTGGTACCTTAAAGAGGTCTAGTTTTAGAGATTCTGAAAAAAATGGAAATCTATGTATCAAATCATCACTGCTCTATTTTGTTTTTCGATTTATCATTTATTGCTCTATTTTAAAAGGCATGCATAGGCGCAAGCACATTGAAACACACTCTTCAGTTTTTTTTAATGTAATTTTTTTAAAGGATTAAGAAATGTGTTGCTTAAAAGCATTATATTTAAACAATATCTTAAAGAAACTTAATTTATTTAATTTTTGAGTATCTTATTATCATAATACTATATTCTTTTTTGTTTTAGAAAATTGTTATTTTTATTTTTCTATTATACGCTTCAAAAACAAAAAAAATTTTGATCTTTGGTGTGCTTCGCATTTTAAAAGACATGACTTGTGATTGGTGACTGATTTGTGTTCTATCAAATGTAAACTGTAAATCCCAGTCTGATTCGGTGCCAAAATCTTATAATGGGCTTGACGATTTTTTGATCAACCCAATGAAGTTTCCTATTAAATTACTGAGTTTTGATCCATGCCCAAATCTTACAGGAGTCAACTTAACCAAGGGCGTAAGGTGTTGTCAACATTAGAGATGATATCAAGACTTGTTCTAAGGGTAATGCATGTGGGATGCTGCTAGAGTATTTTATGTGACGATTTCAAGTGGTAGATACATAAGTTGTTTCATTTTTATCCCATCTGGAAATCTTATTGGCCTTTTCCAGTAAAAACGTGGAAAGAAAGCATGGCATCGGTAATTTTATATTTACCTAATATAATGAACGCGGAGCTTGTTTCCTAAAATATTGAGGTGAAGTATTTATTTTAGTTCTCTTTGGCCTCTTCCAATTGTCAGAGCTTTCTGTCTTTTCAATGTCTTTTTTTTGGTTTATGTCATTTATTATTTATTTATTTTTACTTCTTTTGTAACCTGGGTATTGGGGCATTATCCCCATTAACCCGTGGGTGACCTGCCCACTCAAAGGCTGAGTAGACATCAAGGGGTAGGAGAATTAATTCTTCTGATCTCTAAGCTTGTGTAGTTTGAACTCAGGATACCTTGTCTTATTTGGTAACTGTAACTGGTTTGAAGTTTGAACTCAGTCCGCATTTTTGGTGACTAGTTTATGTTAAATTTTTAAAATCTAAATTCTTCCATCATGTATTATTTGAAATGTGGAATTGAAATCTGTCAGCTCTTTTAGTTTATTTACTTCTTTTCTTCCTTTTTTTTCACTCTACTTTAATTTTAACTAATAATTCCATTTCAATCTTATTTGTAAATATTTGCAGGAGCAATCAATTTCAACAGTTATAACCTCTGTGTCTAACATGTTACCTGAGGTTTGTCTTCTTTCAAAGCAAATACCTTTTGTGAATTTTCATATGCAATTCGTTTGGCAGATAGGTTAAAACATGCATCGGGGCGAGCATATCCTAATATTTAGGTTTGCATCCTGTACTTCATGTATAAATCAATAGGTTTACATATTATATTACGATCTTCTGGCCTTTGATTTTAGTTTTCCACCTATAAATGCTAGAGGCCATGTTTGTTTGGTAGTAGATCTATAGCATTAAACTGTCACATGCTGGGGGGGCTTGGGATGTGACTTTGACCTACTTTTTCATGTTAATAATGGAGATAATTTTATGTAATAGTTGAAACAAGGTTGGTTGTTCTTATCATTATTATTATTATTGATAGGAAACTGGAATCGAGGTAAGTTGTTATTATTATTATTCTTGATATTTTGTAATGGTTAAAAGTTGATTTCATCCTTAATTCCATTAAGCTAGTGGATGAGTGGACAAGGTGGAAAAAAGGGTTTTTTGAAACTAGATCGAGAAGGGTCTATCGTTTGGTTGTTGACATTGTTTGGATGATGTTCTGATTGTTACCAAAAAGGTCTAACTTGCTACCGTATAGTTTTTTGTTTACAATTATGTTCTCTCCCCATCATGACAGTCGTGTCTTTTACTAAAAAGATAAAAAGACTATTATTTTTAAGCCTTAATGAATGCTGCTATTTTCTCACATTCTAACATCACTTCTTCCCGCGTCATATTTCCAGAAGTATCTTCTTGAGCAACAGGCAGTTATTAATGTTGATGGGGGAAAATTGCTGAACGAAGACAATGATACCAGATCTGTAAGTATCAATCCATGCCAATGAGCATAACAATATATTATGATTTGACGTAGATGAGGGAAAATCACTTAGCGAACACAACAATATCAGATTCAGATCTATTGGTGGAACTACATGTTCTGGGTATTAGGTATAAAATAAGGGTGTTTGAGGGGTTTTCTACCTACCGTAATAGTTTCTTTTAAAAGATCAAGATTTACTTTGAGAAACACTAATACCTTTGGGAGATCTAACTCATATTGAGAACTCTCAATTCTATAGATGAGAACACAAAATTCTCACGTGGTTCTCCACCTAGTGCTAATTAAGTTCTCTTTGTTAATTATGAAATAAATATTCACATTAAATTTCAATAAATTAAAAAGGTCTTGAAACCTATATTCTTAATGACCTCAAAAAAGATTTTAGGTTTCCCAACTTCAAATTCCGTATTCCTTTTGACTGTGTTCTTAGAATCTGACCCAAAATCACTTCTTTGAGTGTAAGGTTTTTAGATTTAAAATTAATCTATAGGCATCTTAAATCAATTAAGCTATGGCCAGTCAGTTAAATGATTATGAAAGTAAGAGCACAAATAGAGTTCAAGGAGCATTTAGTACAGAAAAAATGCTTAGTTCATAATCTTTTCTATTAAAAGAACAATGAGACCCCCAAGGGACAGCTCTATTGGCAAGGGCGTAGACCTTGTGGTATCACCTATCATGAGGTTTTGTGTTCTAATTTTTGGGTGAGCTTAATACCAAAAATCCTTGATGTCTCTCGGGTTTGGGCCTTGGAGCGGGCACAGGTGCCCTCTGGTTATAGAGGTAAAAAGCCAAAGAGCTATCAATTCCGAGCTAAAAAAAAACAATGAGACTAAATATATTATGCAAACTTTTGGTATTTAGTTGCATATTTGTTGCAAATTTCTAGTAGGACAGAATACACTCACATTAGATGGGGAAGATGCTGATGAGCTTTGCCAATTGCAATCCTTGTTTTTATTTTCTTAGCCTTGATTTGTCGTATGCGGCTGCCTTTCTTGTTCGTGAAGGTTCTTCAGTATTTGTTGGACGATGTCTCCAACTTTATGTCAAGCCATTTTACTGCGGGAGAAGGAAAGAGAGACAGTATGGGAAGTGATCCAGGTTGTCTTAATGCTCTAAAAGCTTTTGTTGACCATGTATCTGAGAGGGAAAAAGCAAATTTCTGCTCTCGTCGTGTTGACAATGAAAACTCTGTCACTTTGACTACCATTCATCAGGTTCTTCTTTCCTGCCTAATTTTTAGAACTGTCTTAGATTTGGTAATAATATTTTATTAATATCATTGACATTACAATACCATTTTATTGTTTTTCTTGTAAACTTCCTTCTGTCTTCCACATGTAGTCAAAAGGCTTGGAGTGGGATATTGTCTTCATAATTAAGGTAATTGAAAGCAATCTAGAAGATCGTATCTTTCATGCTTCATTTATTTACCTATTTCCTGTTTTTTGAGAATAGTTTCTTTCATACTCTAACAGGTTCTTGTTTTCTTTTCTTGTAAAATGATTATTTAAGTATGACATGAATACACGTATCCAAGGAAAGTGGTGCAGTGGATTGGTTGGATGATATTGTATCTTCTTTTCTTTAGTTGTAGTTTGTTAATTAGTTTTAGTTGGTTGTTGGTTTCTTTGTTAAGTAGTTTTATGGGTTGCTTAGTTGTTTCAGACTGGTTAATAGGAAACCTTTGTAAATGGCGGGATTACCTCTTGTATTTTCAAGACTTTTCGAATGGAATAAAGACTTTCCTTGCCTATTCTTAGAGTGGTCTTAGATTATAGGCTGCATTAGAAAGTATGTGTTTGATTTGTGTCGGTAATAGTATGTCGATGATATGTTGCATGTTTGCATTTGTGCTCCTGAGATGACAATATTTTTAGTACTTTGATGTTACTAGGCCAATGAATCAGAGATTCCTCTCTTGCATGAATCCAGTGGCATTACAAGGGAAAACGGAAGCTCGATTGAGGCAAGTTTTTTCATGTAAATAACATTGTTACTCGTAGTTCTAGAGAATGCCTTCCATTGGTGCTGTAGTGACTCTCATTTGAAAATAACAGGAAGAACGACGCTTACTATATGTTGCAATGACACGTGCTCGAGAGAAACTTTTTATATCGTATGTCTTGATGGACTCTGATTGGCAGGTTTGTTTTAGTTGAATATTTACTATCATATGAAGGTGGATGATTTTGTTGACTTTAGCATTTCCTTTAGATACTTCAACCTTCAAGATTTCTCAAAGAAATTCCAGATCATGTTCGAGAGATACAGGTATTGTTCCTTAAGTTTTATTAGAATGCATAGTTTATTATTTATAAATAGGCATAACAACAATATAAATGATTGCTCATCTACACTCGGGCTAATGCTTTTGAAAAAGAAAAAGAAAACATATTTATTCAAGCCAATATTGCTACTTACCCTGTTGCTCAATTTTCTCTTGCAAAGCACGGAAAATGCTATCCCTAATATCACATTAGAAGACTCATCTCACTTGCCCTGATGACCCCTTACAATTTCTTGGTATTGAAATAGCAATATAATGACATACAAGCAACCTGCCAATTCGAGAGGCTGGGAATCTCTCCTACAATAGTCTCAACTATTCAGAAAAACAAAACCTCCCCTACAAGGGAGTTCCCACTCACCTATATTCTGCTCCCTCCCTCTCTCCATACTCATTCTCTAACTAGCTTTGGTGGGGAGTTACCACTCTACCCCTCCCTACTATAGGTATTAACAACTTGGTGGGAAGTTCCCACTCTACCCCTCCTACTCGAGGTATTTACCACCAGTGGCCTTACAAATGTACATGAAAATAATCTTGTATATCTTTTTTGTCATTTCTTTTTTTTCATTTTCTTAATGCATAATGCAATTAGATAAGTATTGTGGGACCTATAGATAAGAATAACAAATTTTCATTAGATTGGGAGGTCATTGATGACCATTTGGGATATGTGGGGCAGGGGAGAAAACTTTTAGGGGGTGGGTGGCGACTGGGTAAGAACAAACTTTGAGCAGGAAGAAGAAATTGGGAAATGGAAATGTAGGAAGAACGAAGGGGACGAGTCAAAGAATTGGGGGGAATTGGTGGAGTGGGAAAGGGGAAAAGAATTAGAGGGGAAATTGGTGGAGAGAAGGGGAAAAAGAAATTTGGGGAAGTAGGACACTGGACACAGTTGGAAGGAGGACTTGTTGGAGGGTCATCATCGCTTGGAGCAGTCAGATTGCTGGCATGCCCAGGGAGATGATAGATGGGGGCTGAACTGGTTGGGGGAGTTAGAATGAAAAGTTGTGTTAGGATTGGGAATGCCACTGGAGTAGTTAGGATAGGAAGGATATATTAGTAATTAGCCAAATAGTTTGTCATTGAGAGTTTGTTAAATAAGAGGGAGAGGGAGGGGATGAAGGTAGGCAATGATTTAGTTGGTTTGGTTTAAGCTTCAGAATACTCAAAAGGGAGGTTACAAGTATCTCAAATATTTGAAAAGTTATTTTACTTCTTTATCTTTTAGCTTTCATTACAATTTCAGTTCCTGGTTCTTATCAAGTTGGCAGTTGGGTAAGAATAAACTAAGGAACAGAAAACTTTTAATGTATTTCCAAATATTTAGAACAAAATAAATAAGGCATTAAAAGTTAATTTTCAATATCATGTCAATTTGGTTTTGTTCGACCAAAACATGACTGAACCTCATGAATCAATTTAGTCATGGTCGATTCAGTTCAAAGTCAAACAGAAATTGAAAACAAAAAAGTTCAGACCAAATCCTGTCATTGTGGTGTCAGTTACAGTTCAGAACTCTTTCTTATACTTGTACCCCTCTTTGAAAATCAATTTTTAGAATCCTTGATAAGTCTTGCTGTGATATCCTTTTAAAATAATCGTTTGGAAATGTTTTAAAGCACATGCCAGATTAATTTTTTGCTTAATAATTTTTTGTTCTATATCGATTATTAATATGAAAATATACAATTAAAAACTAATTCGATCCTTAATAATTAATGTTTGAAATGTTAATTTAAAAGAAAATATAGTTATTGATAAAGATGGGGTGTTTTAATCCCAAATGTTATATTTTGCCTTATTTCTCTAAAGGGCCTTCTATTTGCTTACTGTTAAGCCTGATGTTTTTCTAATTTTGATACTTTAATCTTTTGTTGTAGGGTGAAGCTAGTATTCAACACTTGCAAAATAAACACCACGATGTTTTAAAACAGAATATGCACTTGCCTCCTGAAAAATCTATATCAGCTGATTTGGATGTGGGATTAAATGATCCTGCTAACATTCAAATTGGCATTATAGATTTCGAAGAACCAATAGAGATCACTCATGGGAATAGTTTCCTAAAAAGGTTTTTGTTTTTCCAATTCCAATATTTTGTCCTTTGATAAATTCCTTTTTCTTGTTGAAATGAAAAGTTCTTTTTTCTTTTTCCAATTGTAGATTTAATGTGGATAACAGAGCAATTATTTCCCACTTATTTCATCAATGGGCCAAGAAAAAGGCATTTCAAGATCCTAAAAGGCTAATTGATAAGGTGATGAATTTTAAGAGCCTGTAGTCTCAAGTTTGATTTTTTGGAGCGATAATAATTGAAAATTCGGGTCATGTATTTACATAAATAATTGTTCTAGTTTGAATTTGAATAATGTGTATTCCATTGATAATTTATGTGAGTATAGTGTTGAAACGTTCTATCAACAGACGTGTTGAATACAAATAGATATGAAATATTAATTTACGAAAGATGGTTTATTAAAATGTTTAGCATCTACACCAAAAGGATTTTATTCTCTGGTGATTTTTCTATTGCTTTTCTTTTTGTTCCTTTTCTTCTCCTCCACAAAATAAATAGGATATCATCTCTACCAACCAAGTCATGCAGAAATTGTAATCATTGTCCAGTGCAATTATGGACATTAACAGATGTTGATGCATGAATAGATGATCAAAATAGGGTCTTAGATGAGGAGTTTGTGTTTGACAGTAATAGTATGATAAGCTATACACTAACTATTTGTATATCCAGAGGACTGACTCAATCTTCTATACTTGGACTTACTGTGGCATTTAAAGCAGGGTTAATGTCAAAGCGATAAGGAAAGAGTATAAAGAGTTAGCAAGGAAATAAACATATACAGAAGAAAAAAACTTTACCAAATCTGATTAAATGCTGTATGCTGGATAACCTTTGAGCCATTCAAATTCCATTGCATCACTTCATTTGAACTTCTGTGCTCGTGATAATTGATAAATGGGACCGTGAAAAGTTATATAATTTTTTTGTAACTTTACAGGTGGGCTTTGTAATTGACGAACGGTTGAGAGTGAAGAAATGCAAATCCAAGGTTATTCTTTTATCTTTTTATAAATTTAATAACTTTTCATTAACTGAGCAAGTTTTTGCTTCTTAATTTTAATATGTAATGAAGCTAACACGAGCTTTTAAATATTCTACGCTGCAGCAGTTTCATGAATCCTATTGTATGGGTTATTCAAAGTAGCGGCAAATTAAAATTGTTTGGTGAAGCCATAAAACCTTATTCTAATGGAGAAATTACTTATAAATTTATTTTGATTGTTCAATTATCCTAGAGAATGCATGTTTACTGAAATGAAATATAATGAATACTAAGTATATTTTAACTTCTCAAAATTTATTAGTTCTGTGTCTTCATTCTATTGATACTTACATGATCCCATCGATACTTTTACATAGCTCGATTCATTATATGTTCTTCACCATATCATTTTTCTAACCTGATTTAGTTTTCACTGCTGGAGATCAACTATGCAGTTTGAATATTTATGTTGTCGAGCTTTTGTATACTCAGGAAATCTTGCGTACACTGAAGTCGTCATTGACCAGTGATGAAGCACTTCAGTATGCTGAATATGTAAGTATATCTGTTTCAGCGTTCAGCTAATCATCAAAATAGTAAATTGATTGTTTATGTGGTTATGTTATAGTAATGATGATATACATTACTTGGAGTTTTGATATTAAAACTTCACACTATTATGCTCTGCGCTACTTCTATTGACCACCACACCTGTTTTTTACAGGTTTTGAGATGGGAACAGATTCCTGCTGATAAACGTGCTCTCTTGATGCAGGAAAAGCAGGTTTGTTCTCTTCAGCTTATGAGCTGCTGATAAATAATTGTTACGTTTTGTTTTTTTCTAAAGGTTTCATTTGATTTTGTAAAATTGTATGTTACGGTATACTTGTTTTTTTAAGTTTTTGTGGTGTTAATTGTTATGTGTCTTGACCCTAGTTTCAATCCCCACTGATAAACAATTTAAGTTGTAAAAGTTATTGGGAAATTTTTTAATTTTATGTAAAACACTGTCTTGACCCTAGTTTCAATCCCCACAGACGCTGATATTGAGAGAAAACAGATAGCAGAATGAAACTCAGACCTGATAATCTTAATGTCTATTTATATTGGATTTATAATCTTGTTTGATTTCCTTTATATTTTTGTAATATTAGTTGTGTATTAGCTGTTTATATTTATGTTAATATTTACCATCAATGGTCTTTCTCTTCTATTAGACCTTGTATTTGATTCATAATACAGAGAAAAAAAATAGAAATATAATAATTTTATTTACTTCCCATAATTCTAATTCGTACAACAGGAGGTCCTATTTTCAAACTCATGTAATCTCATTTTGTTTCCAATTAATATTCCAAACTCACAAGTGAGGAGTGTTTTAAATTTGTCAACCTATCAACTTAAGTTTTTGGATTCAATAGTGATTTAACAAATTTTAATGTTGATAATCTTCCATTTTTATAGTTCTACATTGAAAACAATGATACACATGTATTGGCCGTGTATGACAGTGCTTCTACTATTTTTTTCCTTAAACCTGAGAATGTCTTATTCTGTAGCCTGTACTACCTCAATTCTAAGCAGTGAGTTATTTCAGGAGCATTTCCAGAAATTAAGGATTGAAAATGCAATGGGCTCCTCAGCACCTACAGCAAAACAGGTAGCTATGATTTATATGCTATTCCTCAAATATATTATTGTTATCTAAAATGAGCATCATACTTGGATTTTAATGTTCTTAATCTTATGATCATCCATTTTAATCAATCTATTAATCTAGAATTTTCAAATAGTGAAATTAGTGATGTGGAGTTTCTAACCCCAATTGCAAAAGTTTCTAGTAAATTTTTTTCATCCTTATAAAATACAAGGCCAGTTACATTTTCTTTCTTTAATTTTTCTTACATTTAATTAACATGCACTTTACTTTGGGGCATCTGATTCATTCATCAAACATATTCACACTTCACAGTATTTTATTTTGATTTTAGTTCCCTTTCATTTTACTATTCATTTTCTTGATTTTATCTATAAATTTGCTCCCTGTTCTGTCATGTACATCCACTTTTGGTTCAAGAGATATCAAACCTTCAAGAGTTTTATCTATACCCTGGTATCAGGGGTCGGTTCTTACATTATGCTCATGGCCCACCTCCTACTAACCTTACTAACCTTTGGAGAGGTTCCATCCATACTAGGGCTGCTTTGGAGATATCAAGAGTTTTAACTGATTAAGTTTCCAAAATATATGCGCTTAAACTTTGTGGGTATCTCTGAATAACTCAATCCCTTACCAAGACAATTCCTTCAAGAATTTAAATATGTAGATGTTAAAATGCACGTTTTAGGTTTAATATGGTTTTAGTGTTAGGATGAGCTTTCAATATATATGTGCTTGCTTCCTTTCTTGTTAATATATATACATACATATATTACCTATGATATGAAGACTTGGTTTATCTGACATATTGAATCAACAGATTTCGTATTTGCGCAATTTGGGATGTACTATTACTCCGACATCGCGTCTCCATGCGTCGTCCTTGATCGAGCAGTATAAGTCACTATAACTAGCTAGAAAAAACGCCAAAAGGAAATGAACCATTGTCATGTATGTACCTGCCAATTGGTAACATTAAAGTTGTATGGTGCATTGTGTCATATTTATTCTTCATCTCATTTTCAAGTTGAAACAGTTTTCTTGACATCATTTGTAATTCCGTAGGTGTAGAAATCATTATTTGTTAAAACCAACATATTTAGACCACAGGGGAGGTTCTATTTTATTTTTATTTTTATAATCATTAGTATTATATATTGATGAAAATAACGTCGAAGTTTATTAGTTGGATCATGAATGTAATGTACAGTTTATTATTTATTGATTTGTTTTAATTTTGAGATTGAGGTCATTTGAAGATAATTTGTAAATTTCGACAATGGTGGAACTGAAATAAGGGAAATAGGCTATTAGATTTTGCATTTTTATATATTTTATCTGTTCTTTATCGTTACAGCTGTAGTTTCTGAAGTTTTAACTTATATAATGTAAAATATTTGAAAGATAAGTAATTGGTTGGAGGAAATATTTCGGGTTGTGTAAAAATGTAAAAAATTTGTGGTCAAACTATCTATCCAAGAAAATATGACATCTTATCTTACATCTTATTATAAAACTAAAAACTTTATGGATTGATGCCAACGATTGATAGGCTGATTTTTGTTTGTTGGTGATTAGTGATTTTGGAAGGCTCTACAACACCGATTTGGTCGGTTTTGGTCGAAATTGACACAATAATGAGCTTTCGATAAATTAGCGAGAAAAAGAAAATGGCTACTGAGGAGGTGTTTCGACCTACAAGAAAGGTGATCCACTTGTCTATATCTTAGTGGACCACAAGGGAATTTAGGAGGGAAGTTTTTTTCGAGAAAAAATGTACTCACTTAAAAAAATAAGAAATAAGTCTCCCAGAGATAGCTAGGGTGGTTTGGGGCCTCAAGAAATATCTGAGTTCCAAGTCACATGAAAGATAACTCTACCAAATAATATTTCTTACGTATGTATGGATATACTTTGGTATAGGAGCATAAAAGTCAAATAAAAAAAGAAATGCAAGGGGAGTTAGGATAGAGACTAGAGAGACATGAAACGTTCACTTTCCACAAAAATAAATTTATGTACTTTACGAAAATATTTGATGAGTCACATGCCATGCTCATGCAACATATATTATCCTCGTGATATGATGTGCATGATGCTCAATATTGTACTCAAAAGTTTTCAGCTAAAATCATTAATTAGTTCAAAGCGAGTGAAAGTAAGTTAAAACTTAAAAACAAAAAAATTGAAAGTAACATGTCTTATCCCAAACAATGTTTAAATATCAATATCGGAAATATTGAGGTGTCAGTCTCTTAAAATGATGATAGAAATATTGAAAAAATGTCGGATAATATTTCTAGAAAGATTATAAAAATAAAAAATTTGATTACAAATAACTTTTTTATTCAAATAATTAAATTAACGAATCAGCGTTCCACTATTTTTTAAATAAGTTTAAAATTATTAATTAATATTATGTTAATATTTTGTTGATTTTTTTTTAGATAAAAGTATTGACACGTCCAAGAAAATTTAATACCTTGATCCTAAGCCTTCATTTATATATCTAACGCAGTAGTTGGACAATGGGCAACATGCAAACGGGCTGATGGATAATATTGTTTAATCCGCATGGATCTGTGTTGATTGTTGAATGAATAAAGAAAATTCCAAACTTCCGAAATGGCAGATGGAGTGATCGCTGCTGAGCTTCCAAGTGTACTCGAATGGCGGAACTGGGCAACGTTGACATCGAAATTCAAGGTGAATAATAGAATACCGCCACTCTGCTCGCTTCCATCTCCAACCAAATCCAATCCAATCCAATCCATCTCACTACTCCATTCCTTCACCTCTCTCTAAATTCTCAATTCAATTCATCGCTCTTCGCCCCTAATTTCCTTTTTCCTTTCACCACACCGATTGGATCCTCCGCCACCATGAATGCCCTAGCCGCTACCAATCGCAACTTCCGCCATGCCGCGCGTATTCTCGGTCTCGACTCCAAGATCGAGAAGAGCCTTCTCATCCCCTTCAGAGAGATCAAGGTTCTTCTTCTTCTTCTCTTCTTGCTTCTTGCTTTCATTTCCTCTATTCATTTGATATTTGAGCTTCGATCCATCAGGTTGAGTGCACGATCCCGAAGGACGATGGGAGTTTGGTGTCCTATGTTGGTTTTAGGGTACAGCATGATAATGCCCGCGGCCCGATGAAGGGAGGGATCAGATACCATCCTGAGGTGACTGGATTCATTTTCCTTCTTGTGTTTATGTTGAATTGATATCTACCATCGCTTTTCTTTGCCTTGTGTATCTAACATTGATGTAATAGGCTTTGTTCTTTTCTATTTTGTCTTATTTACTTTGGATGTAAAGATGTCTTTTAGGTGTTATTGGTGTCTGGATGAGAGTTTTTTACATTTTAGATTTTAGTTTCTATCTGACAAACGTACGGCTGTCTAATTGAAAATTCTTTCCAAACTTTTCACAATGTTTTGTAATATCATCAAAAGTTATATTCAAAATTTTATAACACTTGGAAGTACTTTTAAAGTGCTTTTGAAAGCACTTGATTAAGTTACGTTTGAGACTTGAAGGGTTTTTTTTTTTCCTTTGTAATGGTCAAAAACACATTTTTTTCCCTTCAAGTTTAAAAGTAACTAAAAAACAACTTAAGGTGCTTTATGAGTAAGTATCTGCAGAGTGCTTTTGGCCCAAATGCTTCATTAGTAATTACTTCAAAAACCCATTCAAGAGTGTCTAACCAAAAAACAAAGTGATTTATTATTTAGATACTTTTTGCTAAAATGGTTTTAAAATATTCTCAAGCACAGTTTTAGTGTTTATCAAAAAAGTGCACTTAAAAGTTCAAAATTTATGTTAATAGTAGTGAGACATCCAAGGCTTTTTATGTGCTTATATGCAAGCTCTACTCTCAAACGCACCTCTTTGCATTCAAGTACTTGCAATTAGGAGTAACAAAGTACTGCTACTATACAAAGTTGGCTAAAATCTGTTACTAAAGGTTGACCCTGCTGCTTTACAAGTACTTTTGTACAAAGTACTGTTATACAAGACGAAGACGGTTAAGACGTTTTTCGTATGAGCTTTGTCTTATGGACTACTGAATTGCTTAATTCTGTTACTAAAGGTTGACCCTGATGAAGTAAATGCTCTAGCTCAACTAATGACATGGAAGACTGCTGTAGCAGATATTCCTTATGGAGGAGCAAAGGGCGGGATTGGATGCACTCCGCGAGAATTAAGTACAAGTGAGTTGGAACGCCTGACTCGAGTATTTACTCAGAAGATCCATGACCTCATTGGTATACATGCTGACATTCCAGCACCAGATATGGGCACAAATGCACAGGTTAAGTTCAGATAGTTTAAAGGTTTCATAGTATCCTTTAATTTTAGTTTAGGTGCTTCAACTATTTTCGGCAGGATGATTATGCTTAGAATTTCCTGCTGCAGCTATGAATTTGAAGCCAAATGATTTGTGCAGACTATGGCCTGGATTTTGGATGAGTACTCTAAGTTTCATGGTCACTCGCCAGCTGTCGTGACGGGGAAGCCCATTGTAAGTAATCAAGACTTGAAAATCCAAGAAACTGCTTGGTGCTTGATGAATATCATCAAAATAATTAGAGAACCCCCTTCTCTTATATTTTCAATTTTAGGACCTTGGTGGTTCGCTTGGTAGAGATGCTGCTACTGGGCGTGGTGTTGTTTTTGCTACAGAAGCTTTGCTTTCCGAGTATGGAAAGAAAATCAAAGATTTAACATTTGTTATTCAGGTATATCAAAATTCAAACTTGTAAACTTACTGCTCTTAACAATGTCTTGTGTTCTCCTTGTAAAGATTCAGCATCTAAATTGAAAAAAAAAAAAAAAAAAAAAACTCTATGAACTGCAAATTTATCAGGGATTTGGTAACGTGGGATCTTGGGCAGCAAGGCTTATCCATGAAAGAGGAGGAAAGGTTGTTGCAGTGAGTGATATTACTGGTGCCGTGACGAACCCGAATGGAATCAACGTACCTGATCTGGTTGATCATAAAGAAAAGACCAATAGCCTGGTAAATTTCCCAAGTGCAGATGGCTTGGATCCGAATGAACTTCTAGTTCATGAATGTGATGTTCTTATCCCATGTGCTTTAGGTGGAGTTTTGAACAGGTATTTCCATATTTTCCATCCACAACTCTTCCTTTGCTGTCTAATACTTCTAGTGTACTCTGAATATGTATATATATATATATATATGCTCTGTAGTGCATATCTTCTAATTCTAACATGCTCGGGGTGAGTTTGAGATAACTTTTGGAAGGATAAAAATCACTTTTCAATCCTTTCATAGAAGTGATCTTGAAAATTCTAAAAACATGGAAGAAACAACTTCAAATACTTTTAAAATTAGTGCTTCTTCCAAAATGCTTCTAGAAGAAATGTCTTCACATAAAAGGGTTTCTTTCAAAAGTCATCATACAGCAACTTTACAAGGTGAATTGCTAATTCCATAATTGTCTTTCCAACTGAAGGGAAAATGCTGCTGGTGTGAGAGCAAAGTTCATAGTAGAGGCAGCTAACCACCCTACTGATCCAGAAGCAGATGAGGTCATGTTTATAATGAATCTTTGATTCATAAATCTGAACATATGCTTAGATTTGTCACAATTCTGATTTCATTGCTACAGATCCTATCTAAGAAAGGAGTCATAATACTCCCCGACATCTACGCCAATTCTGGAGGAGTCACCGTTAGCTATTTTGAGTGGGTTCAGGTAAGCGAACTATTCATGATCTCTAAAGGGTCGTTAGGTCGTGTTCGTATTTCTTATATATCATTGTTTCTTTATCATTATTACAACTTTTTGTTTTTTCGAGTTCAACAACATGTGAATATAGGTATTCGAACTTCCGACCTTTTGGTTAAGGATATATGCTTTAATCAATTGAGCAATGCACGACTATCATTATTATAACTAATTATTACCTTTTGATTTCGAGTCTCAGCATAGCATAGCATAGCATCAAAACTCAAGTTGTTGATGTAACTTTGCAGAATATTCAGGGGTTCATGTGGGAGGAAGAGAAGGTGAACAAGGAGCTCCAAAGGTACATGACAAGAGCTTTTTATAATATAAAGAGCATGTGCAAGTCACATGACTGTAATCTTCGTATGGGTGCTTTCACATTGGGTGTCAACCGTGTGGCACGTGCTACCCTCTTGAGGGGTTGGGAGGCCTAGAAGTATAGGACTACCCTGCACTATTTTTTGTAGGGTCACTTTTTACTCTTCCTTTCACATTTCACTGTTTTCCTAAAGTGCTTAGATCATCAGCACTTGCATGCTGAAATTACTGTTGAATAAAATTCTCACTACTAACATTATTTACAAAATTTAGTAAAATTGATCAACGGTTCAGCTTGGGAAGTGTAGTGTTAGTTGATGTTTCCACTGTTTTCTTGCTTGGTTCTCCATTTTCATTGTTCTTCATTTACATTTGCTTTCTTGAGTTTCTTTCCTTATTGGAAAAGATGTTTAGTATAATACGACTTCATCTCTTGCTCTTCTTTTTTTTTTTTATCATTGTAAATAAGTAGTTACCAAACACATTTTTATTTTTTCGAACCAAAAAAGTTGTAAGAGCTCTTTTGGTAATGTTCCTCTCTCTTGTTTCTTATTTTTAGTTTCTCAATTTTATTAAATGTTTCTAAAATTATGTAGAATTAATTTATCATTTTTTATTACTAATATGCTTAGTAAATATCAAAAAATAAATTTAGCATGAAAAAAGTTGAACATTTAATTTGAAAATATAATTTTTAAAAAACTTGTTCTTTAATAATTTAAAATTTGGGATAACAAAAAAAAATGAGAAAAAGTTATGGAAACATGTTTCTATTTTTTAATAAATAAAAAAAATAAAAAACAATTATATTTTTCTTGATTTTTTTTTTTGAAAAAAACCTTAAATAAAACTAAAACAAAGAAAAGTCACTTGCAACTACATCTTGAATCCAAACAGGAAAGTTAGAAATCCATCATTGTGTGTCGCTCTCCTCACCAATTCGTGGGCCGCTGAATTCTTCCCTCTGTTGATGTGGACGATCGAAACAACTCCTCTCGCTTGAGTTATAAACGAGAAACTAAAGAAACTAAGAAAAAAAATATGTTACCGAATGAGTTATAAACCTTTCATGCTTGCTTGACCAATATCGTTTTATCCCTCTAAAGATAAATACAACCATCGCCGCCTTTAATTCACACAATTATTTTTTTCTCAAAAGAAAATAAATAAAAATTCACACAATTTTTTCGTCTCATCTATAATTTCTTTTTCTATTAAATGTAAAATTTGAGTTGACTTTTTCCTTCGCCTTTTCAAATATTTAACCACAATTGGATTATAATAAAACGTTTTAAATGTATAAAAATCTAATTGAAATCAAGATGGAAAGGACCTAAATCATAAATTGACATATAAACTAAAGACAATAAAATAATAAGCTAAATTAGGAGAGAGAGGTAGACTGAAACAATGAAAAATGATCCATGAAAATTTTCAATTTTCAATACCCATGAGTTATTAGAAATGAATTATATGTAAATTGAAATGTGGCTTATATAAAAATACAATTTTTTTTTTTGTATGAATACAACATTATAATTGCCTGTGAGAATTTGAGCTATCAAGTCTAAGGAGTTACTATTTTAATCGGTTTAACTATGTTTATATTTGTTAAAATCTTTGATACTTGACCACTAAACTATGTTATATATAATAAAAAGATGGTAGGTTTTCACAGATATAATCTTTGATACTTGACCACTAAACTATGTTATATATAATAAAAAGATGGTAGGTTTTCACAGGATAAAGAATGTAAATATGTTTCACGAAATAAAAAGTAGAATGTAAATGAAATTGATGGATGTTTTCTTTTTTTTTTATAACTTTGTTTTATAAGAACAAGCTTTCAAGCATTTAGAGACACAAGTCTATTGATTAATTTAAAAGAATAAAATTGTTGTTTTTTCATAAGTCCAAAGAAAAAGTAATTTTTTAGACCATTAGGGAGAAAAAAAATTAATAACCTAAATATATATTTTAGTTTTTAATGTTTGGATTTTTTTAAATGTAATTTCTATTATTTTAAAATTTTCAATTTAGTCACTTTATGTTGTTATGTTCTTTAATTTAGTTCATCATTGTTAGTAGATAATATATTGGTTGAACTTATGTGATGTAATATTTAGTGAATTGGTATAAATTTATTGGAAAAAAATGTCACCAAGAAAAAAAAAACTCAAAACTTTTATCAACTTTCTAAAATTTTGGAGAAGAAATTAGAAATTTTCTTTTTCTTAGTAACTTTTCTCCTCCTTTAAATTTTCACAAATTCACACGGTATTATACTAGGTAAGTTTATCATCAATCAATTTTAAAGTTTATTAAAAATGAGAGACTAAATTAAAAATATATAAATTACAAAGGATTAAATTGAAACTTTTTAAATAATATAGTTATTTGAAAGAAAAAAAAAGATACCATTAAGACTATAACTAAGGTATTAAATGTCCATCCACGTATCCACATATCCATGAGTTCAACATTTGAATCAATATTTCTATAATATTGCAAAAAAAAAAAAGACAAAATAGATATCAATAAAATATTATTAATATATTTTTATATTAAAATATTTTAATTTATTTAAAAATAGTAAATTATTGTTTAGGTCCTCTACTTTGGGTTTTGGTTTAGTTTTGTTGTTGTACTTTCACGATGTTCATTTCGATTAATGTATTTCAACTTTAGTTCGGTTTTGGTTTATTTTTGTTGTTGTACTTTCACGATGTTCATTTCGATTAATGTATTTCAACTTTAGTTCACATACTCTCAAAATCTGTTTTTTGTTCCCTATATTTTTTATAAATTAATAATTTTATTTTTAATCTTATTATTTTGTTACGATTTGAACATGAAACTACACTCAATGTATTTATATATAGTAAAGGATTATCATTATGTGTAGAATTTATTTTAAAAATTTACAAATAAAAATTAAAATAGTCGCTTTTTAAAAGTGCAAGAACTAAGATCAACACGGTAGAACAACTGAAATGATCTTAGAGATAAAAATGAAGCAAAAGCTGAAGGACCCACTGTTTTAACCTAAAATATTTGTCTGTTAATTTTTTTATTATATATATATATATATTTTTCAGAAACATCCACCCACGTCAAAATTATATCTAATATTTACACATTTCCATAACAATAAATATTTTTTCCCTTTTTCAAAGGAAAAAGGAAAAAAGCATGGTTTTGTAAGGGAACGGCGTCAGGAAACTTGAAAACCGTGCCAATGTGATATGTGTCTAATAGATAGAACCCCGTCTGACCGATCTCTCCATTTTGCAAAACATTTTCCCCAACTGCCAAACGGAGCCTTCCTTCTTCTTCTTCTTCTTCTTCCATGTAAAGCCTAAAGCCATCACCATGGTTCAGTTACCGCCATTGCCACTCTGCTCTCTCTCATCTTCCTTCTCTTCTTGATTCTTCAATCCTTCTCTCTCTTCCTCACATCGCAAAATGTCGTCGTCCTCTTCTTCGTCTTCTTCTTCCTCCTCCTCCTCCTCCTTTCCGCCCCTCTCTTCTCCTCCCTCGCCGTCTCTTCAGAGGAGCATGAGCATCCAGAATTCGGAGGCCGAGCGCCGTCTTCGTGAGGCCGAAGACCGCCTCCGGGAAGCTATTCACGAGCTTCAGCATCGCCAGCGCAAAGTTGCGGCTTGTGGATCTCGTCACCCGAGCCGGGAACAACCCCCGCCCTGTGATCATGCCGACTCCTCCTGTGTCGCTAATGCCATTGGTAATCTCTGCCAGACCTTCCTCCTCTCTTATGGTGTTCGAGTCGGCATTGGTATACTTCTCCGGGCTTTCAAGCTCGCGCGGGGACACTCCTATTCCTCTATCCTCGATCTCAAGGTTAGTTTCCTTTCACTGTTTCGGTCCTTGTTTTCTTCTTTTCCGATACAAAATTTTAATTAGGGCTGAAAAGATGTTGTTCAATTCACTTCTCCATTAGTCTTCTCTTTCTTTGTTTCCTCCCTTTATAATTGTTATTACTTAAGATGTTTCTCATTGCTGCTATGCGACTGTTTGGTTAGTTTAATGCATTTGATGTTGATTATTATTTTTTGTCCAAATGTATTCTTCACTATCTCGGGCCACTTTTCTTACCAGCAATGGATTCGTATTGGAGGAGAATCGAAATAAAATGGAATGAACTCTGCAGAAACTATAACAGTATTTCCAGTATTGTGTTTTCTACGATTGTTTTGAAATCAAGATTAAATTACAGAGGATTATCATTTGTTTACCCGCATTTTTTGATATTAGGATTTAACTTATTATTATTATTATTATTTATCTTTTAGGGTATTTATGTCTTACTGCGTATTATATTTCATTGGTTCATTTTTTGATAATGAAAGAATATTTCACAATAACGATTCTCTGGATAGGTGGTTAGTGATGAATTATCCCTTGCCCCCTTACGTTGCTGTTCGATAGAATACAAATAGCTTGCAATGGGTTTTGACAAAAACTCCCTGTATAGTCGAGCTAGATTGTTCTGACAACAAGTTTTCATTCTCTGTGCGATCTTCATTGTGGATATGTGACAGCTTTTTTTAAGATTGCTCAAGCTACCAAGAAGTGCTAAATTCTTTTATATAAACTAGGTGGTACAATAATAATTTTTGAATAGAGAAGAAGGAAGAATAACAAGAGAGGAGCATCCCTTCAAAAAAAAAAAATAAATAACAAGAGAGGAGCGGTGGCGGAAATTTCCGAAGTTGAGGGAAATTGAAAAAAAGGTAGCATTGTAATAATAAAGGGCCAAAACTTGGAAGGTTGGAGAAGCTTATTGGGTTGGGTTAGGTCGGTGAAGCCTCTTTGGTTTGGTTGATGGTTTCATGTTACAAAGTTAAGTTAATTAGAAGCTTATCGGGTTTGGTTGATGGTTCCCTGGTATAAAGGTTTAATTAATTCCTTCAAGCTTTCTACTTAGGATACCTTCACGGAAGTGGTTCCATGTGATGGCTAAAACCTTGGTTGATAAAGAAGTTATAAAGCTCTTCTTTTTAAGAGCAGCATCTGGATGCATTTTATTATTAAATTGTTCTACAAAATCAGACAAACTAATTGTTTACCTCATTTCCCTCTCAAATATTCAGGGAAAAGTAAAACCCACAAAAAGAAACAAATTCAAATGAATAAAAAATAACATGAGGCAAACCATAGTTTGAACCATGCCCACAAGTTCTAACCAATTTTTAAAAAAAAAAACACTTAGAATATCTTCTCCAATTCATCAACGCCCATCGTATTCTGTAGTAGAGTGGCTGTAAGGTAGTTCTCACTTTCTCAACTTTTGCATTATCCATCTTCTTTTTGATTAGTTGGAGTTGTTCCTTGAACATCTTTCTCTGCTGTCTTAAGCTCATATCATTTTTCTCCACAATTCTCCTCTAAGCACAACCTTCTTTTTCCTTCTTTTTTTCATCTTCCTCTTTCTCTTTCTCTTTCTCTTTCTCTTCAACATCTGAGTTATCCATCAGTAGCCTAATGGTTTGTTCTTTTGAGGGGAGATTTAGTCACCGTTGGCCGAGGAAGTTTGGGAACTTTGGTTTTAAAGCTGTTATTCGGGAACTTTGATTTAATCCAAGAATCTCTGAAGAAAATTTTCAACCTTGGCGAGAAAGAGTGGGTGTGCACTTTCTAAATACTTTTTCTACTATTGCCAGAATGAAATACTTCGTAATCGGGAGGCCTTTTTATAATTTATCTTGGTAGTTTCATGAGAATGTTATTAGTATGTTCTACCATTTGTATTCATGTTTTTGGAGTTTTGTACTTTGTTTATTGATGTAAAATTTCCATGATCAATGATAAGGTTTTTTCTTCTATAAAAGAAGGAGATAAAGACGTTATTAAGATTCCCATAAAAGCTGTTAATCAAGGTGGCGAAGAATTTGGCATGTAGTCGTTATCTTTTCATCTCTGTTAACTCCAATAATGTAGGTCGTGACGTTAATTGAAATATAATTGTGTTATTGGTTAGAAAAGTATCCACCAAGACCAGTTTAAGGTCCACAGAGTCTTGCTGGAGGGCATTGTGTGCCATTTATCCCTTTCTCTCGTTTAAAGCTTTATTATGATACTAGGATTGGGATCAAGCCATATTGCATTGTGTTAAAAAAGGTGGTTAACCGTTGGAGATAATTGAAACTTGGGATGAATCTTTTCATAGTGAAGTGGTTGTTAAACCCTCTTATGGAGGGTGGATCAAAACATGAACTTACCTTTGACATGGTGGAATAAGGAGACTTGGGAGTTCGTCGGAAATGCTTTCAGAGGTTTAATTGCTTGTGCTAGCAGCTGTTAAACAACTTAAACCCTCTTATGGAGGGTGGACCAAAACATGAACTTACCTTTGAAACAGTGGAATAAGGAGACTTTGAAGTTTTTTGGAAACGTTTGCGGATGTTTTATTTCTTGTGATAGCTGCCATTAAACCCTCTTACGGAGGATGGGCTAGCACTACAATTTTTGGAGCTTCTGATTGCAAAGGGATTTTGAGGATGAAATAGAGCTGACAAACCATCTACAGCTGCTGGAACAAATTAATCTAGAATCTTGATTTTCAGGAACCTTCCCTGTACGTCATTCTCTTGGAAAAGTGGTTGCAGTTAAGTCTCTCCCTAATATACTCCTTAAAACTGTGTAAACGTAAAATCCTAGAAAGGTTAAAGTTTTGCCTTTGGACAACTTTTCTCGGAGGGTTGACTATCGATACAGTGAAAACAAGAAGCCCGCATGAGACTCTGTTTTTCCGTATTGTTTTTTCCTTTTAACTTGCAAGAATCAGATGGGAATGCTGGACACTTATTCTTCTTTCGCTTGGTTTCTAGTTATTTAAGATGGAGACTATTTAAAATTTTTGGTATGAGTTAATCCATGCCCCTACCAGCTCAAGAGAATGTATCCTCTTTTTCATGTGGAACTTGTTTTAAAAAAAGGCTTTAGTTTTATGGTTGAAGCCCTTAAAGTATTTTTTGGGGGGTTTTGGCTAGAGAAAGGAATAGGAGAATATATTCTAAGATGCTTATAATGGGTCTTCGATCTTTGGGAAATCACTGCTTCCGTTGCTTCTCTAACTCTTGTCCAAACCATTTTTCGCAACCATTCATCCGATCATCCAGTCGTAAGCATCGGGAGATTTCACTTTTGTAAATTTTATCATACATTTGGGTAATTCGTTTCTTATAATAAAAAGTAAGAGGATTGCCATTTATGTTAGTCTTCATAATAAGGATTTAAATTTGAAGTTGAGGTGGAATCCATACAAAGGAGTGTAACGTCTTCACCATTCCAAAATTAAATCCATCAACAAAAATGTTTCCTAATTTTGGTCTGGGCCCACTAATTGAGAATCATTTACCATCCATTCTTAATTTAGCAAACAATGAAAATGACAGTAAGGAAGAATAACCCTTCGCTCATTCTCATTCCTAATAGACATGGTTTATTGCAAGTAATTAATATGGTTTTGTTGAAAAAAATAATATACGTCTGATCAAACAAGAAAACAAAAATGTGGGCGATCAACAATCAAATCACCAACTGATTACAAATGACAACTGAAACAACGCTTTTAATTGATAACATATTATATTCTCATCAAAAAATTATGTTCTCATAAAAAAACACAATATATTATGTTTATTCCGTGCTGCATCCAAAACTTTCTGTTGCCTCTCACATTTATCTAATAATTTAATTCTTTGATGATACTGTTCCTTCCATTTGTTCCATGAGCTTGATTAGTTTTTTCCTCCTTCTGAATACTCTTTTGTAGCAACTTGTCTCAGAGAAAGACTTGATAGTGAGGGAAGAGGCATGTCGTATTGGTTTGCTTTTTGGTGGCTTCACTGGGTCTTATCATGCCCTCAGATGCTTTCTTAGAAAGTGGAGAAAGAAAGAGACACCGTTAAATGTGTAAGTCTGTAATTCATTATAGCATCAATCTTCCCTTCTTTATGGTTTTCTTCGTATTTCATTTTCTTCTTTAAAATGCAATAGACGGGTTAATAAGCACATTCCGTATTTATGACATTGTTTAAGGGATGATGAGCAGAATTTTAGCAGGTTCACTGGCTGGTCTGTCTGTTTTAGCATTGGACGACTCAAATCGGAGGCGTACTCTTGCTTTATATCTTATGGCTAGACTTGCTCAGGTATGAGGCACATAAATTTTCTCTTTCTCCCATTTCTTTGTCTCCTTATCCCCTATCTTTACTCAAATCCTATCTAATTGAGTTTGTTTTTATTTTATTTTTTCTTCTCATTTTCTTTTTAAAATAGTGTGCCTATAACTCAGCGAAATCCAAGAACAAGTTCCACCTCTGGGGAAGTCATTGGAGACATGGTGATTCTCTGCTTTTTGCCATGGCATGTGCACAGGTAGTTTAAAGCCATATGGATTCTCTTCTTTTTGTCTTGGCTCAGGTGTAGAAGATTTTTTAATTCCTGCAAGATCTCTTGGGTTCCAAGTTGTGAGTGTTGCTGGTTGATGAGAGTTTCTTGGACCTTCCCCTTTAGTGAGAGAGGAAAGCTTACCTGGCTGCCTGGGCTCTTTTCTACTTTGTGGAGTGTTTGGTTGGGACGGAATGGAAGTGGCTTTTTATGGGATGTTGTTCATGCAGATGTTTTCACTTGGGTTTTGGCTTTTAAATTCGTTTGTTATACTCCCATTCCAATCAGCAATAATTGGGCCTCTTACTCATAATCTTACTTTTCTTTGTACTGGTCCTTCTTGGTGCTGGTCCATCCTTTTCATGTGACCTTTCTTTTCTTTCACTTCCCCCATGAAAGTTGCTTTTACACTCGAGAGAAAGAAAAGAAAAAAACTGTATATCTCCCTCCAACTCCTAAAGAAAAAGAAGAAAAAAGTATATCCCCCTCCAACCCAACAGGTTCTCTTTTTGTAAGCTTTTCAATGGGTCGAGGATCACGATCATTTGTTTCTGCCTTGTCTACTGCCAACGATCTATAATGCAAATGCAAACTATTTGGCATCTTCAATTTTGTTTCTGCCTTGTCTAACTGCCAACAATCTATAATGCAAATGCAAACTATTTGGCATCTTCAATTTTCATCTTCTCACACCTATATGTCGAAGATTCGCTTTCTTAATTCTTTGTGGTCATGGCTTAAGGAATAAAGCCAAGGTTCCATTGATTATAGTAGCTTGAGTGCTGCCATTTGGGAGTTACCAAGTTTCGAACAATTCTGTGGGAGGAAGTCATTGTCTTCGTTTCTTTTTCTTGCTTGGCCTTTTATGTTTTGCGACGCCATTTATCTCAGGAGTCAGTTGGAGAGTCAGAGACCTTTTTGAAGCTTCATTCTTTGTGTAAATGAAATTCTTTCTTGTCAAAAGGATAGAGTAATCAGAAAATAAAGCCAACTATACTTTTTCATGAAATATATTGAAACAAATTCATTATTTTATTTTTCTTCCTTTTTTTTTTTTTTGATAAGAAACAGAGAGAATGCATTCAAATCAAAAGAGCCCAAAAAGGCAAGAACAACCTAAAGGCGGAGGGTAGAGAGAACCCTCCTCAAAGAGAACTATACAATCGCATTCTTCCAATCCTGTGAAATCAAAAAAAGACTGTAGTTTCCAAAAGACTTCTTGTGGATTGTGGCCCACCAAAAAGCTGTATGCTTTGTATTCACACAGAAAGAATCTAAAGGGGCAGATTTGTCCTAAAAAAGTCTACTATTTCTCTATTTCCAAAGATGCCAAAGAAGAGCCCTCGCTGCACAGTGCCATAGGACCGCAGCTTTGCCTTTGAGCGCCACCCCACCAAATCCTTCCGCTACGAAGTCATCTATATGTTTAGGAAGACGGAAGGAAAATTCCAAAAGTGAAGCCATATAGTTCCAAGCCCGAGTGGCAAAATAACAGTGGATGAAAATATGATCCACCGAATCTGAATTTCTTAGGCAGAGATCACAAACCGAAGGGGAGAGCGTCCAATGGGGGAGCTTTCTTTGTACTCTCTCGATTGTGTTTGTGCTCCTATAAAAGAGAGTCCATAGGAATTTTATTTTTCTTCCTTAGTTAAATTTAAAAAGTAAATAATTTTATGGCCCTGAAAAGTTGTTTCAGTTTTTAAGTCGGAATGTGGGGTAATTTCATTTTTTAGGCTAGAATGTTGTCATTCTTTGTTAGAGTATAGGGAAACATTGGGAGTGCTATTGGGATATCTAGAGGTGGCATAGTTGTGATTACTTGGTAGTTTGTTGGGTGGGGTGGTTATGAATGGAGGGAGTTAGGGAGCTTAGACGATGGGTAGAATTTTGTGGATTAGTTATCTTGTAGGAGAGGGATAGCAGGCTTTTATTATTGTAATTTCTCTTTGATATTAAAATATAGTTAAAATTTGTTTCTTGCTAAAAAAAAATTGAATGTTGTTTTCTTATAATCGGGATCCTAACATTCATCTCTGCCATCATGATGTTTCTGGCATTAATAATAATTAATTTATCTAATAGAAATACCTTGTTTTATATTCATTATCATTCAGGTTATGTATGCCTTTGTAATGCGTCCTGAGAGCTTGCCAAAATCATACCGGGACTTCATTCAAAAGACAGGGCCAGTTGCCGAACCTGTTTATAAGGCTGTAAGAGATAGTTGTAGAGGCTATCCTGTGGATGTTGCTTCACTTTCTTCTTACTTGTCAGATAAGAATAAATCTGGCAATGTAAATCTAGAGGAATTTCCCTCCATCATTCCATGTAGTATAATCCACCCAGTCTCAAGTTCATGCATGGCTCACACTTCGAAGGCAGCATCAGCCACATTCAAGAAGACATTTCCGCTTTACTTCTCTTTGACATTTGTGCCATTTGTTGTTCTGCACCTACATAAAGTAAGTTTTTCACAATTTTTTTTTTCGGTTGTTGAATTTCTGTTCTCTTTTTGGATGTCGAAGAGTATATAAATCGAAAGTTGCAGTCAATACGAATATTAATTAAATGGTGAATTGGGGTTCTATTCTTAGTGACCATTGTACTTGTTAAAGACTTTTATTATTTATTTATTTATAAGAAACACTGATGGTATATATAAACCAAAGCCCAAAAGAGCAAGAGACGGGGTAGAGGAAACCCTCCCCAAAGAACTATACAATCGTAGCTTTCCAATCTTACATGATCAAAAAAAGGTTATAGTTACAAAAAACCTTCTTGTGGATAAAAGCCCACCAAGAAGCCGTATGTTTGATATTCACAAAAAAGAATCTAAAAAACAAAAATTCTACTGTTTCTTTCCCTCCATAGAAGCCAAAGAACCGTCCTTGCCGCACAATTCCAAAGAACATAAAATTTGCCTTTTAGGGCGTTAACCCCAAAAACTTCAGATATAAAATCATCAATATACCGAGGAAAACAGAAGGAAAAATCCAGAGAAGCCACATAACTCCAAGCTATGGATGGTACTTGTTAAGAAATTTAAATACCAACACTCTTGTTATTGTCTTCTTATTACTGTCTTTTTTTGGATAAAGGTCTTCTTATTACTGTTTATTATTATCGGCTAGAAACCTAACTCTCACCAAGAATAACAAAAGTGGAAGATATTATTATTGGGCTGAATTATTTGAAGTTTTTCCAGATTCAGTGTTGTTTCCCAAAAAAAGACTATCGAGGCAGCAATTCCATTGATTTGTATTTGGTGTAACGTGGTGATTATTCTTTTTCAGGAACTTCGGTTGGAGCACAACTGAATAATGTTTAATGATACTTCCAACCAAAAAAATGTTTAATGATACTTTAGTGGATTCTTAAGAGTTATGAGATTGTATAAAGTTTTTGAGCTCTAATTGGTGTATACTCTCTGTGGTACTATTTTAAATCATGCCAATTGGAGTAGCTTTTGTATCCTCAGTTTGCTTTCATGTTTTTGGCGCAATCCTAGTTAGTTTCCTTAAACTAAGTCCTGAGAAGCCCCTCTAACCTGAAAAAGGCTTCAAGCCACACGAATCAAGACAACAAAAACCTGTCTTTGGCCTTCCATCAGGATTCTCTAGTTGCCGCTTGGTACTCTTAGCTCAATGCCTCCTTCAGAGCAGATTAAAAAGGGGTGGAGATGCCCATAGTTTGAGGTGGGAACTCTGATTTGTGCTGTTTAGACTGTAGAGCTTAATATTATTTCAAAATGCACAAGTTGTTGGACTTGAAAAGTTATCAATGTTGAGTTGTGATAGGGAGGCACTATCCTGGTATTTGGGCTGAAACAGGCAAAGATTTTGAGATTGGCAGCACTTGAAGTAGATGCAAGTATAAAATATCTTGCTTGCAACGAGAGAGAACTGATGGCTATTATGTTGTCCATCGAACTATAGTGGCATGGGAACTTATTGAAAGGAGGTAGATTATTTGTTCCTTACTTTCTCGCTTAGCAATCCACGATAGTGCATGCTATTCACAACATAGCTCTGGGGTTTACTTCATATTATTTAGCACCCATAAAATATCAACATGAGAACTGCATTGAAGACAGATGTGAAGAGGTATGTAGAAGAGCTACCAGCAAAACAGGACTTTATCTTCATCCAAAACAGGTCTCTTAAATCCCTAGTCTATTGTATTTGGGGTGACATAACCATGGATTTATGTAAGGCCTCCCAAATTCAAATAGATCTGATACCATTTTCTTGATGGTTTGCCGATTGAGTATGTACTTGTTATCCCCTTACATGACTTCTTCACTACTAAATTCATGGATGCCTCCATTTGTGAAAGTTGGACGTCTTCGTGAGTTTCCACAACCAACTCATTTCTATTTAGATGAAGTCTTTACCAACCATTTATAGATCAAATTATTCAGGCTACATGGAACACTACTAAAGAGAAGTACAATCTGTCATTCTCAAACGAATGGGCTATTAGAGGTGGTTAATTTTTGTATGAGAATGTACCTGGAATGTAAGAAAACATCCCCTTTTCCAAAAACAGGGGGAAAAGTACTGTCAGTTATCTTGATGTTTTGTGGTTGTCAACAGTTGAGAATAAGTAGAAAAATAGGACAAATAATTGGCCATATGATTCCATATAAAAAGGCCATACGATTAGAAGCACCTAAGCCATTAGATGGGAAGATTGGTTTTTGAAGAGTCAAGGCCGAGGAAATACCTGATTGCGCAAGAGAGCAGGAATTAGTTGTGGCTTCAGCTCATGAGATCCAGTAGGACTATATGAAAGAATAGCCCTCAACTGTTTAGTTTCCACCTTGCTAACCCCAAAATTTAACTCTACCATTTCATTTTCCACTACCACGGTTGGGTGGGCCCCTCCCTTTCACTAGGAAACAGAGTAGGGCTTTCAAGTCTATCATGAGAAGGATGTACAAGACCAATGAGTTACAAAAAGGCACTCCAATTGGTGAACAAAATTGAACATGAGTGTTACAAAAAGCCCCTTATTATTTGACATATGTATATATGTTAAAATGTTTAGATAATTGTTATTCCCTGTATCTGTTGCTGAGATTGTTTTCGAATTAGTTCTTGTTGCTGGTTATTTTAATTCATGATTTTGCAGTTCATGGATGCTCCTGGTCGTACCTGTTGGCTTGCTGTCAAAGGTGCAGTTCGCTCAACAAGTTTTTTGTCTGCGTTTGTTGGCATTTTTCAGGTTGTTTTTCTGATATTTATTGACTTTAATATCAGTTGTAATCTGTGAGATAACGTTCTGAAGTATTTGGGGTGATTCTAGGCGGTAATTTGTTTGCATAGGAAAGTTGCAATCAAGGACCACAAACTAGTATATTGGCTTGCCGGTGGAATATCTGCCCTCTCAGTTCTTTTAGAGAAGAAGGGAAGACGATCCGAGCTAGCTCTGTATGTTCTTCCCCGTGCAGTAGATTCTTGGTGGTATATCTTGGTCAACCGCCACCTGCTTCCTAATATAAGAAATGCTGAGGTATTTGATTATCTCAAATCTTATTTTTAAAGATCAAAAGTTAATGCTTTGGAGCGGGGATTAGTATCTAGGTTGTTTTCTAGATTCTATCTTTAAATAATTATACCATCCAGCAATATATTTCCTCATGGGAATGGCCTTGATGTTATAACTAGCAATGTCATGTTTGGAATACAACATAGGACTGCAGCTTGGATTTCTAGTGATTTGTTTTGAAAAGAGCTATTTGGAAATCTACTAAATCTCGTGGCTTAGGTGTGTTTTGAGGCACTGTTAAAATAAGTGCATTAGTAAAATATGTTTAATAACAAATCACTTTGATACTTGGTTTTGCATGTAATTGTGTTTAAAGCACCCGATCAGTATTTTCGACTTTTATCAAAAGCAGTTCTAAGTTACTCCAAACAGTTTTGAATGGACAGTTTTTCGTCATGGCCAAAAAACCAAGAACACTTCACACCAGTCAAGTTTTAGAAACAATTAAGCTTGTAATATACTCTAGAGTCTAGCTTAACCTGAAATCTGATGTTCGGTTAAATTCCTAAATAAAGTATTCCTTCTGTTTTGGTAATATGAACAGGTCTTCCTATTTTCAATTTCCATGGGAGGAATCATGTATTACTTGGAATACGAGCCAGATACTATGGCTCCATTCCTCCGGGGTCTGATTCGCCGCTTCCTCGCGAGCAGAATCAGCAATTCAGGCACATCTTCCAGTCGAGATGTTTCTCACTCGTATTTAAACACACTTGACGCCATGAAGAAACCAAATTTAGAAGATTCCAGAGAAGTCGAAGCTGCACGGTCCAAGAAATATAATCTTGAATCAATACCAGGCTTATAATAAACAGAAGCTACAAAATGCAAGGTGATGGTACATGCTTGACTTTTTCTTTTAATAAAATTCGATTGAGTTGGTTGATTGAAAAATTAACTATTTGGCCAACAATCAATTTTCTTCGTATACAAAACAGTGTCATTTTATTTTCTAATATCTTGACATATATCTATTGTGCTGGATGCCTACCAGAACAATGAGATTGAAGGAAAGGTTAGGCAGGAAATTTTATCCGTTGGAATTCTTTCCTTTAGTTCTTTGGTCTGGTTCCACTTGATTTTGGGCTTCTTTGGTTTTTTAAAAATACCTGATGTATCCTTTCATTTGCTCTATGAAAGTATGGCTATGCTAGGATGTTGTTGATACTCATGTGGTTTTTAATTCAGTCCTAGAACTTTAACTTGGGAAATAATTTTATTGGTGCTATGAAATTGTACAAAAGGATCAATCCCTATTCAGGTTAAAAAAAAAACTTCTCCAATTTAATGCAAGAGAATTCAAACTGTAGTTGCATTGCGTTAAGGAGAGACATTTTTAAGCCAAAAGGTATGTAGAATCACGTGTTTTGGAGAATTTTCCTTGTCCTTAAATTTTGGAATTTCTTCCGCTCAAAATGGACCAAATGTAAGCTCTGTTGAGGTGAAGTTAAATAGATAAAAGATGCTTTGAAAACCAAAGCTAGGAGTGAGATAGTTAACAAAAGTTATCTTGATTTGTTATTAACAAAGATTATTTGACTATTCTTCAAAACAAAAGTAAATAAGGACGTTTCAATGTTTCTGTTTATTAGGTAGTCTAAATTGAAGTAGTTAGAATTTGTAATTTAGATATAAAATATTAACTGCATGTTAATAATAATGATTATATTCATTATCATTACACAGCGTGTTTTGTAAAATTGTCAAAAGTTTAAAAAATTATAAATCTAGCCATGTGGGTAGTTGTAATTTTGATCAATAAGACCAAAATAGTCTACCATGTCTTATAATCTTATTTTCACTTGGTGAAAATAAAATATTTTTAATGCAAGCCTGGCCAACCAAATATATTTTTTTTTTTTTTGAAAAAAGTGATTTTCGAGAAAGGATGAAAATAAAAGTAACTAAAAATGGAAACAAAGAGATGGAAAAAAATGTTAGAGTAGCAATAATTACCTGAGGTGGTTGCTAACATGAGCTTAGCTCACTGTAATTGGTACTTGTGTTTGACTAAAAGATTATGAGTTCGATCTCCGACCTCCACTTATTATACTAAAAAATATTACCTCGATCAACCAAGAATTTGAAGAGTGAGTTGGGTTTGTAGTGAGAGGAAAAAATACAGTACCTCTATTTGTGAGTGAATTTGGGATGGATCAAATTGGTGTAAATGAAAGGATTACCTATCTCGTTGAGAATGATTTCGATTGGGGATTATGAGATTTGCAAGATAACTACTACTATACGAATGGAATGAAAAATCACGATGAAACAAATCCTAAATTCCTCCTTAAATTTCAGCTCAAGCTTCAAGATAAATTTTAAATTTAGGCAACTAATTTCTACACTTTTTTTTTCTTGAATTATTATTATTATTTTAAAAATGAGATTTGTTAGTAACAGTATTTTTTAAATCTAAACTCAAAATTTACTATCTTTTTCTTACTAATGAAATCAAAGTGTTACTCTTCACACAAATCTTAGTTAAATCTCAACAATATTCCTAATGTATCATCCTTGTAGTGGTGGATGTGTGCGAATGAACAAAAATTATCAATTAGAAATTAGTAGTTGCAAGATTTCTAATCGTTGAAGTCATGATAAAGATGAAGCTCCAATTAGACAGGCTCTAAATTGTGTTTGAAAACAGTAGGAGATGAGCTCCCTCCAATTCTCTCTCGAGATTGTTTGGGTCAACAAAGTGCTTGGAAATATGTTTCAGATGCCAAGCTTCAACTGACCTCCATTGTTGAATAGGGACAACTCTTGTGGTTGCATAAACCTTCTCATTCCTTCTAATTGTGCCTAAGCCAATAGTTTAAGCTTGTTCCCTCGAATGTACATCTCAATTAAGCTCCAAAAGTAATTATATATTGTTCCACCTCCTCTAATTCAATTGAATCAATTTTCTTATTCAATTATTCATAATAACATAGGTATATCCAAAACTAGCATAACTCATAAGTAGTTGATATGTATCTTCAACCAAAAAATTGAGTTTGAATCTCAACTCCTACATGTTGTACTTAAAAAAAAAAAGCATAAATATATGATTTGGGTCTCTAAGTTGTTTCTTTTTGCAATATTGTGAACCACATTATTTGACTTAGTCAAACAAAAACAATTGATCTAACCATCTTTATTTGTAAGATCTTTTGAATCATTCTAACTTCTTGGTATCTGAATATTGTTGTCCTTTGATATTTCTTTTCTCATCATTTATATTAAAACTTGACACTATACACTTGCGATATTGTAAATTACAAACAAGTTTATGACATCGGTAAACAAAATACCTAATTATTACTTTTTATTGGTAGAACATGTAGGAACGATAATTCAAACTCACAACTTCTTGATCGGAGACATAATTATTACCATTATTACTATTACGAATCTGTACGGTAAATAATGAAGGTATCTAGAGTCATAATTTCCAAATCTGAATCCCCCCTACTCAAAATTATCCATGCTTCTAATTCGCTTACAATCACTGAATAGCAGATATCTTTTGCTATTGCAATCTTTGCTTCCCCAAGGCAGAAGTAAACCGAGTTTCAGTTAAACTGAACCCACTCAAGCTTCCAGGTTCAGTTTGCTTTCTTCCCTCTCTCTTTGAATTAATCCACAAGTTTCTCAGCATGAGATTGTAGCGCCAATTTTCATCTGGTTTCTCTGAGGTCGCCATTTCCATGGCATGCACAGCGGTGCTTCCCTTGGCCTTCGCTGCATCTACAAAGGTACGCAAAGTCACTTCTGCTTCATCTTCTTCCACCGAACAACACAATGAAATCAATACGAATACGACTCAGAAATTTCATTACAGCAGAGCTTCTCCTTCTGTGAGATGGCCCAACCTCAAGTTAACCGATAGTTTTCAATTGCCGTCTCAGACCCACTTCACGCTTCCTTCTCCTTTGCAGACCCACGTGGTCGATGAATCGGATGTTTCTGTCAGAACCCAAAATTCTGAGATTAAGGATGGAAATTGCGAAGGGAATGAGTTAGAATCTGTAGGGATGATGAGTGATGAAACCCAAGAGGCTTTAGGGAGGCGTAGCAAGACGAGAGTTAAAAAGATGAACAAATTGGCACTCAAGAGAGCGAAAGATTGGAGGGAGAGAGTGCAATTTTTGACTGATAGAATTTTAGCACTGAAACAGGACGAATTTGTGGCTGATGTGTTGGACGATAGGAAGGTTCAAATGACACCCACTGATTTTTGCTTTGTAGTGAAATGGGTGGGGCGTTCGAACTGGCACCGTGCTTTGGAGGTGTATGAGTGGTTGAATTTACGGCACTGGTATTCACCCAATGCTCGGATGCTGGCTACCATCCTAGCTGTGCTTGGAAAGGCCAATCAAGAAGCGTTGGCTGTAGAAATATTTACCAGGTCAGAGTCTGCCATTGGAAATACTGTCCAAGTATACAATGCTATGATGGGCGTATATGCGCGGAATGGTCGGTTTCTTCAGGTTCAAGGGTTGCTTGATTTGATGCGTACAAGAGGGTGTGAGCCTGACCTTGTGAGTTTCAACACTTTGATAAATGCCCGTATGAAGTCAGGACCCATGACACCAAATTTATCCCTTCAGTTTCTAAATGAGGTTAGGAAATCGGGTGTTAGGCCCGATATAATAACGTATAATACTTTGATTAGTGCTTGTTCGCGTGAATCGAATCTTGAGGAAGCAATGAAGGTCTATAATGATATGGAGGCACATAATTGTCAACCTGATTTATGGACTTACAATGCTATGATTTCAGTTTATGGGAGATGTGGGTTAGCAAGCAGAGCTGAGAAGCTCTTCAAGGAATTAGAGTCCAAAGGGTTCTTTCCAGATGCAGTGACATATAATTCATTATTATATGCTTTTGCAAGAGAAGGGAATGTAGAAAAGGTAAAGGAAATTTGTGAAGAAATGGTAAGCAATGGGTTTGCTAAGGATGAGATGACATATAATACAATTATCCACATGTATGGGAAGCAGGAGCAGCATGACCTGGCTTTTCAGCTTTACAGGGATATGAAATTGTCGGGCCGGATTCCTGATGAAGTTACATATACTGTTCTTATCGATTCACTTGGAAAATCAAGTAAAATAGAAGAAGCTACTAACATAATGACCGAGATGTTGGACTCTGGAGTCAAACCCACTTTAAGGACATATAGTGCTTTAATATGTGGGTATGGTAAGGCTGGGAAACCAGTAGAAGCTGAAAATACATTTGATTGCATGCTTAGGTCTGGGATTAGACCTGATTATTTGGCATACTCTGTTATGATTGATCTTTTTCTTAGGTTCAATGAGACAAAGAAGGCAATGCTGTTGTACAAAGAAATGGTATGTGATGGTCTAACACCAGATGGTGTCCTATACGAAGTCATGCTTCGGAATCTTGTGAAAGAAAACAGATTGGATGACATTAACAAAGCTATCAGAGATATGCAAGATAAATGTGGTTTGAATCCTCAAGTTATTTCTTCGATCCTTATAAAGGGGGAATGCTTTGACCATGCTGCTAAAATGTTGAGAATGGCCATTGACACAGGCTATGACCTAAACCATGAGAACTTATTATCTATTTTGAGTACATATAGCTTGTCTGGTAGGCACTTGGAAGCTTGTGAATTACTAGAATTTTTTAGAGAAAGGACTTCTAATTCCGATCACCTGGTAGCTGAATCACTAATTGTTTTACTTTGTAAGGCTGGTAAAATAGATGCTGCTCTAATGGAGTATGGTAATACAACTAAAGGGTTTGGTTCATATGGCACAAGTTCCATAATGTATGAATGTTTGATTCAAGGATGCCAGGAAAAGGAACTCTTTGACACAGCATCTCAAATTTTTTCTGACATGATATTCTATGGTGTCAAAACTTCGAAAAACCTGTACCAAGTCATGATGCTTATGCACTGTAAAACAGGCTATCCTGAAATAGCCCATTATTTGCTTGAACGTGCAGAGCTTGAAGAGGTTGTAATTGATGATATCTCTATTTATGTTAAAATTATTGATGCATATGGGGAGCTAAAACTATGGCAAAAAGCTGAAAGCTTGGTTGGAAATTTAAGGCTAAAACTAACTACCATCGACAGGAAGATTTGGAATGCATTAATACAAGCTTATGCCAAAAGTGGTTGCTATGAACGAGCAAGGGCTGTTTTTAATAACATGATGCACGATGGTCCTTCTCCTACAGTGAATTCTATTAATGGTTTATTGAAAGCGTTAATAGTTGATAATCGGCTGAAAGAGCTTTATGTTGTTGTCCAGGAGTTGCAAGATATGGGCTTTAAGATAAGCAAAAGTTCTATTCTTTTGATACTTGATGCATTTGCTCGAGATGGAAACATATTTGAGGTGAAGAAAATTTATCATGGCATGAAAGCTGCAGGTTATCTTCCAACTATGCATCTTTATAGGAGTATGATTGTGTTGTTATGCAAGGGAAAACGAGTTAGGGATGTTGAGGCCATGTTATCAGAAATGGAGGAGGCCGGATTTAGACCTGATCTATCCATATTGAATTCTGTAATCAAGTTGTATGTAGGAGTTGAGGATTTCAGAAATGCTTCTAGAGTGTACCAGCTAATAAAAGAAATTGGATTTACACCAAATGAGGATACTTATAATTCTTTAATTATAATGTATTGTAGAGATTGTAGACCAGAAGAGGGGCTTTCACTGATGCACGAAATGAAAAGGCAGGGTATGGAGCCCATGTTAGACACCTATAAAAGTTTGATTTCAGCACTATCTAAAAGGCAGCTGGTTGAAGAAGCAGAGGAGCTTTTTGAAGAATTGAGAGCAAATGGATGTAAATTAGACCGATTTTTTTATCATGTAATGATGAAGATGTTTAGAAATTCTGGAAATCATTTGAAAGCGGAGCGCTTACTTGTCATGATGAAAGAGACGGGAATAGATCCCACTGTTGCCACAATGCACTTGTTAATGGTTTCCTATGGCAGTTCTGGCCACCCTAAGGAAGCTGAAAGGGTTCTCAATGATCTAAAAGCAACTAGTATGAACCTTGATACATTACCATATAGTTCAGTAATTGATGCCTTTCTCAGAAATGGAGATTACGATGGTGGAATCCAGAAACTGATGGAAATGAAGGCAGATGGTATAGAGCCAGATTATAGAATATGGACATGTTTTATAAGGGCTGCAAGTTTTTCTGAAAGTACAAGTGAAGCCATTATCGTTTTAAATGCACTACGAGATACAGGATTCAATCTTCCAGTCAGGTACTTACTAATTTTTCTAATGTTAAAGCGAGACAATGTTTTAGTTCTTTTTTAATATGATGCTGCCAAGTAATGTTCATAAATAGCCATTTCAAGATAGTGCTTTTCTTGTAGGCTTTTAACAGAAAGGTCAGGGTCATTGGTTCTGGAGGTTGACCAAGTTCTAGAGAAACTTGGAGCCATGGAAGATGGTGATGCAGCATTTAACTTCGTTAATGCGTTAGAGGATCTGCTGTGGGCATTTGAACTTCGAGCAACTGCATCATGGGTTTTCGAGTTGGCAATCAAGAAAAGTATATACCAACAGGATATATTTAGGTAATTTCTAATTTGTTCCCGTTATTGTCTATCAGTTTATTATGCCTATCCCCCCAGACTTCACTGTCCAAGCTACCAAAGTTTGAATTTCCCTGTATATCACTATGTATGAAAATAAACCCATAATTTCCATGTATGAGAAGAGATAACGATTGAGGAAAGTAGGGGCAAACAAGGTAAATAAGTTGGAAAATGTGGTGTGCACATGTAATTATGGGACAGAAAGGAGAGTTTTACGGTTTGTCCCAACTTCTACTATGTCCTTTGAGTACTAAAATCGCACCAAAGTTAGAAGTGGAAGATCGTGGATTTATAAATAAGTATAATATCTCTATTAATGCCTAGGGGCATGTTCACCATCTTGAATCATGAATCATCATGCACAAACCATTGAGACTCGCCCTTCAATAACTTGTGGAAAGATGTTTCCACCTCTTCAACTAGCGATACTTATCCAACTGAATGACCCTGTGATCAAGCCAAATGGGCAGAATGATTGGAGTGAGCATGTTGTTGATGGTGGTTTGCTCCCTGCAAATGATGGATGGATTCTAGGAATTGGTGTTACTACTAACGGCTCTTTCTTCATGTAAACTGGTTGTTTGTTTGATCCAAGATCTGCAAAAGTGTCATCGTGTCAATCGATTGAGACTTCTGCACTCTGATTGGATTTTCTGCTTAAGGATCAATGCCTCTTCCTGGGGTGGAAGTGCTAGTGTTAGTGGCTGGCGGCTATAAGTTGTGATTGAATACTCTTGTGTTTTTGGGAGACATGGTGGTGAAAAGGTATGGACTTCCATGGGTTGGGTGGTTTGTTAGGTTAAGGAATTTTTTGGAACCAACACAACCGTTTGGGTTGCAAATCTCTCCAATACAAATGGTTATAATTAGACCCAATTCAACTATGTCGCTTGGATGTATATGGTGAGCATGTGACGACTTTGGGGGCATTGATCCAGTTGTGGGTGACCATGCCAAATCAATGAGCAAATTTGAACTCATACACACATGATGTCTAAAATTATTATTGATGTTATGGTTTGTAGCCATATTATTATGAGATTGGAGACAATTTGTTTGTTACTAATAATACACTGTTCAACTTGTTTCTCATGTGCTAGTCTAACAATGCAGGGTAGCTGACAAGGACTGGGGTGCTGATTTTAGAAAGTTGTCTGCTGGTTCAGCTCTTGTTGCTCTGACTTTATGGCTTGACCATATGCAGGCTAGTTCTTTTCCTATGTTGCTCCTCTACAATGATTGAAATTGTCTGCTGAATAATGATTGTGCATATTCTTTTGTGATAGAAAGTTGTTATTACCATCTATGGTTAGTTAGTGTAATGGTATGAACTTATCATCTATGTCTCCATAACTATCCTTAAACGAGTCATCTGGTTATGGTACAGACCAAATCTTAGAAGGTAAAATAGAATAAGCAGAGAGAATTTTATGGAAGTCCAGCGAAATCTACAACCAAAACAATGCTGTTAGCCATTTTAGGGAACTAACTCTCTCCCTACTAGATCATCTTTACCTCAGATTATCCCCCTCCCATAATTGTATTTCTCTCTCTCGCATGCAAAACATTCTTTTAAATTTTCCACTTTGCCCTTCCTCTTATTGGTCTGCAAAATCGATGATGGTCTATCATTACCCCTGAGGCAGAAAAACATCTTGTCTGCAAGCTGGAAGGGCCACTTGTATTTCAACAAACATATTTTTTTATCAGCATGGTAGACTCTGTTGAGCTTGGAGAGGGGAACGACAAGATCGTATTGTCCTTAGATCACACTGGTATTTTCTCCTCAAGGTCTGCCTTTTTAAGCCATACAAATTCGAGGCCTATTTTGAAGACGCCCCTAGTGAAGCTGATTTGGGAGCTCAAATACCCGAAGAAATAACTTATCCCCTGGTCAATGGCTCATAGAGGGCTTAACACTCATGATAGGCTACAGAAGAAATGCAGAGAATGGGTGCTTTTTCCTTCGGTGTGCTGTTTATGCCAGTTACACCTTAGATCATTTGTTTATTCATTGCCCTTTTGCTTTGAGTTGTTGGGCTCTCCTCCAAAAGGAATTTGGTCTGTCTGTTTGTCGAGACAGATAGATGATTGGCTCATTGAAGCACTTCATGGTTGGCAGATTAAAGACAAAGCTAGAGTTTTGTGGAGATATTCGACTAGGGCTTTGTTGTGGGGTCTTTGTTTGAAAAGAAATTGTAGGTATTTTGAAGATAAGTCTACTGATTTAGTAACTTTTTTGGAGTAATGAACAGCTCACTGCTTCTTGGTGGAACCACAGCTATAACAAATTCTTTTGTAATCACTCTCTCTAATCCTTCAAGATTGGAAGTTCTTCATGTTTAGCTTGCTTGGGAGGGGCTTCTCTCTCCTCTCTTTTTTTTTATAATAAACAAAGAACTTTCATTAATAAAAAGAGAGGAGCCCAAAAAAGGCAGGAAAAACAGCCTAGAGGCAGAGGATCGAGAGGACCCTCTCCAAAGAGACTAAGCAATCAAGGAATTCCAACTCTGAAGAGTCAAAAGAAAACCATAATTACAAAAAACCTTCTTGTGGATCGAGGCCCACCAAGAAGCAGTATGCTTTATATTCACACAAAAAGAGTCAAGTGAAGCTCCTCTCCCTCAGGTTGTTCATTCTTTTTGTGATTAATACAAATCTCAGATTTCTTAACAAAGAAAGAGCAAGCTGGAAGGCCACTTGCCAACGGCCTGAAAATTGCAATAAGTATTGGGATCAACTCTTGTTCTCCTAACTGGATTACGGAAAAATAAGGTACGAGATAACTTTTAACCTATTGTTTGATTCATGCTTTTGTTCCATTCCATTCTTGGACTTTTACTTTCTTCAGCCTTGGAAGTAACCAATGCATTAACCCAGCTTCAAAGAGAAGGAAACGCAAAAAGAATAATGTATATATTCTTATGAAATCTTAGATAGCCTAATTCTGTCCCTTGTATAGTATACCTGTTATGTATTATCATACTACACAAATTCCATACATCCCTCCCCTTCCCAAAATGAAAGACAGGATTCGAATAACAAAGTGCATATGCATGTACTTTCTCGATTTCCATTTCCTGAAATTAAGAATGTATCAAGTCATTAGCTGGGGACATTTCGGCTTTCTTCGCACTTTATGTGCTGTGCTGAGTTACATTGACCAGAATGAAGAATAACATTCACACATTTGTACAAGGTTGCCTAGTTTGTCAACAAAAAAAATAAACGGCACTATCCCTGGTTGGCCTTCTCCAGCCTTAACCGATCCCTGGATAGTATGAGACAGTGTGAAAATGGAATTTGGTATGCACTATAAAAGGAAGGGAGTGCTGATAATTTGGAAGTATAGTATAACTATTTACAGTTCGTCAAGAAAATTATCCACTAGAATTCCTAAAGTAGTCTTGATATTGTTGACTCTGTATCCCCTTCTCTGGGTCCTACTTTCTCTGGACGCTGGTCATTCCCAACATTCATTGATGAAAATTCTACTAGTAATATACTGTGTTATGAGATTGTACTAGCCTTTAGCAAAGTGTGCACACCTAATTATTCATATAAAGGCCTACTTTCTGTAATTCTAGATTTTACTTGGAATTCATATCTGAGATCAATATTGCATAAAAATATTTGGGATTGGTTTCAAGTATTTTTCAAGGTGGATTTACACCTAATATCTGGTATATCGATGCAGGATGCTTCCTTGCAAGGTTTCCCAGAATCTCCAAAATCAGTTGTTCTAATCACTGGAACAGCAGAGTACAACATGGTTTCACTCAATAGCACACTAAAAGTATGCCTTTGGGAGATGGGTTCTCCTTTTCTGCCTTGTAGAACACGGAGTGGTCTCCTCATAGCAAAAGCTCATTCTCTCAGGATGTGGCTAAAAGATTCTTCATTTTGTTTGGACCTTGAGCTGAAAGATGCCCAGGCTCTCCCAGAAATAAATTCGATGAAGCTAATCGATGGATGCTTTATAAGACGAGGCCTTGTTCCAGCATTCAAGGATATAACTGAAAGACTGGGATTTGTGAGGCCAAAGAAATTCTCTAGATTAGCTTTGCTTCCTGATGAAAAGAGGGACAAAGTCATTAAAGCTGATTTAGAAGGGAGGAAAGAGAAGCTTGAAAAAGTGAAAAACATGATCAACTCTGGGAAGGTGAGGAGGTTAACAAAGATTAAAAGGAGAAAATACCGTCGTAGCATCCATACTGTGAAGAAAAATTAGAAAATCTTGGACAGTACAGTCCATGGTAATTAAACAAATTATTTTTTGGTCCCTTGTCACCTCTAGTCATGAATAACAATTTCAACAATAACTAATAAATTTGAACAACTTTGTTCACTCTCTACAGCTTGGCATTGATGTTAGGCTTGTTCTATCTATCCTTCTTTGCATACAATTAATCCTCTTGCAGGCCCCGCGAATTGGAAGAAAAAAAGGTCTGCATTTTTTTTTCTTTTATTTAAAATTAATAGACATTATCTCAAGCAGAGGATAACTGCACGTTTTTCCTTTGTTGAATCAAGGTAGAACGGTGGTTGACTATCATTTTCCTGCCAAATGTCTGGTGGAGTGAAATTCTCCATCAAGGATGAATGTTGGGAAGAATTCAGTAGTGCTTGCTAATTCGATAATTTGTTACTGTTTAGACTTTGATTCCATAGGTAATTTGTCGGTAGTCGACAAAGAGGTAAAATCCCTTCAAATATATATTTATGATATTTCAGAAAACTCTCATCTCCTCAACCAACTGAAATCTCTCACTTTTTTCCATCAAGTCTGCTATTTTGAACTCAATTTTTGAGCTGTTTTCTTCTGCGGGTGAAACTCAGGTTTTTTTACTACCAAAAAGTTCCAGGCATAAACGATTTTCTCCCTTCTGTACTCTGATAGACGAAGAAACATTAAGATTTTCCATATTAATTATTGTTTCAGTTCTAAGCTTGAAGCCAATATGTCCTAAAATCCAGCAGAAACAGCTTACTGTGGACTGTGGTAATGGAAACAGATTGGATATATGTATGTATCTCTCTTTAATCAAAATAGAATCTATCTTTACATTTTTGTTGGGGAAATCACTAAAAGTTCCCAGCTCCCCCTCCGTTTTTTGTAAAAAATTCATAATATCATCGTTTATTAACTTGATTTAAATGTTACATCATCTGAAACCAGTTGCATGTGTAATATAGCTAGTGGTTCTCTTATATGCCATTTTTTCATGAACGAGACTACGAGTACTTCAAACTGATCATGAAAGCAAAAGAAGTAGTTAAAAGCACATCCATATTGATGAAATTATCCAGACAAAACGAAGAATCGGCATTTTGGATGACTCGAACCGGGACGGGAGGCTTGCTCAGGTACGTATATTCTTTCACTTCACCTATGAGATTCCTTGTTCTGTTTCCCTGTAAATGTCAAATTATCATACAGCTATTCTTTTTTTGGTTATTTATAATTAGTTGATGATCTCTATGAGATTGATAGGACAGTTGATATTTTTTTCTTTTACGTCGTATCCTTTCTTTCCAAGTTGTAATCTTTATTTAGACCTGTCGTGTATACCGTTTCAACCCACTAAGAAATTACAATGATTTTCACGGTATCAGAACCTCATCTTCGGCTCTCATTGCCATTTGTTCTTTGCTACTCTGAAATCACCAACGAAATTGTTTACGACCTTCATTGCTAGAAGTTGAAATCACACCAGTGTTCATCTGTTAATTTTTTTCTTCTACGGCCTTCATTGCCATTATTTAATCATTGGCCTTCAGTTCCTCTTTGAGCAGCCAATAATTTACATCTTCTTCATGTGTTTCGGCCTTCTTGAGCAAAAGATGAGATGGCTTGGGTCTCCTCTATCGGCAGTTTCTGAACAAGAAATTGGTTGGTTCTTCACTGTCAGCACTTTCTGAGCAGGAAATTTGTTGATTTCTAATTGATGTATATGGGATTACGTTCAAAATTGTCATATATAAATTTTTCTTGACGTTGCGAACTTTTATTAAACACAATTGTGACAAAAAGCTACGATGGTTAATAAATTTTTTACTGTTAAAATTATCAATATAAAATTTTTTGTGACAGGTTAAAATTGTATATATAAAGGTTTTTGTGATGGTTAATATAATACAAAAAATTTTGTGATGGTTAAATACTGTCAATATAAATATTTTCGTGACGGTTAAATTTTGTCATCGTTATATTTATCTTGACGGAAGTGTGAATTATATATATTTTATTGACTATTATCAATTATCATAAAAATGTTTGTGACGTTTATTAACTGTCATGAATACTCTCTAGGTAGGGTTGGATTTACTTATGTCAAACCCTCCCGAACTTATTAATATATATATATTATATATATATATATATTTTTTGGTACAATATGTGGGGACGAGGATTTGAACTTTCAACTTTATGGTTGAATACATACTCATTGAATTGTGTTTTGGTTGGTTGCTAATATATACTAATAGTTTACCGTATATTTGTCCAATTATATTGTTGACGTAGTGGCCCGTGCTCGTGCAAATCAAGTTCCAATCTTCACCTTGCCGGCTAAGCTCCCTCCCAAAATAAGAAATTTTCCCTCCCAAAATAAGAAATTTTCTTTACATAAATATTTCAAATTTTAGAAAAGGAAAAAAAGTTAATTCAAGATTCCAGGTTATTTTAATTGAAAAAGTTGAAAATTTTCTTTATTAAAATATGTCAATTTTTAAAAAATTGACAATTTTTTAATAAAGTATATGTTTTTGTTTATTCACAATTTTTATATTTATTTTTTCATCTTCTTAAAAAAATTATTAGTAAATTTAACCATTTTTAAAAGTATTATTTGAGTTAAAAAAATTTGCTAAAATGAAAAAAATAAATAATGTGGAAACAAATTGTTTTTGAAAAACAAAATGGTTTTCAAATCGTGATTAATAATTTTAAAAGTTCAGTTAAATTCTAACTTTTGATGAGTTATTCAGAAAATAGAAAACACCCTCTACAATGAACTCAACTCAATAGAAGAATGAGCTTGAAAATGACTTCCAATCGCAGTACTCCTTGGATGAAAACACCTTTCACAATTATTTTTGAAGAAAAAAACTCTCAATGCATTTGATTTTTAGAATTTCTAAAGTCATTTTAGAGAGTGTACTCATATATCCAAGAGTAAGTTTGGCATGTACAATCTAATATAAATATTTTTAAACATATATTTTTCTCTCTTAAAATTACACATAAGAAAAATAGCTAGTTTTAATTAAAATAAATGTGTTTAGTTTCATTTTCTTAAAAATGATTTAGTCACTAGTTTCCTTTTTTGTTACAACGCATCTAAAAATGGTTCTACAGATAACCAAAGTGATTCCTAATGAGTCACTTTTTGGATAATCAATCTTAACGTGATTCTTCAAAAAAATGATTACAAACCAATTTCATCATAGTGATTTTTTAATTGTTAATTTCAAACACGCTCTAAAAAGTCGAACGACCCAAAACCATTTTTTGGCAGAAAGGATTGTTTGGATATCAGTGGGCATATTGGTGTGCCTGTTCATGGTTCAAAGACTGGGAACTGACAAAGTAGGGTACAGTTTTGCTCCTGTAATCTGCATTTGGTTTGCGTTCAACGCTGGGATTGGAGTTTACAACTTCATCAAATACGACCCAACAGTTTTAAAGGCCTTAAATCCAAAGTACATAGTGGATTATTTCCAAAGGAACAAAAAGGATGCTTGGATTTCTCTCGGCGGCACTGTACTTTCCATCACAGGTCTTATTTCCTACCCAAAAAACTCTTTATTTTGTGGTTTCAATGATATATAATACTACACTCTCAAACACAGGAACTGAAGCATTATTCGCCGATGTCGGGCATTTCAGCGTTCGATCAGTTCAGCTGAGCATGTCGGCGGTGACCTACCCAGCTCTAATTTGTGCCTACGTAGGTCAGACCGCGTTTCTTCGCAAGCACAGCGATCTCGTTGCAGATACATTCTACAAGTCGATTCCTGGTACCCTACCTACAAACAACTAACTACATTGTTGCATGCAAATTTCTCACTAAAGTACAAATTAGAGGAAAACCACACAATAATCCTATGTATTTTATGTATACTTTTTGAGTCCACTATGGGCGCATATAAGAGAGGCAAATTTCAGCTCTCCTTCCTTCTTGGCTCCGTCCCTAATTTCACGTACATATACTGTAGGAGGTCTGTATTGGCCAATGTTTGTGGTGGCTGTTTTAGCATCAAGCATAGCAAGCCAGGCCATGATCTCAGGAACTTTCTCTATAATTCAACAGTCGCTTTCACTTGGATGCTTCCCTAGAGTCAAAGTGGTTCATATATCTGATAAGTACGAAGGCCAAGTTTATGTTCCTGAGGTCAATTACCTTCTCATGTTGGCTTGCATTGGGGTCACTTTGGCCTTCAAGAACACTACAAAGGTTGGCAATGCATATGGTATGATATATTAATCTTCTCATATCTCATTCTTCTTAAATTAGCCTCTCTCCTCTAATTCTGATAAAATCTTATGCATGGGAACTTGTTCTCAATTCAAGTTCTTAGGGTTTGTTTGAAAAATCAAATTGACCCGACGACTCGACTCTCATATGGATGGGTTGAGTTGGACTTGGTTATTTGATCTGTTTGAGTTGAGTTGGGTTTATATAAATTGAAATTTTAGGATTTGGTTGGTTTGTCAAAATTAATTAGGATTCCAAGTTTTCTTCAACTTTTTCTGGAGGGTTGAGTTTATGAGTTTTTCTGAAATTTGTTTAGATAAAACGTACATCATTATTGGGTTAAATTAGGTCCATCATCTCATCTGAGTCATTCGGATAAAACCAATTCTATGTTCTGAATTGAACAATTAAGTTGGATCTAAAAACACACGAATTCAACCCAACTTGATGAACACACGGGTAACGTTATTTACGTGCTCCAATGTTCTCCATAAACGCAACAAGAGCTAACTCAAAATCCTGAAATTTTTGTTTGACAGGAATAGCAGTGGTTTTTGTGATGACACTCACATCCTCCTTCCTAGTACTCATAATGGTGATGCTATGGAAAACTCACAACCTACTCATAATCACTTACATACTTGTAATTGGAAGTGTGGAATTTATGTATCTGAGTTCAGTCCTTTACAAGTTCGACCAAGGAGGCTATCTCCCGCTGACATTTGCAGCTATTTTGATGACAATAATGTATGTGTGGAATAGTGTCTTCAGAAAAAGGTACTTTTATGAGCTCAACAACAAAATCTCCTCAGAAAAGCTCAATGAGATGGTGAATACCACCAACTTTAGGCGGATTCCTGGCGTGGCATTCTTCTATTCAGAGCTTGTTCAAGGCATCCCTCCCATCTTCAAGCACTACATCGAGCACGTACCCGCACTGCACACCGTGCTCGTCTTCGTCACCATTAAATCGCTTCCCATGAGCAAGGTTTGTTAAAAATGTCAAGTTTTCATTTTGCTTCCTATGGTTTTCAAAATTTCGATTTTGTTTTTATGATTTGGGCTAGCTTGGCTTCAATAATTTAGTTCCTATGTTTTTAAAAATTTCAGTTTGGTCCCTATGATTGAGTTAAATTTCACGAATTGTCTATAAATCATATTTTACTCGATCTAAAAGCCACACACTTTCCTATTTATTACTTAGCCCTACAGTCCACTAATATGGTAAGTTAAATAAAAAAATATGAGCTTATTAACACAGTAAATAAATAAAAATGTCATGTGTATTCAATATACTAACAGGAAAGGATGATTTGACTAAAAAAGTATAGAAACTAAATTGAAACTATGTCCAAACCATCCCGACCAAATTTATAATTTAACTTTCATTAGATCACCACTAAACCTAAAAAATATTTTGTGTATATTATTTCATAATAATTAGGTTCCAGCGGATGAACGTTTCCTTTTCCGACAACTAGAAGTCAAGGAGATCGATGTGTTCCGCTGTGTTGTTCGATATGGGTACACGGATGTACACACCGAACAAGAGTCGTTCGAGAAGATTTTACTCGAAAGATTGAAGGAGTTCGAAAGAGACCAACGGAAGTTGTCTAAGGTGAAAAATGGGGTCGGGGAGAGAGTGGAAGAAGAGGAAGATGATGATGAAAACGGTTTTGGAGGAGTTGTAGAAGCATGGAAGGATGGTGTAGTTCACTTGATGGGGGAAACTGAAGTAATTGCCCAAAAAGGGGCTGGCATGGGAAAGAGGATTATGATAAACTATGCACATAACTTCTTGAAGAAGAACCTGAGGCAAACTGAGGAAGTTTTTGACATTCCTCACAAGCATATGCTCAAAGTGGGCATGATTTATGAACTTTAGAAACGCCAAGGGCATTTTTGTCTTTGTATTTATTTATTGTCGTTATTTTTGTTGAAAAAATACTTATTGCAAGTGTATGACGAGTCTAAGTTTTAATAAAAGTAAATGGTATGTGAATTGAGTTTCTAGTTCACTCAATTACCACAAATACTAATGTCTCATTTTATTTAGAAATAACAATGAGTTTTAAAACAATCTGGAAAATCAATGGGAATAATAAATGTTCAGGAAAAAAGAATGTGAAAAGGGGAAATTGATTGAATTAATAAACAAACAAATTAAACAATGTAAAGATTGAATAAAGAATTAATATGTAAAGAAAGAAATCACATATTTATAATTGATTGTTTCACTTATTAAGAAATTAATATCTGTGTCTAGATTGATTAATTAGCAAAGGCCTTAAGTATATTTCTTTTAACAACATCTAAACACTTCTAAATCTCCTCATCTTAGAACTGAGAAGGAGGGTCATAAAGAATGAGGACTAAATAAGTTCCTATTCTTAGGGTCGAACATGTTTTTGTGGCTATTTTTATGATTCAAACATTAATTTTTGTGGCTATTTTTATGATTCAAACATAAGTTTTAGATGAACAGATCAACATAAAATTAATTCATCTAAAACTCATGTAATCTAATAGCTACATCAATCTCTAAGAGAACTAATTTAACTACTCATGTTCAAATGAATACAACAAAAATAATCTCAATGGGGTTTCATAACAAAACTAGAAATAAAGTTAAAAGGGAAATGAGAGAAACTAAATACGTTGTGTCAAGTTATCGTCTCCAAGCCAATCTCCATCATCCCCAGCCTTGAAAATCTCTTCCCTCAACTTCTTAATACTCTCCTAACTCTCAAAATTCCAACTAAGAATGCAAGCAGCATTCTGTAGAAATTGTCGCGTTAGTACCAAGTTCGATGTGAGTTGATTAACCTCGGAAATGTGTTGGAGGACTGGAAGGGGTTGACGACCTTTGAGGCTAGATTCGTGCAAGCCAGATGCGGCCCTAACCTCCTCAATTATGTGCAGACTATAATCGTAGAGGTTGTGGTCCACCAGCAGAGCTAGGTAATGCCGAGCTACTCTGTAAATCTTGGAAATCCTCTTAAGATATTCCAACGTTAGCTCGTCGCTCTGGGCACGGGTCTGGGAAGAATTGTGGAAAGAAAGAGGTTGAGGTCAATTAGAAAATAAACCTGCCACCACGACGTGAGCTACCAACTCGAGGGGACTCGATAACTAAGCTCGCCTTTGCGGTTTTTGGCTAGCCAATCACCGTACACATAAAACCAGACCTCTATCTAGTGTTTTATAGGATGGGTCCCAAACCAATTTCCCAACACACCTTGCCAGTTAAGTAGAATCTACCGGGGTTCTTGACGGTATAAAAGGACAAAAACTGGTCGGAAGTTAAATACTTCACGTCCATAGTGTCGACTTTGAGCCCCCATCGTAGCACCCAACAACCCAAGATGATGCCCCAGTTGTTGGAAACAATTTGGGTTGGCGCGAAGTTCACCTTGGTAAGGAACTCCTATGCGACAAGGTGTAGGGGGAGGAAAACCCCAAAATCGAATATCTTTTTGTAAATGGCTACATGCCCTTCTAATGAGTTTTTTATGGTCTCATCTTCATCGGGAACCTCATCCTAATAAACGTTGGAACCTCGTACCTATCCCTGATAAAGCTAGAGTCCTATCGTCCAGCTCTGACAGATTGTCCTCGTACTGTTAAGAGACATAGCTTCAATAGGCACCCTGTTAATGAGGTGGTTATTCACAAAGTAGATGGAATCAGCAAGAAAATAGGATGGTAGAAGAAAAAATTAAACCTTAGTCACGTGAATTTTTAGGGAGTGGGGCCATGGGTGTGGAAAATATACAACATAAACATTGCTAAAATTTAAGGTTGGATTTACATAAATCTGTTGAGGTTCATTTCATTTTGAAGCAGATATTGAAATGGTGGATGAATATATGGTTGGGTTGTCGTATTGTGTATAACCTAGAAACCGACCTAATTGGGCATCACCTTAACCATGTGCAAAAAATTGCCCTAGCCGCATGTACTTCCCTTACTTTTCACATATGTTGTGTGTGCTACTACTGCCATTCGTCGATTTGAAGGGACAGGTCAGGAAACATAAGCCTGAATCTCCATATTTTAGAGGGTGATGACATTTTGAGAGACCTCCTCTCCACCAATGACTGGGGCCGGCCTCTCACTTGGTGACCTGGCATGTGCCGATCTTTCACTCGACGAACCAATAGGGGCCGATCTGCTGCTAGAAGACCAACTATCTGAGGACCCACTCTTGAGGAGGGAACCCCTCATAAGGTGACTTAAAGCTCCCTCCATAGCTATCTCCGCCCAACCTAGAACTAAACTCATTTGCCTATTTGACATGACTAAGATCTAAGATGAATTTACAAAGAGGGGGGACGATCTACTAACGTAGGTGCGAGAGCAAAAATGGAATCCAAAAAGCGTGAAATGAAGGAGAAAGTTCTCTCGTATATATAGGAGCCAGAGAAATATCCTAGCCCTCCACGTGGCAACCTTTTTTAAGGTCCAGATCGCACAGAGACGAAATGACTAAGTACTCGAGTGCGGCTAGGAAGGCATGCCTAATGAATGATCTTCCATCGGTCATTTAATGCTCTTGTGGGGGACGACAGGTCGGTCCATGTCACCACTACCACCATGTGAGTACAGGAAATTTGGGAGCCCACCCCATGCCACCGCGATCGCCCAAGGTCAACTCTCAGATAGGTCGTCCACGACCCTATCTGAGAGGGGGTCAATACCCCTCTCCAAGAGAATAATATGGACTGAGCTCAAAGGTCAATTAGAAGTTTTAAGCTCCCATGCGAACATTGAGGTCGAGCTACTATACGACAAGTTTGACCATCGATATGACCAACAGTGAACAACAGGTCACCTACCTGCATAATAGTAGAATAGACCGATGAGACGAGTAACTACCAATTTCATCCCCTGTAAATACACCGACTCAATTAGGTATGAAAATCTATCTGAAGCTGATCTGCCAAATTCGTACTCAATACTAACTTGAGCGTCAGAGTGCTTTACTTATTTTTGTAGGTCTCTTGTCTCCAACTCGTCTGACACAAGAGCTCGCTAGCTCCGGTTCACTTGAGCAGATTTGGCATCAAAACAAAGTAGTGTTTAAATACTAGCATTACAAAAAATTCATACGACTATTTTTTGTTAGTGAGAAGGTAAATGAAAACAGTCAACCCAATCTTCTAAATTTATTTGCGTAAAAATCAAGGTTTTAAATAAATATTGATGTTCATGGTAATATTGAGAGGTTCCAATTTTATGGAAATATCGATAAAATGTCGATGCCGATAAATATTTGAAAAGTTATGAAAAAAAATTCGTAAAAAATATTTAAATTAACAAATAAGAATTTCATCCTTTCTAAATAAGTTTAATTATTATTAATATTATGTTTATTTTAGTGATATTTTATCGATTTTTTTCAACATTATTGGAAATGTCAATTTCCCTCATGTTGATATCAAATTCATGTATGATGAAAATATCGATGAAAATGTCAAGAGATATTTAATACAAACAACAGTTTAATTTTTATTTAAAAAATAATAAAAATAAAATAAAATAAAATAACAACAGTTTAACCCGGCCCAACCGATCTAAATTGTGAAAGAAAAGGCCAATCCGGTCCAATTGCACCGGCCGTAAAATCCTAGGGTTTTGTTATGGCTATATATGAAACCTTAAGTAGCCGTGCGCAGAAGCTGAACTAAGAACTCGAATTGCAGAAGGGGCGGCGCAGAGAAAGAAAAGGTCCGTATTGCGATTTTCTCTGTGTTACGTTCTTCAGCTGGCTTTGATCTTCTTTCATCCAACTATTTGTTAAATTAGTTTTTACTTTCGTATTCTCGAGCTGTGTAGAGGGATTTGCATCAATACAGTTTGGTTCTCTCTTTTCCTGTTTTCCCATTTGCTTTCTGCGTTTTCTGGGCATCCTACGAATTGTTGCGATATTGTATGG